TCAATCGCGTGTATACATTGTCAGGTATGCCATTGTCCAGTATATACGTCAGTTCACAGGTCCTGGGACAATTGTGCCAAATCCATCACTGCCACTACAAACAAGCTGTTTGACAAAAAACTCGAGTTGTTCCAATGCAAAATTAAATGTTGATGGTGATATATTCTGATCGAGTGAGTCAGCCCTCCATTGCTCCACAATATGCTGGTTTGTGATATCGATCCACCACATGGGTTTGCAAAGTATAGATTGCAAATACTGGATATACCGCATTTCGACAAGTGTGCGCACCTCTCCATGTGTATCTCCGGCCATTCCAGATTTCATATCAATTTCGGCATTGTCGTCGTATGACTGAATGTCCGAATTAGCAACATGAACCCGATGCTGGAAACACGTTTTAATGATCTGTTCAGCAATCCTTCTGTTTGTGTGATCAGCAGTATTCGATTTTACAATAGCCATTAGATTTTCAAATATCCTGCCTTGTTCCAACTCGGTACGTATTGAACTGTCGGGATGATTATCGGCAAAATCAACAATTGTTTCAAGTAGTTTTACAATACCATTATAATCACACAAATCCATATCTCTGCGTGAAATAATAGTGTTGAGTTGCTTTACAATTCCATATTCTCGAAACACCTTGATCATCTCGTCCTTGTTTGTAGATTTCTGAATCATGTCGTTGACATATCCAAACAGGCGCAAAGGGTCACCCATATTGAGATTGCACATCGATATCGTCAATTGCTCAAAAACCAACGATCGTACAAGCGATACAGGAAAGTCGCGCATTTTGGATGCAACTGTTCCAGCCATCTTGATTATGCGTGTTTTTAGTGCAGAGTTATCGCTGTATCTGACACACAAGTCGTTCAGTGTTTGAATCAAACCCGACCTTATCAACTCGGCTGAAATCACTTCACAATCTGCATGTTTGCAAAAGTTCTCAATAGCAGCAATGCTTTCATAAATCACTTCTTGATCGACACTCCTGTATTCATGTCATGTCAATCCAACCATGTCAAATTCATCAATTGTGATGACTGGACACACATTCATGCATAGCACCACATACCTGAGCATATTGACTACTGCTGGAATGATGCCACATTTCATTGCTTTTACTCGGTCATGACGATGAATATTCCAAAACATGGTTTGAAGATTTTCGATAAACCCAACAGCAACTGAACCACTGGATGATTCCAGTCGTGAAACAAGTCTTGACAACACGATGCCAAACTAATGATATTGTTCAGTGTCAAGTATACAATCAGATCAACAAGACAAGACATGACACTGTCCAAACTGATCCAATATTGTATCATTGCAAACATACATTTTCGTCGTCAATATCATGACAAGCTTTCAAAAACAGGCCAATTGCCAATCTGAGCACTTCTTGATCGGACTCGTGAGCAATAATCTCAACCATAGGCTTGATGTCAAATCCATTCTCTTCACTCCAGCGTCTATAACTGAGCAACTGTGTACATGCGTTTAGCGTCTATATGCATATTGACACTGGGTGAGTTGAATGACAATCATTTGATCAATATCAATCATGACTTGCCGCCATTTTGACTTGACGGTTTGGTGATTGCATGAGTTGTACAAGTTGGTTGTTTAGTCGATGTGATATTTTGAACTCATGATTATAGTACATCATACTCGCAAATACTGCAGCAAACTCCATTACTTTGATCTACGCAACACATGCTGATTAGTTTAGTCATGAACAATCCATTATTGTTACAATATATGAATACCTGTAAACTGGGTCGATTATACTCCAAATACTTGATTGTGATATTTTTCAGTTCAATACTCTGTAAGCGCTGCAGTGCATCTGTAGACTCTGTCACTCCAAACCAACACAAAGTCAGCAACAGTTTGAATTCATCAATAATACAATTGCTATTAAACTTACTGTGATTCTGTTCTTCCAGCTCTAGTAGCAATACAAGCAGTCTGTCTCATATTTCATCAGCCTTGTATATTTGAGCATATGTTGTTAACAGTTTCAGATCTTCCAGGCGTTGAATCAACTCTTTCATAACATCATCCAACTTCATGTTTGATAAAATTAGTAAAGTTGAATTTTGATTTGACAATTTCATTCATGCGAATGTCCAACAATTGCCAAGAATTGTTCATGTTTGGATTGTTGTAAAACACACAAACGAGTTGTTCCATTTTAGTATTGTTTTGATCAGTTTTTTGTAACAAAATTGGATTGTTATCAAACATGCATTTAGAAATACTGTAAATTGATATTCTGAATGTGATTGTTGTAGATTTGGTTTAATAAACAAGTTAGTTTACTACAACACATGGTAATGGATTACTAAACATCATCATAAATCAGATGGACTGGAATGGAATGGAATGAGATCAATGACAATCGCATTACAAACAGTGTGTGGTGATTAAACCATCGAGTATTTTCAAATACAAACTTGAATGAAATGTCTTGCCACAAGACTGATCAACTGTATTACTGTTTACACTGTGGTATTATTGATGTATTGGAATATTTGGTGATCAGATACACAATGATAATGGTAGTACAACTCATGGCAGTTGTACAAACCAAACGTGATTAAAGCCAATAATAATGTCAGACAAGATTGGATAATGAATTAGCGTGTAAACCATCAACATTGACCAAGATTGATTGAAATGGTGAGATTGGGTTGGATGGTGATAAACACAACAACAAACAGAATACAAACAATGATATAGCATGCATTGAGTTGACGATTTATAACTAAATGGCCAATATCAGAAATGCTTTAGCTACATTCAATGGTTTGTCGACACCCGCGCGTTTTTAAATAGTTGATACTAAAATAAACTATTCTTGAATGGTCAGTTTATTGATATAAGTTGGTATTTGTTAAATCACAATCAAGCTACCATTGTACAAAATAGTCGAGAATTAAAGTTTAAAAGGTGGTTTACAGCCATCAAAAATATTTTTTGCCATTTGTCATCCAAGTGATTAATTTGGGACGATCCATGGAAATACGTCCAATGACTTCAGAACTTGATCCAATTGGTTCACCAATTCGCACCACAACGTCCAAGTGCTGCCAGATAGAATGAAGTTGAGCATTGCAGAGTTGATCAAATCCTTGGCATACGCTGGAACTGTTCAAGAGAGTGGTAAAATATACAGGTTCCCGGATAGCTCGAACGCCTGCACCAATGGGGCTACTACACATAATCCATGGAATAAATGCGAGAATGGCAATTAAAGTGAATAGGAGTTGTACAAATAGAATGAAAAGAGCTACGCTTATACCATATTGTGCCATTTTAACAATACTTTTGGTGACCAATGCAACGTTTCGATTACACATGCTTCCGCGAGTGGTGTAGGTTCGCTGAATACCTCCTCGAAGTAAAATGGCAATCATAGTTTCAACTCCGCTTTCGATACGCGACGGATCAACAGCCATCAAATCTGGAGATGTCCACCACAGCAATGGATTGAGAACTCCAGGTACAGTTGGTGCCAGAGAGACTGAGCTGGATTGACCACCAAGAATGGATACAAGAGCTGCAGAAAGCCAGGTCTGCATATCAGCAGGCGAGCCTACTGATCGCACATCAACAGATCTTGGAGCAACCGAAGCAGTAGTTCCATCTGTCATATACTCCACAACAACCACTGCATTGGAATGATTTGAGATGACAGATGTGCAAAGTGGAACAAGTGTAGCATTTTGTCCTCCACAAACATTGACTCCAGTAAAAAGCATTTGAACTTTGATGTTGGAAGTGGAATCTGAAAGATCAACATTTGACGCAAACCCAACATTAAATCCAAGAGTTGCACTGTTGCTCAGTAAATCTGTCACTGCAGAACTCGAGAGGCCCAATGATTGAAGCTGAGTACTGTTTTTGGTACTACATAGGCAACTTGTATGAATACTAGTTACAAAGCCTGGCCCGATAATGGTATCACCGTCATTCACAGCACCAATGATTTGAGGCGACATCATAAAAACTGTTTCGTTCACGTCTTTTTCGGATTGCAAGTTACCCATGGCACTCCCAAACACGAGCTCAGCATATCCCGCCTCACCTTGCAGATTAGGAAGCAAACGGTCAACAGGGGATCCTGCCTGTAGATAACTAATACATTCAACTGTTCCGCTGTCTATTTTCACGCTCTCTCCAGACATGGCAGTCGCGCTGATTGGTGTAAGCCATTTCATCATTTCCAACAAAATCCAAATGATGGATATGCGTGCAAAGAGGCTTCGGCAAGTGCTGTTAAGTGATAGCTGATTAGCAAACGACCACTTTTGAAACGGAAGAGCTTGAAAAAATCCACAAATGCATAGTGAGAAGCCTTTTTTCTCAGTAAGTCGAGCTCCAAACCAGGCAGAAACACCATCATCCAAAGCACGCAGTGTAAGAATATTGGAAATCAAGAGTACCAATTCAATAATCACACAACCAATACTGGTTACAACGGTATATGGAAGAGGAAACTCGATCCCGCCTGACATTCTACATACGTAGTATATACAAATTGAGTTTACAGCCAACGCTAAACCACACCAGCGCATTTGCGTAATTTTACTAGACAATGTCTCGCTGATTTCACGCGCATAAGGGTATTGACTGGTCAGCGAACTGCTCATAGAACGGTTGACTTTCATAACGCCCTTTGGTAATCGATCCTCGTATGATATTTGAGATGCACTATCATTGAGATGATGTTGATCAGACATATTACTGCCTTTTGCATGGTCTTCTGAAATATTTACAATCGCCGTTTTTTTAGAACTGTACCCTTCCGAGTTTTCACTTTCCTCATGACTATCATCATGGTCTTGACTGGTCTCGCTGATTCGATGAGAGAATTTTACAGAATGAACGGGAGGATGAGATTTCTGCTGGTCTCCTATTACAATACTTTTAAGTTGAGAGTCGGCCATCACAGAGCAGCGATAAGAATTTTAAATAAAGAACAACTGGCTATAAGTCTACTGTGGTAAGCACAGGGAAATACACCGATTCTAAGATCAAGATTAAATAGAAAGTCAACAATGGTATTGTGTTTTTGATTCAATATGCCTGATTGTACTCTAAACAATGGCTATTTTGCAAGCTACGTTTCGCGTAATGCATTCTGAATATTAGCATAGGGTCGGATAATAGATTCGACAATAAAAAAGTTTAGTGTTTTTAAATCTGAATTATGCAGTATTGCTCATTACTGGACAGCTGACAGGTAGCATCTACCAGATTTCAACACGTGACTTGAATTTACTTTTTGAATAAGTGACTAGAATTTGAATTTTGAAATTCAACTTTTTTTTGGTTTTAAAACGTTGAATTCGAAGCCAGTTCAACCACTTGCATTGATGGGGAAATTCACTCAGGAAAAAGTCACTTCCAGCAATGGAAGAAAAGGCAGTGGTGGATCCGCTATCAAGCGTATGAAATCTGCTTTAAAAACCGCTGGACTGATTGGTCCCGAATCCAAAGTTCGCAAGGTTGGCAAAAATCAATCCAAAAAAGCACAAGTAGCTGCCGCGTCGGCTCACCAAAATGCCAAAACTCTGTTGCGATCCATGGCCGCTGCCAGCAAGGAAAGCAATCCTTTTGAAATGAAGTTTACCAAGCTAAAGCACGAAGTCATTGGCAAAAAGACCAAAGGTGTGACAGGCAGGCCAGGCCAAACCAAGAAAAAATCAGAGGATATCCGCCAAAAAACACTGCTGGTTGAAATGAAAAACAGGAATAGAGAATCTGCTTTGGTTGATCGTCGTATTGGTGAAAATGATCCTAATATGTCTGTTGAGGATAAGATGCTGGAGCGATTCATGCGTGAGAAAACTGTAGGTTTTTGTAAACTGTCACACACCATGCATGCCATTGTGTCGATTAAAAGTGAGCAATATACCTAAACTGCATTGTATAACTACAATTTCATGTATTTTTAGAAACGATCTGGAAATTCTACAATGTTCAACCTGGAAACCGAGGAACAAGAGCTGACACATATGGGTAAATCACTTTCTTCATTCGATGCCTTTGACGACGCTGGGTTTGAAAAGGTGGACGATTCTGATGACGATGGAAATATTGATGCCAAGATTGTCAAGTACACCCATTTTGGTGGATTTGAGGATGACAAGACAGACCCAGAAGCACGCAAGTCTCGTAGTGAGATCATGAAAGAAGTCATGGCCAAGAGCAAAATGCACAAGGTAAGATTTATGGATTTATCAAACTAAAACTGATAATTTCAGCGATTCTAAATAGAGTATTGACTGAATATTAAATCATATTGAATACACTTATTTTTAGCGAGAAAGACAAAGACAAAAAGAAATAGATATGGAGGTTCAAGACTCTCTTGATGCAGACTTGGAGGAAATTCGTGGCATGCTTGCTCCAATGCAAGACCGCCCAATCACAGAAGGAAAAATGGTGATTTCCAATGAGCGTGCTCAACTTATCAGTGGCGAAATTGCTATTCGTCCGTCTGAACTCAAGTCGGCATACAAAGGTAAAGTGGAAAACGACGTCGAATTCAACCCTCCGTCGGCAGTAAAACTCGATGATGACTACGACAAATTTGTACGCGAACTGGCGTATGATAGACGTGCAAAGCCTACAGATCGTATTAAAAACGAAGATGAGCTGGCGCAGGAGGAAAAGAAAAGGCTGGAAAAGTTGGAGCAGGAGCGTTTGCGTCGTATGAAGGGTGATGATTCAGAAAATGACACTGCAAAAACAAAAAGTGGCAAGAAGCGTGCTGCTCAAGCTGATGATCTTGGTGATGACGACTATACTGAACATGTTGATAGTACTGTTTCCCGCGAAGCGGAAATGGCCTTGACATACAAAAATGGCGAACTGATTAATGAAAAAATATTTATGAGCAAGCGAGCTGATTCATCATCCGAAAGCGATGATGAGGACGATTTGAGCCAAGATGAGGATGACGATGAAGATGAAGACGAGGATGAAGACGAGAATCAAGATGAAGATGGCGATCAAAACATAACCAAGTTGTCCAAGACTCGAGTGCAATCCAACAGAGACGCCTCAGTTGAACCAGAGTTTGAGATGAGCGACAAGGACGATTCAAACTCTGGTCAATACGAATCCTATTCTGAAGATGAATCGAATGAGGATTCCAGCAATAGTGATCAAGAAACCGAAAGCATCAGCAAAGCATCGGATACAATAGCTACTACTGAAGATCAAGATAATGAGCAAGTTCCGTATGTGCTTGTAGCTCCCGAGTCTATTGAGGATTTGCTTACACTACTTGATGGTAAATCTGCAACATACCAGCAGACTGCCATTAAAAGATTGCGCATACTCAATAACGTTCGACTTGGATCCGAATGCAAGCAAAATCTTTCACGACTTTCTATGCTTTTACTGGACTACCGTGATCATGTTGTTTCGTTATCTCCACCCAATATTGCATTACTCAAGGTGCTTGAAGGCCATACTGTAGAACTTGGTCGTCTGTTTAGCGCACAAACGGCAGAATATTCGCTTCAGCGCATTACTGCCATTCAAGGCGCTTTGGTCAAATCCATGTCTGCAGGATCTAAAAAGCACACTGGATTTCCCAATCTTGCAGATCTTTACTTTTTCCGCATTGTAGGCGAAGTATTTTGTACATCAGACATGCAACATACTGTTGTCACACCAACAATTCTTCTCATGAGTCAATTTTTGGGTCAATGTCCGATTTCTACTGCTCAAGATGCCATGTCTGGTCTATTCTTGTGTGAAATCTTTAGCGAGTACTTTGCCTTGTCCAAGCGATTTGTTCCGGAAGTAGCCAACTTTTTACATCGACTGTGTGCTTCGTGTCTTGGCGTTAAAGATGCCATTATTTTGAGCATGATTCCTTTGCCATCAATGATGAATTCGATACTTTCCATTAAGGATTTTTCAGCAGAACCTGCCACACTTTGTGTTTCTAGCATGCCATTATTTTCCAAAGCCAAGAATCTGTCAGAATCTGTCAAGATTGCATTGTTAACAGAGGCTTTTCATCTTCTTTCTAAATGCTCGCGGCTTTGGAACGAAACAGGAAGCAGCATTGAGATTTTTGCACCAACCATGCTTCTTTTTGAAAAAATTCCTAAAGCAGAGCTGGCCGAAAGATCTCAACAAATGATACATTCTGCTCACAGTAACATTAAAAGTCAGATATTAAGCGCAGGTCTTAAACGCCGACCACTCCAACTTCAAAAGCGCAAAGCGATTCCTATTGCAACGTATGTACCTAGATTCGAAGATGGCTATTCACATGATCGCCGATACGACCCAGATCGTGATCGAGCCGAAAGATCCAAAATGCAATCAGAGCTTAAGCAAGAACGGAGGGGAGCTGAGAGAGAGTTGCGAAAGGATGCAGCATTTGTTGCCCGACAGCAATTGCAAGAAATCAAGGAAAAGGACGCGGCGTATAAGAAAAAGATGGACAAGATTATGGGACAGTTGGCTAGTCAAGAAGGTGCAATGCGAGGAGTTGAGCGAGCAAATAAGAAACCTAGACAAAGACGTTAAATATATTTTCATGTTCTTATTTTAGTAGTTTTCTGTTGGATTCAAAATCAAGTTGGCAAGTCCAAAATATAAAATATAAAAATTTACAATTGAAAAAACTTGCCAATCCATATTCAATAGCAGCAATGTATGAACTGGTACTAATTGCTCGCACAAAAGTCAATTCAATGTCCATAGCAACGGGTGTACTACAAGCTGAAAAGGTACACTAGCTATGATGATGAATATCGAATTTACTGTTGAATCCATCAAGATGTTCAAGATATTCATCAAGGTGTCCAACCCAATGACTCGATATTAACATGCTCCACTTTAGGCTAAACACAAACAGTTGCTAAAGCAATGTGCAATGCATGTGTTGGATAACAATGGTGTAGTTAGGCAGTTTATCAATCTGGGCAAAAAAGATCTGCCTTATCGCATGAAACGACATCAAGAAATCCATGCTAAAGGAGCGTAAGTTCCTCACTTCTAATCATTGAATGGAGTTTTGAATTGCCATTGGAATTGATCAAATACTTGATGATAGATATTTCACCATGCAGTTCGATGCTTCTCCTTTGGTCATGAAGAGTCTTTCTTCATCACTTGCACTCAACGAAGATGTGATTAGACATACAGTTATTAATTGTGGAGATTCACTCGAGGCTGTTACGACACATATTGCTGCAGAGAAACTTTAAAGGCTGAATTCTGCATGGGATGCATTTGGGTTTCAAGGACAAGTAATAAATGTTTTTTTTATCCGGATAATATTAAGCATTAGAGATCGAGGATGGACAGTTGGTAACCAGTCGAATCCAAGTGAAAACTATGCTGGATAATCATGGCAATAAATATTTACAAATATCCAGATTCTTAACCACCACTTTATTTCAATTCAATCTGGATAGGTAGTAACGCTGTAGCTGCAGACAAATTCAACACACCGACAATATTCCAGGCAACTATAGAAAGCAACCCCAATTAAAAATAGAGGCTCGACAAAATATCCTATTGACTCAGTTGGTCAACTTGCCAGCCTTTTTGTAAAGGGATTCGACAACATGACCAACGTGCTTAATGGTTTCCAAGGTCGCATCGTAGGTTTTCTAAACATTGTGCAAATGGTTTGATAGATATATAGGGTTAGTCTTTGAAATAAACGTGGAAACAATAGAATAGTAGCAAAAATATTACATCTGCAGGTTGTTCCTCAAATACTTCAAGACAGCCTGCTCCTTGATCAAGAATACCCAAAAACACCTTGTCTAGGATCATTTGAGACAATCTATTTAAACAGAAAACCGACAAGTAGAAACGATACATTAGAATGCACTGTATCAAAAATTAGACTGTCATGTCAACATTACACACTTGGCTTCAACTTGGGCAGTTGGGAGCTTAACCAATGCTGCAACATGAGCAATCTCGACACGCGAATAAGGTTCAATCACTCTGAGTAGGTTTTGGTCCAACAAAGTGTCGTAGAGAGCAGAGAGATGCGAACGAACAATCAGGTCATTTCCAAGCTCTAAGAATCAAAGTAGTCCATGTAAGAATCCAAAACTATTCGTTATACAAATCAAAACATACCAGTTTTGAACTTGGCCAAAGCTTGTTCGAATTCAAGCAAAGAGCGGTTTTCATGAGCAGTAGCGATTGCCTTCATGGCATCCACATCAGGACCACTATATCGCTGCGCGACCTTTCCGTTGACAATATTGTGAACATCCTCTGCAAGATTGACCATGATCTTGCAAAGAAGCATATATTTAAGTGCCATGACAGCGCGACGGTCATCAAGCGATGCATATCCTTCAAGGGTTTCATAAAAGTATGAAAACCTTGATATTTCATTTATCAAAAGGGTTATTGAACAAATTTGAAAAGGCATTGTCATGTATGTCATAGTAATGTAAACAGCATAAAAACAAGAATCACATACGCTGTTTTATAGTCTTTTTCTTCGGCGTGTAGAATACCAGATTGCATATCAAGCGATGCCTGCATAAGTGGAGGACAGTAGATAGCATTGGCAGAGGTTCTAGCAGAAGTGAGTGAAGCCTAAAATGAAATGTATATTTAGATACTGTGTATAAATATTTATAGTCAATGCAGTAATGTAACACCAATATCAGCATACTCTTGATTTTGGCAAGTTTTTCAATGCATGGAAAACACGACTTTCTAGCAGCTGGACCTCTACAAGCACATTTTTGTCATCAAGACGCTTGAGTTCCTTGAGCAGACTGGAAATAAGGGCAAGAGCTTCTGTAAACAGTTTACTGTCCAAATAGCTAAATAGTGTTATGTAGCATTAGTATAGTAGTTTAATCCTTAAAAACAGCGTTCAAAAACTTACAGACCACACAGACGAGTTTCGAGTGATTGGCGAAGGAAAATACGATGTTCAGCGACAGCCCATTCTATGGTCTCTTTGCATATGTCAACTTGGAGTGGAAGAGAGTTTGGAATGTCATTGAATTGATCTATAAGCGTGCGTACTGAGAACCAACAAAGTATTTGAACCAAAGAAATCATCAAAACTGTTAGAATATAAATCAAGATCTAGCTAGATGCGACATGATACAGATGCATTACCAACCGATTTTCGTGGTCTTTGCTTTGGAAATAGTCAGTAAAAAACTATACGACGATCGAATGAGAGCGGCCAACTCTCCTGGTTGTCTAATGAATGATGACTGGTTAGAATAGAAATTCTAGTTGGATCGACGAGCAAATAGTAGTCTTGCCAACACATACTTTAAATCCCGATACAGCTCTCCAAGCTTGTTAATGCTACTTTCTTTAATTTTCAAATCATCCTCAGAGCTTCCTGCATAGACAATACAGATTAGATCACCATGACTGCACAGATATGGCACAGGACAGATGGCTGAAACCCATTGAACCCAACACAAGCATAGACAGAATCTTCAAGGTTTACTAATGAATCAAAAAAGACGGAATGCATATGCCATCCAAACAAGATGGAATAGAGCAGATTTGGCCAGCCATTCTTCCAGTAATGATGCAGATTGTATAATGAAGATTCTTGAAGCTGAAAGACTAACTCAGACTATAAGAAAAAGCAAACACTATTCTATTATCTCTAGCAGACACAACAGTCTTTAGATGAACGAGTCTAGTCAAGCCGGGGTGTTTCGCGCCGAGTCGCTGTGCATGGAGTTGCCAGCAATAAGTTACTTACCAACAGAGGCAGAAAGAAGAGTCTTGAATTTATCGACAGCCAGTGCAGGAGAAGTCTTTGCAAGAGCGTAAGCAGCGTCAAGTTCGGAGATTGAAGGCATTGCTGGCAATTGGTTTAATAAAAAGGAAAGAATCGACCAGACTGAAAACACAACTTCTGCATGGTCATGATATCAATCTGTTTAGCATTTATTATCTCGTTATAATCCTTCAAGAATTTTGTTATAATCCTTCAAGAATCTCATTCATTAAATCTTCATCCGTTGCATTCAGATATTTGGATTGGGACGATACGGTCGACGCTTGTTGCTCAGACGTCATCCTATTAACAATGCATTCGTGTTAGTAGCACGCATCGTTGTCTGTCAGTTCAACTCTCTTACCGAGGAATCTTGCTTGCATTCGTCGTGTCGTTCAAGTCATGTCGTATCTACATTCCATCACAAAGTCAGTTCTTGTTATATTGGTATTCAGATACGATCAACTCACTTCCTTGTTTGCTATTCGAAATCGCTCCTTGTCAAATTTCAATGGCTGATACTATAAAAGTCTTGCCATAAAAAACTAATGTTAGCCTATTTTTATATGGAATGTGCTGTTTTATCCATTCATTTTTGTAAATCATGTAAACACTTGCATGATTGTCTTGAAGCTGGTGGTTGTTTGATACGGATGGTTGAATATCTTGTTGTTTATGTGGCTGCTGAGTTGATATAGATTGCTGAGCATCTTTTCTAGCTGCATGCTGGTTTGAATCCAATGTATGCGTATCTACATATCATTTTGCATTCCGGTAATGGTTAGCTATGAAAAAACTGCATTCACTTGAATATTGAGTATTGCTTTGTCAAACTTTAAGAATGTCTAGTATGTCCAAGTTGGTCCATTATACATTACTCTATCGAACTAGACGACGTTGCGTTATTTAGCTCATCCCAAAACAATCATACAAAAGTACATGTTTTGATTCAAAACTATTAATAATAATGCATCATTGAATTGCAAGTATATCTATGTACTTTTTAAAACTATACTCGACACATTTTTAGCTGGTCTAGTCAAATGTTACTCAACTCTTATCCGAGTCGCGTTTATAGGATATCGCTACTTCCTTGGTCTGGCTCTTTGAAAATGTCTGCTCATCATTAATAGTCATAATATGTGAAGCCTCTCTGATGCAGCTTAACGATGGTGGTCGAGAAGGTTTACGCACCAACACATAGTTGTTGTCGTCAAATCTCGCACTTATATTATATGTTGGTTTATTTGCTCGTGTTTGAGAATGCGTAGCAATATTGATGGCAGTTGGTTCTGATTCGGCCATAGCATTATCAAGAAGCTGTTTATGCTCTTCATACTCGGCTTGAGTGGATGTGCAAGGCATAATGGGTGGATCTGGAGTATTGGTTGTTGAGGGATTTAGGCATAGTTGTGGAGGCTTACTCTGTACTTTGCTTGCACCACTTCCCATTCCTGTAAATGTCGTAGACTTGATAACTAGGCGATGTACCGAATAATATCCTAATTCGTGTGCATGGCTTCAAATCCACTGAGCTTTTTTAAAATATAGATTACATAATCTTTGGTCAATAGGATTGTTTTTAAATCACGCTTCGCAGCTATGCTTCACGCTGTTTATTCACGAATAAAAATGAACAAAGCTTCGCAAATCTGCTACTTTTGCTTCATACGCTATTCTGTAAATGAAAATGTTTCAAAAACTTAGGTATACATTGGCTTGAGCAATTTTGCAATGGTCTGCAGCTGAATATTGGATGTGCCCTGGATAATATCACAACAGTTTGATTACACATGATTAGCTTTGTATTCAAAAGCATATTGTCAGAACCGAGTCACGATCAAACAATTACCTCGTAAATGGCACCAATCTTGCAGTCACGGTAAAACTTTTCAATCGGAAATTCTATAGTAGCATTGTATTAAAACAAGTGTCAATATTTGCAACAAGCCTAATCTTGAACAATTACGCAGTCAACCTACCACGGGTGAATCCGACACCACCAACCCATTCAATCGCTTTGGATGCAGACTTTTCAGCAACCTGAGAAGCATACAGTTTGGCCATAGCAGCCTCCTTGACAAAGCTCTTGCCTTCTTCCTTGAGACGTGCAGCATTGTAAGTAAGAAGACGCGCAGCTTCAATCTCCATAGCAACTTGAGCTACTTGGAATTGCATACCCTATAGAATAAAATGAGTTTGAAACATCAATCCATTCAACATTGAGAATTAGCAAGATTTGTTGCCGGATCACAGGATAGAAATAACCTGGTATGCTTGCCTGAAAATCACCGATTGCCTGACCAAACTGCTTACGCTGGTACATGTATGGTAACGCATTGTCAAATGCACCTTGAGCAAGACCCAACATCTGCGCGGCAATACCAATACGACCCTCGTTCAATATCTCAATAGCATACTTGTATCCTTTACCGACCTCTCCAAGAACATTTTCAGCAGGTACTTCCACATCGTCAAACGAGAGAGAACAAGTAGATGAGGCTCTAATACCAAGCTAGTTGAACATAAAATCAGCATTATTGTCAAATCAACAAGTGCGATTAAAGTCGTACTTTGATTTCTTTCTTGGCCACTTTTACGCCCATATCTTTTTCAACGATAAAGCAAGTAATGCCCTTGTATCCTTGAGATGGATCGACATTGGCAAACACAAGGAATATTTCGGCTTCGTACGAGTTGGTGATCCACATCTTTGATCCATTAATAATGTATTTGCCATTCTTTTTAACTGCAGAAGTTTGCAGTGCAAAGGCATCACTTCCAGATCCAGCTTCGGACAAACAGAAACATCCAACCTAGTTTCCACAAGCGCGAAAAAGAGCAAGCAATCACCCACGACTTGTTAGAATAGTAGTATAGAATCACAACCCTATACAGGTATGTATGCAACTGCATTAACATAATTCATCTCAGTTACCTTGTCTGTGGCAAGCCCAGTCAGATACTTTTCCTTTTGAGAGGCAGTGCCGTACCTTTTGAAAAGAGTATTCACAAGAGTGTTTTGAACATCGCAAATCACACTTACAGAAGGATCCACCTTGGCAAGCTCTTTAAAGAATACACCGATCAGTGTTTAAACCAGTCATATAAATGAGTTGAATACGTATTTAACAATTTCGAGATATTTTAAATGCCAAATACCTTCAATTGTGAGAATTGCCGACATAAACGAGCTCTCCGAGCCACCATAATCAGTAGGGGTTTCAATGCCCATCAACTAAACCATTTTATCATCAGCTGCAATGAATCATGACCAAAGTGAATTTACTATCCATTTTACGCATTCTAAACCTACTCCTTGGTCAAAAAGTCCCTTGAGAACTCTCTTGTCAAGCATCTCTTTCTAAAATTCGGTTCAGTGTTTAAACATTAGTCCACAGAATCATTCTCGACAATCCAGCCAAAACCAGAGAAAATAGTCTTTTAACATCTCATGGTATATTTAATAAACTCATATTATAGACCAACCTCGTCCATTTCGTGAACCAATGGCTGAACCTCTTTTTTGGCAAATCTAGCAACTATTCAGTTGTATTCATCATAGGATTGAATGAATTCAGATGAGTCGATTGCTAGATCCGACTTTATATATCAGAACGATTCAGAGAATAGACAAGAGGCTGATCTTACCTGCATCCTTGAGTTGCATTTCATCTATTTGTATTAAACATACAAGTTTTGGAATTAACGAGTGCATATGGAATAAAACATCCGACACTTGACATGCGACAGTGACTTGCCTTCAGTGAAAGTAAAGAGCGAGCCTAATGCATTGCGACTGGCCGAAGAAGCAGAGAACATTCTACGTAATGAATGCATGTATCCAATATATAAATGATGCTATTAGATACCATGATAGTGATTGAATAGACTTGCAATTCTACACTGGCTATCGTGAGCTTAGTGACCCAATGCATAGATGTTGATATACTTCCTACCGTTGAACATTAACAGAAATGGTTCCAGCAGTCCTTTTGGATGCTCGAACAGTAGCTGCAGTGACAGATTTGGTTGCAATCAATCGAAACATTGCTGGTCAGGATATCAAGCTGTATTCACGTAAAATAGAACAAATAAAGATGTTGAAATACTCGACAGTTTCATGAAATAATTGGTTGATTTAGTGACAATATTGTGAATTAGTCTCGTCAAAATGTATTTGTCTTTCTTTGTGCTCAGATTTGTATAACTGAATGAATGCTCACATTACAGTTTAGTAAATCTCACACTTGTTCAATCTCTAAACTCTCTTAAACACCAAATATTGAGTGATTGACATGTAGAGTTGCATTCCCAAGACTGTTGAACTAGATCGCGAGCATATATAGTATTTTACAAAAATTTGTAGAGTCTGAGAACAGCTTCATACGACGGATGTTGTGTTGATTGAAAACGTTTATTCAAGTCAATTCCTAGCAAGTATAACAAATACTCAAACCTTGTTATTCCAAAGTATAGAAAAGTCGAGTTTTATTTCCGTGAATACGATGCAAAGATTCTCTAAAAAACTTTATTTCAATACAATCAACAATGTCAGAACCATTATTTATCAATGTAAGAAACTACAACTATTCTTATGTATTATGCATCTAGCAGCAATGTTTCTACAGGATTGTTTGTTTTGGTATTCGTTTATTACCATTTGAAAGCATCCATGCATACAAGTTAGAACCAAGTTCTAATCCTTACATATTCCGTACACCCACTGATGCAATACTTGTATATGTTCAACAGCCACAAATCCGCAAGTATGAATCATTTGTAAATGATCGACTCCGAAAAGATTTAGAAAAAGTATTGGAAGAGCGAGACAAGCTCTATGAACAAATTGCACAACTGTAAGTCGCTCTGTTGGTGTCAACCATTTGAAATCTTGTCTTGATTCATGATAGGATCTATTGAAATATATAGTTTAAACCTGGCTTTTGCTTTCATTCTTTTTTGTATAACTAGCCTTCAGTTGCGAAATCAGATCCATGTAATCCAGAAGCAGTCTCAGGGAGAAATGAAGACCATGATGGATGTTGGATGCGATTTCTTCATGAAAGCTCGAATGTGAGTTTTAAAATGCTGACATCCAGTAATTGAAATACTCGTAGCAGCTTATTTTGATATTTTATGCATCCTTTTATTTTCTAGACCAGATACTAGCAAGATTATTTTAAATGTCGGATCAAACATTTTTGTTGAGATGCCACTTGATGATGCCATCAAGTTTCTAGAAAAAAAAGAAAAAACACTAGAAGGGTAGAGTTACATTGTGTTTATTGTAAAAGCTGTTTCCAAAAGCTATTTCTGAATTGAATGCAATCAAAAACGATTGGGATTTATCTAGACAAACAGAAAAGTGGACAAATAGGGCATCGGAAATTCGTGCACATATTAAACTGGTTCTCAAGGCCATTTCAGAGGTATGGTAATGCATAGTGGCAATGATTCCAAATGCTAAACTGCCATCTAATTTAAATATTTGATACGTTATAGTTGCTACAATTATCTGAATGAAGGAACATTGCCGTCAAAAGTATCCACAGCCAACACATCATCAAGCATAATACTTTGAGGTTCATATCCAATGTAAACAATATTGATGGCATTCGCCAATTGCGCTTTTTATTGGCCATTCAGTACGTTTTTTAAATCTGCCAGTTAAAATAAAAGCAGCATATTACACAAACCCTATTAATCAAGCGGAAGTCCACACATCTCACATGAATCTACACCAGCTTGATTCACAAACGTGCAGTACTGGCATGATTTGGGAGCTGCAGGGACTGCTGAAGTATTGCTCTTGCTGGCTGTCGGTGCATGTGTGGCCGTTTCTTGCAAAATCATCAATAGTGTTTGCCATGAAGATCGGCTAGACAGCTCGGATATCAAGGGTTCAGATCGTGTTCGAACACCGTCAACCAATAGATCAAAATCAGTCTAGACAATCAAAATGTCATGTGTATGAAAAAAGGTTAGACTAACTACTCGATACAATAGTTCAAATCAAAAATGCAAGCAGATAAATTTTCACCTGATCCAAAATACTAGATTCTTTGATAAATAGCAGAACATGAAAGTCGGAAAGAAGATCTAGTAAATGATTTTCTGTAAATGTCAGATGCTGTTTGAGAGCGTGCATATCCTGCGCGCTACCCATTTCCACACGATTCTCTATCGGGAATGCCTTTGTGTTTGTAAATGTCGGACTGGGAGTGGATGGGAATCCGTGTGTAACCTATATTAGTATATAAAAAGTTGATATTAAATCAACACGTTGTATTAGTGATTGCAAGGATATATAGTAGACAATTTTAAAAAGAGTGCATTATCAAATATGTCGCATGTAAAGATTAAAATACATACAGTCACCAGCAGATACTCGACTGGAAATGTTGGTTTTGCAGCATTCTTCACCATAATGTTATACTCGTTTTTAAACTTATAGAATACTTCTGGCACGTACTGCTTATCGGTTGATTCGGCGACACGCATCAACGAAGGCTCAACAGATGCTTCAATAATATTATCACGAACCATAGCCGCACACATATTTGACACTTGATACGAAAAAATATCAATGCCACCTTCACTATTGCCTAATAAATAAAACTCGGTTTAGAATAGATATTTTAAAAGTCTACACAGATTGAAAAAACAACATACCACTAATAACGCAAGTTACAAACCGACTGCCAAATGTGTGCAATGCACTGTATGGCGTAACCATAGGATGCTGTTCCTGGTTTACACCGGCAAAGACAATTTCGGCCGAGGACAAAAAATAAGAATCTGCGTGTCGCTTGCATACTACCGTGCCATTGCCAGAACCATCGTCTGTCAAATCTGTGTAGATAATACCTACACGAACAAGACCCAGTGAGGTAGCAACAGCATCCACCGTGGCAGATGTAGCATTATTCAGTATTGAATGAGAGGAAGTTACTGCTAATTGAATCGTATCATGACTGTCTTCCTGTAATGGTTCGTATATGGCTGACACGACTGCTTTTACTCCAAGCGGAACTTCGGCATAGGGTTCATACTTGCCGTAAAGAATTCCCACACGTTGCGCACCACTGGAACGCCAAAATTGCAAGAAATTATCAATAATAGCAGGAGATTCAAATTCAATGTGGTCTACCATACGAAAATTCTACAATCAAACCAAAGTCAATAACAATCAACCATTGATCGTGTACAAATAAAATAAGATAGATTCATAGAAAATCAATTACCTGGCTTTGTAGCGTAATGGCAGATGGCTGGCATTTTGTGCAAATACCAATAGGATATTGACCATGAGATTTACTAGGACAAGGATTGGCAACTTTAAAATCTAGATTATCAAGGGGAGGAACAAAATGAGAACTAGTGATGGGAGTTGTTTTGGCCTGCTCCATTAGTTGGCGCAAATACGCATGAAATGCCATGTGCTTGATCTTATTCTCTTCTAAATATTTTGCATCGTATGGTTGCAGAGGAAGGCAGTATTCACACATTCCAGAGCTTCCATGTTTGCAGCTATATATTAAAATAAGTATGTGTTGGGAGAATATCCATAAGTTGGTTAATACAGAGTTCAAGATGACTACAAAAATTTAACACTAGATAGCAAGATGCCGATAGTCTAAAAAATAAATGGCATACAATCGAGTATCCCGTTCTCGCTTGATGGTTCCTGGCTGTTTCTGCAGATATTCATCAACGGGATCTTGCTTGATCAACAGCGCTGAACTGGCCTTTGATGATTGAGTCTGGCCGTGAGTAGAAACATTAGAAGTAGAATTTTTAGATCCATCATTGTGGTAGATGATAAATAGCAAATCTCCATGTCTTGAACTTGTATTAGCAAAGTGATATGGTTCAACTGTACAACATGATAAATTGCAACATTCCATTAGAATCAAGATTTAGCGCCTACTTTAGACCAAGTTGCTCAATGGTATGGGTTGGTTGAGCTTGTACTCGTTGCTCTCCTTTGGGATCCAAAGCCAAATCGAATGTTCTAGTAGAATCCAACTTCATGGCTTGCATAATCTGATGTTCATAGTAAGGATATCACGCAAGATTTCACAGGATGTACAGGGTTGATTCAGGCAACGCAACCATAGGCATTTACAAAGTTATCAGTTGCTATTCATGACATTATAGTACACTATGCATGTATGCTTTACTAGTCAGTAAATGCCTAATCATTTAATGTACCTGCAACCAGAATGTATGTAAGTCAGTAGTAGGTTTCAGGGTTAAACGGGCCTGACCATCAGGCGATCTGATTCGAAGAAGCTACATGAATGTCAGTATATTTCAATAGCAGAAATAGCAATGCAGTCTATATACCATCAAGATTTGTAGTATTTTTAGACAACTTTGAAATCCTTGAAAGTATGCGAATCACGGTTTGATTTCACGACTAAAATGAAGAGATTTACAGGCGTATTCACGTAAAATAACATTCTTGGAAAACACTTGAAGATTCGTTATTGGAAATTGATTACTTTTTGTATTGAAACTTCAAGTTCTTTTTTGGTGTCTGAAATGACTCGATGCACGAAACCATTCCAAATAGACTAATTTCAGAAGGATTTAACAATGTAATCTTGTCTAGAATAAGATGATCGTTTGAGAATGCTGCATGTTATTGTTTAAAAGGTCTCGAATATTATCCAAATACCGCCCAACCACATGATACACATTGATGATGGTTACTAATATTCTTTCATTTTATTTTATTCATTTCATTCCTTTTGTTACCAGCCGTAAAGTATGAGGTTCACTATGAGTTTCTGTAGTAATGCGCTTTTGCCAAGTTAGTGATTGTAGCAGCATTCAATGTGCCTGTTGCTGCAACCAACCTGCTAAATGCAGACTCCCTTTTTTCAATCAGCAGCCATGGAGAGTCGGCCTCAATCACTCTCCCGTTTTCCAAAACAACTACACGATCGACTCTTGCAATGTTATTAAGTCGGTGCGATACTTGAATCACTGTAGATTCACTAAGCTTTTCAGTGACTGTTTGCTGAATGCATTCTTCCACGTCCGCCTGCACTGCTGCCGATGTTTCTTCCATTACTAGAATCTTGGGTTGTGCTAGAATTGCCTTGCAAAGACATACAAGCTGTCGATGTCCAACTGAAAGAATATTAAAGTTGTCCGTGACACTGGCATCGAGTTTATCACTTAGAGTGGATACATACTCTTTTAATCCAACAGTGTTCAGTGCCGACCAGATTTGATCGTCCGTGTATTGGCTATTTGGATCAAGATTAAATCGAAGTGACTCGGTTTGTAGCACAGGCATTCGCGGTATGACTTGAATGTTCGATCGGAGTGTCTTGAGGCCCAATTTAGATATATCATAACCATCAATCGTAATCGTACCCCTGGATGGCTCAACAAGTCGAAATAGTGCTGAAATAAGAGTAGACTTTCCTGATCCTGTGTGTCCTACTATCCCAATCTTTTCACCTGGCAAGATGGACAATGACAGGTTTTTTATCACTGGGTGGAGCGGCTGGTTATCGTAGCACACATCAAGGTTTTTGATTTGAATCGCACCAGCATGTAGCCACAGCTTGTCTTTTGGATCAGTAGGAAGCGTCGGAGGTGCTTCAGATGGCAGCTCTTCCGCATAAAAGTTTAATCTTTCGACAGAATTAAAAATGGCTTCAAAGTTTCCAAGTATGAGCAAAAGGCCGTTTGATAAATCTGCCAACCGCAATGCCGCAACAATTCCCAAACCAACAACAGTGGAAGAAACTGCTCCTGCCGCAGATAACAAAACAACAACAAAGATAATTGTCGCTGTGACCAAGGATAAGCGCAGACCAAGCCAGTACTGTGAGCTTGCAAAAAGAAACATGGCAGAGTTTCCTTTGTCCGTTCTAAATCTCTGTACTCCAAGAACAGGAAGTAGCACACCGTATGCATGCACGGTGGGAATACCATTAATGGCCTCTAGAACATGCGATACAAGGCGCGATCGTAGAATTGATCCAATTCGTTTTACTTCACGGTTGGTTTGGCGATAGTACTGGAATATTAAAAATGCAGCGGCAAAAACAAAGACAAACTCGACTAAAAATATTGTATACATGCTGGCAAATTAGTTTCATATCCTGGTAAATCAAGAGTTGATTGTTTTACAGGTGCATCAAAGTTTTGGTAATTTGACAAGGATTATTTGACAAAATAAACATACTTAGCATATAGGGTGAGGTATACAGGAGCATGATAAAGGCTGAAACAGCCGACGAAGCATACACCATAACCGCAATAAATATAGGTATCATTTCCAAATCAAATACATGAACATCGTTTGACAGTCTGTTCATGACACGACCAAGAGGTTGGTCGTCGTAGTAATGTATAGGAGCTCGCATCACACCTTCAAGAGCATGGTCGTGCGACACAGATGATATAACAAATCCTCCACGAAACAACGCACATAACGTGGAAACTGAGATTACAACAAATACGCAAGTTAGTTTTTAAAAGCCAAGATCAGATGTTGCCATCATAAATAGCAATTCTTGATAATATAATACCACTTACTTGTGAGAATAACAGAAACAACACTAAGCACGGCATACATCTTCATATAGACATCAAAAGTAACATTCCAGGCTTGATCCGTCCAAAAAACTAGCAGCAGTCTCGTAAACACTGCTGTGGCAATAAATAATACTTGCGTTGAAATTAAGATCACCAAAAACGAGTTACCAGCAGCTGAAAAGTATGACCAAACAGTGCGACGTTTAACAGGTCCAACTCGTCGATCCTCTGGCTCTTGAAGCTCGACTTCGTAATCAGTTATGGATTCCATCACAACAGTATTGGTGGTGAAAGAATCAACGTTGCTGGCATTTTCCTCGTCAAAATTTTCCGAATCTGGGTTAACTCGGTGGGTTTTCATGATATCCGGGAGATACCCATCCGGGTTCATCATCAAGTTTTTGAACGTTCCTGTCTCAACAATTCGCCCACCGTCCAAAACAACAATCATATCGAATTTTGGAAGCATGTAGAGTTTGTGTGGAGCCATTACGATCGTTTTGCCCTTCAACAAACCACATATTGTTTCTTCAAAAATTTGCTTGCTCATGTGTGTGTCCAAACCACTGCAAAGTTCGTCAAACAAATACACATCGGCGTCGTGAGCGACGGCACGAGCCAATCCAACTCTGGCACGCTGGCCAGCAGAAAGATTGACTCCCATTTCGCCAACAAGTGTACCTAATCCGTGTGGCATGGTCTCCAAGTCTCGACTCAAAAAAGAGGCAGAAATGGCAGTGGCAAGATTGGGTTTGGACTCTTCTTTGCGAAACAAAATATTTTCTTCAATCGTTCCTCGCATCAACCATGGATCTTGTGAACAGTAAGCAATTTTACCGTGGATTGTTGCACTACCGCTAGTTTTTCGCATGCTACCGATTAGTGCAGAGAAAAATGATGATCTGCCTCCACCAATTGTGCCTACAACAGCTACAAGCTTTCCTTTGGGAATGACAAGTGAAAGGGAATCCAAAAAAAACGGACTTTTTTTTGTAATGGACGGATTAGTTGAGAGTGGGAATATATCTATGAATTTTGGCGTGTTAAATTTATGGGAACTTGCAGATGTTGCATTGTATATGTGATGCTGTTTAGGCTCATCCCACATAAATGTCGCATTTTCAAGCACAATACTATTTTTAGTTGGAGAATTGTCATCAACTACATGTGTGATTCGCTCAGACGGATTTATCTCGTCTGCAGTAAGGAATGCCAGCATACGCTTATATGATACGATTGATTGCATGAGAGATCTGTGAAATGACAAGTCAAAAAAATCATGATCAATCGTAAATTTGAAATAATGGTTCACAGATTCCTAACTTTGTATAAAAAGTAAAAGTGTCACTTACGTGATCGCAACAGCGATTGATCCAATAGGAGTTTTTAGAGCCGCAAACAGGCCAAGCACTGTGAATATGTTCGAGGCAGTCAGATCGTTGTATACAGCAATAAACACCATTATAGTGATTGGAGCCACGATGTTTTGCTGAAGCGCATTGATTGAAAAGCCATACAACCCAAGAGCATTGAACACTGACAATGTATTCAACTGCTTCCTTCGCTGTTTCTTGATTGCTTCAGTGTAATATTCCTCGGTTGCTTGAATTTTGATCATTTTTCGCCCTAAAATCAAACGGATTAAAGCCAAGGTCTTGACATCTATAGTGGTATGCACGATTACAAGATTTACTGTTCAACAATGCGTGCCTACCAAAAAGGAATTCGGAAAGAATGCGCGTTCTACCATCGTCGGCCTGGAAATATAGTCTAAACTGACGCTGAACAAACGGAATGGCAGCTAATTGGCAGCACCACAAAAATAGGATTCCTGCCACAGTAACCCAGACTGCCTTATTAAGGATAAATGATAAATAATATAGCGCACACAGAATTTGTGCAATTGAAGTGATTAGTGTAGTTATATCGCCTACACAAGTTTGAAGATGAGATGCATCTGAATTTATGAGTGTGTTGACCATTCCCGCATTGAATTTCTATTTTCAAATAAGACATTTAGTATAGGTCAATGATGGAAAGCAGTTATTGAAGAGTGCAGCGACATTGGTTGAATGTTAGTACCTGCCATGACTTTGGTGTCATTCGAAATGACTTTTCAAACACTGCGCCAACGGTGATGGCTCGCACGCGAACAAACAGATTCAAGTCTACCGACTGGAATAATCAGGCCAGATGTATAATGTCAGCAAACCAATGCCAAATTTGATCCACAAATCTGCCAGTCTCGATGCATTTCAATATAAAATTCATAGGATACTTGCATAAGATGTATAAAGTAAAATTGCAGCAGCGATCTGCATCCCAAACATCAACGCAGCCATACCATACACACTATGAACTAGTACTTTTCCATTGGCAATAGCAGCGCTGGCTGTTTTGGGATTTAATAGAGTAATAACCTGGGGAATAAGTAATGGTAGCTGAATAGCAATGACTACATTAATACTCCGCATCAACAAAATGGCCACAGCGTGCGGCCAAAATGTTTTTGCAAGCGTAGCGACTAGACTGGGCTTTGGAGTTTTGGATGGATTTTCGATATGGAGTCGAAATTTCTCCCAAAACTCTTTGAGAACGGAAAGAGAAGCAACGCCAGTATCATTATCGTTTATGGTTGGCATGTCCTATTAAACAAATCATAGTGTGAGCATCTACTCATGAAAATACGAAATAAAAACTGGAAATCATTCTCGAATGCATCCGAGAAAACTTGGAGTTGCGATAAGCGTGAGGATTGCCGTCTATTTCTAGATACAGAAAGCCAGCTATTGACGTTCAAAGGCTATGCATACATACATCAATCTCAAGTCTCCTGGAGGCTCCTAGACGAAATAGTGGATCCAGCCATGTAAGAGTGATAAACTCGAACAAGTTGCGATGAACCTTTGGCGGTACTTTAGCAAGATCAATCCTATTGTTTTTGAGAACAAGCAATGGAGTCATTGGTATGGATGGCCCATAGTTTTTAGGCATTTGGCAAAGGCAGTAAGAATCCAAAATTGAAATGGCGCGAGTTAGCGACAGCTGGCTGCTCCTCTCATTGCCGATTCACAGCGCTCTACTAAATACAGCAACTTCGCGTATTTTTGCTTTCAGCAAATTTTTATTCTCAAGTCCCGTGACTCTGTATAGGGAGTTTTTTCTGTAGTGAGGCTATGCTTGACCAATAGAAATCCAGTATTCTGTCTTTTATTGACCGAATGAATCGTGTTTACGGCTTAAATAACCGTTATCAATTCTGACACATGTTGATCAACTTCATTACCGTCCGCTACAATGTAGAACCGACTCGTGATGCTTTGTATACTTGTCATTATTACCATCTCATCCATGTCACAGCTATCTGCAACCCATTGTTTCAAATTATTGGTACACTCATTTGTACTTGTACGAGATTTTCGTTTTAGTGTCGAGGCTTGTAGATTATTGCAGATGTATTCATGTAAAATGAAACATTTGTATTTATCTTGCAGCGATTGCTTTGAGATAAACAATGGCCGGATATTCGTTACGCTTGTTAGAAATTGACTTGAATAGACACTGATAAACAAAGCCCATCATATGATACAAACTATGGTTGAGCTGAAATTGTCCTTGGCATAACCATACATTGTAAATCACCAGATTCACTCGTTCCAATTCAGATATTGGGTCCAGCTGCTTGCAGCAAAACTCTGCTGTCCAGTAAACTGATCAATCATTCCACAAGACTGGTTTATTGGTCTTTATTTTACGTGAATATATAGCATTCCGTATATATGGCTCACTATTCTTGCATTGACTTATCACGTGATATAGATTTCACTTTTTTTGTCAGAATAATTGCCTAAACTTTCAATAATTTTATTTTGCAATCTCCATTATATATTCATCATGAAACTGGATGCAAAGCTACTGAGATACATGTCATCGGATGATTTCCGAGTACTCACTGCAGTAAGTCTATTTGTTTCTGCTACCAAATCCCATCAAACACTGCACGCCTGAAAACCATCCCCAAACTCGAATTGATATATTTTACTCGAGATATCAATTCAAACTAAACCACTTGAAATAACTGCTAATTAAAATAGACAGAAATGGGAACTCGAAATCATGAAGTTGTTCCTACATCACTGATTGCAAACATTGCTCAACTGAGACAAGCTGGTATCCAAAAAGTCATTTCAACACTCGCTAAAAATAATCTGATTTCCAAAGTTCAAAACATGAAATGTAATGCTATTTTAACTCGATATATACAATCTGATATATCATTTGTTTTTCTAATGCTGATATTTCATTGTAAATGTATATTTTACTCTAGATGATGGATACCGATTGACATATGGTGGATACGATTATCTTGCTCTCAAGACAATGTCAAAGCGAGGAACAGTTTATTCTGTTGGCAATCAAATTGGTGTTGGCAAGGAATCAGGTACGGTTGCTTGACTATACTGTAGTTTCATCTCCACTATGGCATCATGTAGTAATCATAATACTGCTATCCATTAGACATTTATATTGTTGCCAATGAAGAGGGAGAACAGCGAGTTTTAAAAATTCAGCGTCTAGGTCGTACATCATTTCGCACCATCAAATCCAATCGTGACTACCTTCGCCATCGCCAAACCAGTTCTTGGCTGTACATGTCTCGTCTTGCAGCAATGAAGGAATATGCCTTTATGAAAGTTTTATATGAAAATGACTTTCCGGTTCCAGAGCCTATTGATCAAAACCGCCACTGTGTCGTCATGGGTCTTATTGATGCCCATCCTTTAAGTCAGATTCGCGATCTGGAAGATCCAGGAAAGTTGTATTCGAAGCTGATGAATCTAATCGTTCGATTGGCTTGCTCAGGTCTCATCCATGGCGATTTCAACGAGTTTAATTTGCTGATTCGAAGTGATGATGAGCCCGTGTTGATTGATTTTCCTCAAATGGTTTCTACATCCCACCGCAATGCCGAAATGTACTTTAACAGGGATGTAGAGTGTATTCGTGTTTTTTTTCGACGCAGGTTCTGTTACGAGAGTCAACTATATCCCAAATTTAAGCGGGATTTACAGCGTGAGTTTTCATTAGATATTCAAGTGGCTGCATCTGGGTTTACCAAAAAGCATCAAGACGAATTGGAAGAACTTCAGATGCAAGAAGTGTTGGAAGATAGGGATGATGCGGATAATGTTGCCCCAGAAGATGAGTCTGAGTCTGATTCTGATCAAGATGACAAGATGGACGATGATTTGATTGATGAATATCAATATCCTAGCCTTGATGCAGCAATTCCTGATCATGGACTTGGCGAAGTTTTGACAGATAAGCTTGGCAACACTATTGCAGTTCATAGAATAGAGGAAAAACAGCCGAGTTTGGTCAAGGATTTGTCAGTGGTAAGTCTTTTTTTGAGAATTTAAAAACACAGCCGATTTTAACTGCCATGTATATGTATATAGGAATCAATTAATTTGAATGAGGATTTTACTGATTCTTTAAAATCTAAGCCAGAATTACCAGTTCAAGTGAGTATTCAGCCTATACAACCACTAGAAATAGCACCAGTTTCAATTGAAGAGCACAAGGAAGACACAATGGCACCGATTGAAGCAATAAACAACAAACAGCATCGACCTCATCGGGACATTAAACCAAGGCTACAGAAAGACCTGGACACGGCATCGATAGCAGGATCTGATGCAACACGATCGCGAATGAGTTCCGAGGAAATCCGAAAAAAAGTAGCACAGTCACTCAGGGTTAAAAAGAATGTGGCAGGTAGTAAAGGAAGAAATCAGGCCAAGACAGAAAGTGGAAGAAATGCAGCAGAGGCCATCAAGGGGTCGAATGGATGGTGAAGATACAATTGTAACAATAAAATGGGTTTTTAGAGTATCGAGTCAATCTACAGCCATATTCACGTAAAGTGAAACGCTAAATGTGTCAAAGTATATAATAAACAGTCTACTGGATAGCATTGTTTTCAATTGCTTAGTTGATTGGTGTCATGGCAATCAGTATAAAAACAGTTGATGCAATCTTGAACTAGAACGCGAGCGTATGAGTTGGAACAGCGGTTCAAGAATGTCAAACCAATTGAACTCAATATCGAATGATCGTAGTGAATAGTTGTACAAAGTAAAGAGTTTCAGTCCCAAACTATAATTTATATTATACAATAACAGTCAGTTTCTAACAGGAAATGCAAATTCAACTGTTGAACAATTCAATGTTTCATTTTACGTGAACACGACTGTAAGTTTAAAAATTGTCAAAGTTTTCCTTACTTGCACACCACTCATCTTGATTTAACAAATGACTGAAAGGTGACCTATTGCTGCTAGCATTGCTCCTATTACTAATACTTGTATATACTATACTGTCATACTGTCATTGACATTTGTTAGAGCACTCGCTGCAAAGCAACCATCTTGAAAGTCATTTACCAATATGACACTTGATTCAAAATCTACTAGCAGGTTGGATGTGGATTGACTAGTTCAAACTATGCAAACCATCCATCTATAGGTCTATGCATGCATCCATCTATAAAACTATGCATGCATCCATCCATGGGACTATGCATGCATCCTCTTTATGCATGCATCAACTTACTGGAATGGTTTATGCAGTCTTGGATTGCCTGAAATTAGTCCACCAGTACAATTGCATTTTCGAGTATCAACAGCAGTCTACTCAACTTGAACATCAAATGATGACTATTCAAATCTAGTCTGCTGAAATACTCGAGATGATCCAGCTAGATATTTGCTCATTAGGTTCATAAGAATCAGCAGAATTCGAAGCTGGATCATGTTGTGGATGTAGCAGCCATAGTCATGACTGCTCTGGCTTTTGATTGAACAAGAGTGTTGCGATTGTCTTGATCCATTCATACTACACTCAATATTTCCCAATTCAACTATATTTACATTGATTTGTATATTTTGTTAGACTCTACGCCAAGGGCCGTGTTCTCGGTTTCCGTCGCTCTCAGCGCAACACCAAGGAGCATACTTCTCTCCTTCAAATCGAAGGTGTCCAGGCCACAAAGGACACTGATTTCTACCTTGGCAAACGTGTTGCATATGTTTACCGTGCCAAGCGTGCTATTGATGGCAACAAGATGCGCACTATTTGGGGTCGCATTACAAGGAGCCATGGTAACTCTGGTGTTGTCCGTGCAAAGTTTGCCTCCAATCTGCCCCCCGAGAGCTTTGGATCTGCTATCCGTGTGGTGAGTTTGTCTAATGGCTTTTATACTTGATGGCTATCATTCCTGACTAATTTTTCTTGCATGTTGATTGGTACTACTTTGTTTTAGATGTTGTTCCCTTCCCGTGTCTAAGTTGATTTGGAATAACACAAAGTAAATCTGAGCTTGAAATTTTAATTATCTGTATTGGGTGTTGAGTAAATCTCGGTGTATATCAAGTAATGCAGGCAATGGCTGTTTATTGATCAGTCTTTTGAATACGTTAAGCTTCATCAGCATTTTTTCCTCGTAGTTTGTTGGCAACCTGAATAATAGAACAGGATTATCAACAGTTAGTTTACGTACTTGAGGTCGTGTTCATGACAAGTAAATAGTAGTTACCAGTTCTTTGAATGTGCCAATAATCTCTGCCTCTTTCTTCATATTTGCTTCTTGGGAGAACATGAGCAAAGCTTAAACATAACAGTATAATCTTGGTTAGAATTCATCTCAATACTCACCAAGCCAATCAAGCCATACCTTTTTTTTCTTCTGCGCTAATAACCTGATTTTCCTTTCGGATACGAACTGCATTCATTCGCTGATGTCTTGAGCCGGACATGACAAATCCAGCATCCTCGTAGTTTACAATTTCTTCTGAAGTGAGGCCAATTTCACCACGACGAGGAATACGCTTTCCTGATTGCAAGAAAGCTGCCATGGCAGAACCTTCTCCAGCAAGCAAAGCACCGCCGTAGTCGTGCTCAGTTAGATGCTTATCGGTAACAGATAAGGGCATGGGACCCACTGGTGCATCGTCCGTGTGTTGCACTAGATCATATAAATCATTTAATGATAACGCACATTCAAAATCAAGATACCAGATAAATCCATCAACTTTAAATATTTACCTTCTTTTTCACGCCAATAGTCTTGGATAGTAGACCTGTCATGTTCGTCTATTTCAGAATCACTACCATCAGCTTTGGAAACTTTTGTTTTAGTAGATGGCTTGGCTACACCATTGTCAGATCCTTTAGCATCACGTTGTCGCTTGTCAGAATCCGACCGAGCTGGACTAGTCCTGGACTCATTGCTTTCAGAATCAGACTGACTGTTGCTCCTAATACTACTATCATCAGAATCCCGTGCAGATCTACTTTTTTTACTTTCTTTACGATGGCTGGACTTGCTTCTAGACTTTTTGCTTTTTGATTTCTTTGATTTGTGTGATCGGCTGGACCTTTCTCGCTTTTTTTGGCCTCGTCTTTTATTCCTATGATCATCACTAGTATCAGATTCAGACGCACTGTCAGTTTCAGTATCGTGCTTTGATCGCTTCCGTGATTTGAGTCTGTGGACGGGTGAAGCATCACGTAGCGGAACAACATCGGGGGATCTGGCCCATACTGTCACATCACTAGCCTCTCTTTGCCTTTTCCGCCTATACACATTCACAAATCAATGCCATGTTTAATAAATCAATGCCAACAATCAAGCCAGAATAGTTTCTGATGGATATATCAATCACATCTCAATGATTTAAATACACTTACAATTCAAAGTATTCAGCACTCTGTTGACTCTGATTGGGTCTATTATAGTCTTTGCGGCCATTATCTCGATATCCATCATTATTCTGAGGGGAATGGTGATGGTTTGGATGAGAATCACGACGATCTCTAGATCGGTCGGAATCTCTATGGTATTGATGACTGTTGCCATCATTATTGTTTCGGTTGTTGGTATATCTTTTTCCACCATCATCTCTTGATTGTGAAGACAACATCCGCTCTCGCTCTGGGTTCATGAACCCTTTTGGGGGTTGTGAAGAACGAGAAGGCGGCGATGGATTGCGATACGACTCTCGGTTGGCTGACCTGTCTCTACCTCTATAAGGAGATACAGATCTAGGTGATGGACTCATAATGAATATATTCCGGTTCTGTTGTATTTGCAAAGAGCAACCTAATGTCAACAAGCGTCTTGTCAAGCAAATGAAACAGGTTGTAAGTAAGCAGTAACTGAATACCCATCAACTCAATCTTAAAAATGCAAGGCATGGTTCAAAGTAGTTGTATTAGACAGTAGTGGTAAGGAATACCTTGATGGCTATATGAGTTGGTGCTATCTTGATTCTGTAATATTACTGTCGTGTTTGCGTAAAATGGAATACTTTTCTGTATTCATTTTGCAACGATTTTCACTATTTTGCTTGGAATTGTTCAACAGTTGAATTTGCATTTCCTGTTAGAAACTGACTGTTATTGTATAATATAAATTATAGTTTGGGACTGAAACTCTTTACTTTGTACAACTATTCACTACGATCATTCGATATTGAGTTCAATTGGTTTGACATTCTTGAACTGCTGCTCCAACTCATACGCTCGCGTTCTAGTTCAAGATTGCATCAACTGTTTTTATGCTGATTGCCATGACACCAATCAACTAAGCAATTGAAAACAATGCTATCCAGTAGACTGTTTATTATATACTTTGACAACATTTAGCGTTTCACTTTACGTGAATATGGCTGTAAAAATGCAAAGCTGTTGACCAAATCTATTCGAACCAGTTCATGTCAATAGTTTTTGCGCCAATATTCTTGCAATTGACAGGCGTTTAAACAATAGTGAGATTCAGGCTGATCACTGCATCATTCATACACACAAATCGGTACTTGACGAATGGCATCGTTTGGAATATGAATGAAACTACACTTGTTATTTTTTACCACCGGGCTTTGTACTGCCAAATCCACCAAATCCCATCATAGCAGCCATATCACCATCTACATTGGCATTCTCTTCTGCGAGTTTAGCCTTTTTGTTGTCCTCTTTTAACCTTTTTTTGTTTTCCCTTTTTTCTATGCGATCATGCTCCTCTTTCTGCTGTCGTTTTAATCTTTCGGCTTTAAAATCTAAAAAATGCAGATTCAAGTCATCAGTATCTGCTCAACCCAGTCATTCAAGGATCTATATAAATGCACTCATCAATGGTACCTCTAGTAGTAGTATTTTCCTTGGCTAATTTATGAAAAAGAAGTCGTGCCTTGACTTGTTCTACTGTGGATCGCTCTGTTCGCATGATATGACCTTTGGCTTGTAAATCTATATACACGAGTTGAATAATCAACGTGTAGTAATTAGAATCAATGTCAGTATTTATCAAACATTGACAAAAGCAAAGGGTTAAAAAGTCGATACTTGCGTTGGATACTGTTGATGTGGTCCAAAAATCCCATGTTATCCTTGTATGTTCGGTCGCATACATCACAATGAAATCCAGGCTGCGATCCATCAGATGTTTGAACAATGGTCGTCTTTCCTACTGCACTTGTAAAGCCTAAATCAGCGTTTCTTGCCGATATAAGTTGTGGTCCAGCAGACCCTAGTTCATCAGCTAGGTTACAAACCAGTCATTTGTTTTAGATATCCAATTGATTTAGTATTATGCGTCATTTATATGTATGAGATCTGAATATTGAATGTCAAACATCAAGGATTGAATAGGGTTTAAAAATACGGTCTGAGTTTAGAACTGTCACATACACTGAGCAGATTGGTCTTGAGCCTTTTGCTGTTTTTGAGTTGGGAGCTGCCCAGCCATACGCAGTACGGCTCTTTTCTCATAGGCAGCTTTATCCCAGGTTCGAGAGAAACTGCTGGTATCGCCCTATACAAACACAGGAGTTGGCAATCATACGTGCATGCAGATTCAAATAAAATTATTCATGTTTTAAAACATACTCCAACAGCAGATCCTTCATATACTCCTTTGCTTCTGTCACCCATTCAGAGTAAACATTCACTGCAATTTGATTCAATTTATCAATATTCTCCTGAGGGCATTTTCACACATTGAAAAGAAATTTTCAATTTTTCGTCAATTCAACTAAAGCAATCCAGCAACTGGTTTCAAATATTCGACAATCTCGAGACTGCTACTACAAATGCCCTCCATCATGACTAGTTCTTCATCTAATTCCGTTAAATCAAGTGGCTCGTCTGGATTTGGAAAACTTCTTGCACACTCTGACAAACGCATTCGTGATAAAGCTGTCAAATCTCTGCAAGAATACTTGATTGCAAATGCTTCATCATTGTCTGATTTGGATATGCTCAAACTATGGAAAGGACTTTACTGCTGTAGGTGATTTCACTGGCATGGTTTTCACTACTTATAACCATGCAATACTGCCATATACCTTCAGTCTTGCTGGAAATCGGTTTAAACTGTCATTGTAACAATGAGCGTTCTTTGCGTGTTTCGATTTATGCAATCCATTGTAATGACTGAGATGCTTGGTCTGTTTTTGAAAGATGGTTTATTCAACAGTATTCTTTTTTGAATGTAATCTGTTATTTGGTTCACTTGTCTTGGTTTTCTCATTTCAATCGCTAAAACATCAGCCATTATCGATCCTGATTGTACATTTCACTACCGTTTATCACGTTTTTTATTTCGCCGTTTATACCCTGTTGGCTGATTCTCAAACTCTTGTATTTCTCAATTTAAATCGGTATATACAAACTAGGTTTCTGGATGTCTGATAAGCCACTTGTTCAGCAATCTCTTGCGCAGGATTTAGCACAGGCTGCTACAAAACTACCTATCAGCGAAGGGCTCCGATACATTTGTTGTTTCTGGAAAATTCTGATCAAGGAGTGGTATAATATTGACCGACTTCGGTATGTTGTCAAATATATTGATCGGTTCAGCCTTTTGGTTCTTGATGAATAATACCGATTTTTTTGATAGGCTTGACAAGTTTTATTTCCTATGCCGACAGTTCCATTTTTGGACTTTTAGACTGATTATTGATCATGAATGGGACAAGGATATTATCGACAAGGTTATGATTATTCTAGAGCAAGGGCCACTAAGGTAACCATGGCCGCTTTTATTTCTTTATTATAAATGGCTAATTGAATCTGATATTTTGTGGAATCCAGTATCAATGTGGCTTCTGTGCCAAATAGTTTGCAATACCATACGAGCAAAGCTTTCTTTGAAGAGCTTATCAAGGCAATCAAGTCAGTAGATAACGACATGCAGCTTCCACTTGATGCATTTGAACGTCTGATTGCACCGTGCTTTGGTGTGTTGGAGCGATCATATAATCAAGTTTACTTTAAACATGTTATTGATGATATTTTCTCTCTCTGGCTCTTTAAAGGTAATTTTGACTTGGTGCTATGAATGTGCAATAGCCAAGACTGTATGTTTTGCTTGCTCAATATATAAAATGTGTTTTATTGTTAGACACCAATGCTGATGAAGACAAGTCAGCAGATGACATGACATCTTCAACAGCTATGATGGTTCAATCATGCATTTCACCCAAACAGTTGCTTGAGCGACTTGGTCTTTTGGCCAAATCAGACAATATTCTTAAAAACAACAAAAAGGAACTCCACGCTTTCAACAAAACACTGGCCAAGCTAATTGGTGTAGAATACACCGATCCAACTTTTTCAATCGGTATGAAGGCAGCTCCAATTCCTACTGCGCGCAAAAATGATGAAAGTGGCAAAAATATGAATTCCAAATCCAAGAAGCAAAAGGTTACTATGGTGGTTATGGATGAGGCTGTTGAAGCGTGTGCTGACATTGCATTGTGGAATGTCGATGAAGTTGAACGTGAATCTACTAATACTGATTGCGATACGGTCGTCACGACTGATGACAAGGATGATGTATCTAAAACGATGCCAGTTCAAGAAATGGATAGTACTGAGACTGTAAGTAGCACATCATCAAAAAAGCGTAAGCGTAAAAGCAAAAGTGTGGCTAGATTAAATGCCACTGAAAAATCTGATTCCGATGCTGCTCCAGATTGCGAAAATGATGCTGCTAAAGAGTCAAATGAGGTGTTTGAGGATAGCGTGGCTGAGGATGTCGAGTCGTTTGCCATTGCTGAATCTGTTGATTGTGATGACAATGAATTAATCAGTGATGCTTTGGATGCATCTCAACACAAATCACCTGATCGCAAGTCTGTCAGCTGGGGCCAGAAACTGCGTGTGAAAAGTAGGTTATATTTTTACGAGCATACTGTATTTGGAATCGTGTACAATTGTAGTGTATCAACACTCGAACAAAAAGTAGTCAAAATAGTACTAATGGTTTTAACATCAATGTTTATTGGTTTTTGCTAGCTTTTTTCAAGCTTAAACCTATTTGTGCACTGTCAGAAGTCAAAACTCCTGTTCATCCTCCAGCGCCAAAATCTGCCTTGAGAGAGTCGCCTGCTGTTTTTCCACCACCACCAGAGTTTGATGGTGTAGATATGGATTTTTTTGAATCTACTCCAACAGAAATGCTCGATTTTGTCACTGCATCGGCTAGAAGACCCAATTCAAAACGAAACAAGAAGAATAAAAAGGGCAAGCAAATGCGCAAGTAGATAAAAGACTGCTACGAGTCTACTATTTTTGACACAGGGTGTTGGTGTGCAATTTTTGATGGATATATGTGCTTATACAACTGCCCATTCACATGAAATAAAATACAAAACGGATATTTTCTAATGGTTTTAATTACAACCAGCTCAAGTTGGAATATTAGTGGTCGATCCAGTCAGTCAATTGTATTCTGCCTGATCGTCAAACTTGCGACGCTTGGGACAACTATTCGCGTAATGGCCAGTCTCGCTGCACTTGAAGCATGTCACTTGATCAAGCGTTCTGAATGCACGCTGACCATCGCCGTATGGAGCATCTGCCCCATCACGATTAAAATGGTTGCGATGATCGTTTCGCTGATGGTCTCGATTAGTATTATTATTTTCAAAGCGACTGCTATCAATTCCATCTGATCCAAATTTGGGAGTGACATTTTTGTACGAAGACATGCGAGGTGCTCCTGCAGTACCAGGTTGTGGACCATCTTCGGCCAATAAAACAGGCAACTCATGCTTGGCGCTAAGGAAAGACGGACATGAATTAGTATATAAAAGAACACGACACACCTCTAGATTCAAACTATGCAATACATCAAGCTGCAACTCAACTGTCCAAACTGGCACGACTCTCCATTAGGACAAAAACCAGTCAAGTAATTCTGGCAGGCGGCCTTTCTTGTGTGTTTATGTCGACATTCTGCTCCATGCTTACAAAACCCACGAGCATACCACGGACACTCACGGATCTTACTATCTGGATCAATATGCAAGTATTGGCATTCAGGATTGGTGCACTCTCCCAACTTGGCAAAGAACCAGCACTCGGGCATACGCTTCATGTTGTATTCATGAAGGAATTCACACACTTCTCCTTTTTTGCAAAGACCTCGCAGCCAGTGTTTGCAGACTACAGCTCGCATTTTTTGTGGATGCTGAAAAGGACATGATGAGCCTTGTCTGCATGCTCCACGAATAAAGTGAGTGCATATGGGTTTGATTGGAGGCTTGACCAAGAGAATGCCAAGGGTTTGAGTAATATAAGGCTCAAAGTTGAACTGGATGGATGGGTCAACAGACAGGATGGATTCAATGGCATAAACGTGTTTGGATTGCTGTGGTTGCTGAGTGGATGTTGATCCCTGATTATGAGTGGCAGCACTCACTGCTGGAGACATGGTTTGGGTTTTAAGATAATTAAGATAATACTTTATTGATGGTTAGTTTGTAGTTGAATACAGAACACCATGTGAACGTCTGCGATCACACTAGAAACTTGGCATCTATCCACTCCAAAGACTCGTGTCGCCAGTCTGAAGCTATTTACTAAATATTAAACGGATATATGGTTTGGGTTGAGCCATGAAAACCAAGAGCGCAGTATACGTTTATAGTTTTGAAAAATAAAATTCCATGGAATATGCCATCAGAATTGGAACAAGATGATGAGCAAATGTCAACCGCACAACGTATGGCTAGATTAGATGTGGAGATGATTCAAACTATAGTTTGTGTGTATCATATGATGAACGTTGATCAAGCAAACTGTAAATGCTTTGATGTTTCAGAATTTTCTAAACATTCAACATGTATGAATGCTCACTTGATTCTAGACAACATACCGCTTTACAAGGCCACAACTTCAATAATATGAAACTGCACCTCGTGGCATTACTGTTAAACGGTTGACAGCCATGTTCATTCTTGATCCCTGCTCAAAACTCGGTAAAAATAGTCTTGACGGTGTGCGATGCCAAACACGAAGAGTTGATGATGTTTACTGAAGAGGCGGTGCGCCAATGTGTATTGATAAGGCATGAAAATATTTAATCCTTGTTTATTTCAAACAATAGAAATCATCAATGCAAGATACGGAAAAGTATTATTTGTAAGCACGGCTGCGATTAAATAGCATAATTTAAGATCAATTTGCACACCATGTACAGAAATGGCAAATCGCAAACAATCTATTGTTTGGTATAGTATATATGCAAATATTCTAACGAGGTCCGAATATTTTTGCATTCTTTTATTGCGATCGTTGTGTTCTTCAATATAGAACAACGCCCATTAATTAGCTGATTTACAAGAAATAAAGTGGCGCTGGCTTTTTGATCAAGAGTTACCATAATGACATTTTCAGGAATCGAAATAAAGGGCCCTTGATACGCTGTATAATTGGGTCGCCAGCGGCATGATAATGAAGCTGAGAGATTAATTATACAGGACACTATTTTCAAGAGGACCTGCGGCATGTAATGCTCCCTTGTCCCTGCAAGTTCAGTATTGGTGTCCAGTATTGTTTACAGCTGGCAACATTAATTATACAAGCCTTGATGGCATAAATATATAGGGCTATTTTAATGGCAATGAAATAGAATTGCATTGCTGCCGCCAAAACGCTTGCCAGGGCCGGAGTTTGGTCCTGAATTCGCCTAAACAAACATGAATTCGCTGGTACAGGTTACAACGCCAATGTATTTTTGCATAGTGCAGTTGAAATGGCAGATACGCTCGAATTCTAAAACACATTTAGGCAAAGCAATTTCAACCATAGCCAGCGAATTTCCAAGCAGGTTAAAATAAACTCGTGCTGGAAAGCATGCGTTAAACGACAGCCTTATTGCTTATTCTCAGCCTATGCATTGTGATACATGGATAAAATTGCATGTTGTTTTAAAACCATTCAAAATAAATACCTGATTCCAATACATCGGCCCCATACCATTTTAAATTTAGGTGAAGTGCCAATACACATGGCCGACGTGCCAGCCATAGCACTCCATATTTGGGTTTCAAGCACCAATATTAATTTCATCCCTTGATTTGAGTTTCCTTTTGAAAAAAACGAAATAAACCCTGCGGAGTAACCCTATCCGTTTGACTGACACAGCTGCTTAATAGAAAATCACAAACATCAAACATGAAAAAAATGAGGTCACTGCTTTTAAATGGCTGATATGCAATTATAGTGCACATTCACCTATTTGTATACAATATAGGTTCAAAGCAAATTCTCAACATTGGCATGATATAATCTGTACTGGGTATTGTAATCATGTCGAGTTGTTTTAGTAGTTGTATGCATAGCCACCCATTTTCAGAATATTTAGGCAAATACATACAAGCAAATATGAGTTTTAGTAACGTCACAGCGATGTCCTAATTCCATTTAAGCTTGTAGTATAAATGATATTGCAAACAAAGCATGTGAAGCATTTCTTAAATTTATTTTAATCAGACGACTTGTGTTGTCTGGATTGCTGTGCTTTTATTAGCGCAAGGTTTCTCAATTCCCAACCTATATAAACACTCTTTATTTTCCAGCGATTCCCCACCTTTGAGTGCTTGATAATTGTAATTCCATTTCATATACATTTTCCTATTATTCACAATGAGCCATTTCTTCAAGCGCATAGCTGCGCGCAAGCCTTTAGATGCAGTTCAGGCTGAACTTCATGCATCCGAGTACAAACGTGCGCTGACTGCGTTTGATCTGACTATGTTGGGTGTCGGCGGTATTATCGGTGCTGGTATTTTTGTATTGACTGGTAAAGCTGCTAGAGAGAATGCCGGTCCTGGTATTATTATCTCGTTTATAATCTCTGGTATTGTGTGCTCTCTGGCATGTTTATGTTATGCCGAGCTTGGATCAACGCTGCCAGTATCTGGTTCCGCATACTCGTTTACTTACGCCGCACTAGGCGAAGTACTGGCTTGGATTGTTGGATGGGATCTTATGTTGGAGTACCTTGTTGGTGCTGCTACCGTTGCTGTGGGTTGGGGTGTTTACCTTGATATTTTCATTGCCGGTCTTGTGGGAAAACAACGCATTTTTGATCCCCGCTACTCGAACGCACCATTTGTCTGGCATGAGGAGAACCATACTCCAGGAAAGGCTGCCGGATTCTACATGAACCATCTTACTTGTCTTGACGGGTCCGATTGTATACCTTACTTTAATATCCCTGCGTTTGCCATTGTCATTGCTCTTACTATTATGCTCTGCTATGGTGTCCGCGAAAGTACTCGGGTCAACAATATTCTTGTGTCTGTCAAGATGATTGTCTGCGCTGTGTTTGTTTTTGCTGGAATCAAGTTTATCAACCCAGCCAACTATGTTCCATTTGTTCCTCCAGAGCAAGGTCATGGTCGCTATGGTGTCAGTGGTATTTTCCAAGGATCTGTCGCTGTATTCTTTGCGTATATTGGATTTGATGCTGTTACAACCACTGCACAAGAAGCTGCCAACCCACAACGCGATTTGCCCATTGGTATTATCGGATCTCTTGCTATTTGCACCGTTTTCTATGTTGCAGTGTCAGCAGTTCTTACCGGTATGGTAAACTACAGTACAATTGATCTGAGTGCACCCGTTGGTCAGGCTCTTATTGATGTTGGCATGCCTGTGCTTGCTGTTATTGTTTCGTTTGGTGTCATTTGCGGTCTTACTTCAGTCATGCTGGTTCTTATGATTGGTCAGCCTCGTATTCTGTATGCAATTTCCCTTGATGGTCTTTTGCCAGCCATCTTTTCCAGAATGAGCAAATCTAATGGCACTCCTTACTTTGCCACTATTGTATCTGGTGCATTCTGTGCGCTTTTAGCTGGTCTGCTTCCAGTAGATCTTCTCGGTAATCTCACATCTGTAGGCACACTTTCTGCCTTTTTCCTTGTTTCTGTGTCGACACTGGTTTTGCGTATCACCGAGCCAGATCTTCCCCGCAAATTTGAGATTCCTGGTGGATTCTGGTTTGGAGGCATTTTCATTCCCTTCCTATCGGCCTTTTTCTCAATTGCACTTTTCTCACAAGCAGCTGTATCGTCAATTTCGCGAGTATTCATTTGGATGGCAGTTGGCTTATTAGTATACCTATGTTATGGATACAGAAGTTCGAAACTTGGTAAACAAATTTCTGGAAAAATGTCCCACACTAAACCTGTCGAGGTGGATTCTTTTTCGGAGAATACCAAGGTATGAGCAAGCCATTTCAGTAATTTTTTACACTGTTGCCACTTTCTGCATGATCCATTATCATTACAGCCGTATTCATGTAAAATGGAACACTGTATTTTTATCTTGCAGTGATTTTTGCTTCAAAATAAAAAATATTTAAACATTTGCTATACTCCTCATGACTTGAGTGCTCGTTTAATCAACACAGCATCTGTTCACAATGCAGTCAAACCAATTTATACAGAATGATTTCTGGTATAACCAAGCATTGTGCAATCACAGCATTTGTGATCACTCTGGGCTGGCAATCAACCCCACTCCCAGTCTCGCGCTTGAATAGTTTGAGTGAGTGACGATTGCACGTTTCAGGGATGCGATTCTCGTTTCCGTCCCGATCGCAGGACAAGCCTCTTGTCGAGGAGTTTACAGCAGTGCTGCCTAGTAAAATTGATGGGAATTGGCCAGTTATTACATCGACACCCTTATTTAGTGTTCCTTTTACATGAACATGGCTGTAAGCCGACACACATCAAAAGGTATAGCTAAAACTAAGCAATTCACAGCCTTGCCAAAACATCCCTAGCAAATTTCTAATACATGTTAGCAGCTGATGAGTGTCAATGCTAAAGCTTAGTCTAAATTGAAAATACTGTGTACGAATAACAACTACATTTGAATAAAGCTGCCGATAAAATGAGCCTTTACCCGTCCTATTTTTTGTACTACTGCGCTTCGACTTTGCATAGGATACACATTCACATTTAGTTTGGCCTCCCTTGCTTTATCTTGTAGAGTCTTGCCATGAATGGCCCAACACAATCGGTCTGCATATAAATAGTACCTATTACGAAAACATTGGATTGTGCCTACCTATTGATTTTTATTGATTTCAACTCTGAACTAATCAACTCTTATAGTTGCAGTCTTTCCATTAGTAACGCGATTAGTCATTTGCTCAGCCCACAATTACATTCATCTTCAATGAACATTCTATTCATGTTAATCTTTTCAACCATTGCACATGCAGTAGTCTTGTCTGACACGCAAACTCAATCATCAGACAATTGTGAATGTAAATCAAAAAGTACTAGTTCGTCAAATAACGTGCAGCCATGTCAAAGATATAGATCTGAATATATTGACTTGCAAAAATCAGTAAAGCATATCGAGGCTATCATGATAAAATGGTGCGGCGAGAATGAACAAAACAAAGGTCTTTCAGTCAAAGCCCTTGTCGAATGTCGGGAAGCAAAACATAGATACAAGAGAGCAGTGGAAAAATTAAAGGCATTCGAGAAAACACATATACCGAAAGAGGGATGCCTGAAAACTTTTTATAAAAAAATAGTCTCGTTTGGTTCTAAATAAACAAGTTCAAAACTAAAGCATACCAAATGCATTTTTACCAAAACTAGCTCTAGACAATACTCATCACACATTCAATGAATCGTTGGGTATTTATTAAATCTGAAAACCTATAACGAAATAGCTTAACATTGAACGATAACAACAGACGAACATTGTACTCGAGTTATAGCAAACACTACGATTTGAATACAACAGATTTGGAATGTGTAAAATCATCCAAAAATATTTTTCCAGACATCCTTTTGCCGACTACAGAGTTTCTGTATCCATAGCAAAAGTACACAACAAGACCAATACCCATCCAGATGAACACACGTGCCATGGATGCCATCGAAGCTTGAGAAAAGAGACCTGCCGAGATAATTGCCGAAAGAAGCGGGACAAGCATACCGCCAATGTATTTTCCACCAGGAATCTCAAATTTGCGAGGAAGATCAGGCTCGGTGATGCGCAAAACAAAGGTAGAGACAGCAACAATGAAAAAGGCAGAAAGTGTGCCTACAGAATTCAGATTACCAAGAAGATCTACAGGAAGAAAGCCAGCCAAGAGCGCGCAGAATGCACCAGAAATGATGGTGGATGCCACGGGTGTTCCTGTCTTGGGATTCATTTTATTGAAAAGAGCGGGAAGGAGACCATCTTTGGACATGGCATAAAATACACGAGGCTGGGCAATCAAAATGACCAGCATGACCGAGGTAAGACCACAAATGACACCAAATGAAACAATGACAGCAAGAACGGGGAGACCGACATCAATAAGAGCCTGACCAACGGGTGCAGCCATATTAATTTCCGAGTAATGAACCATGCCAGTAAGAACTGTAGACACTGCAATATAAAACCCAGTGCAAATTACAAGAGATGCAATGATACCAATGGGCAAATCACGTTGCGGGTTGGCAGCTTCCTGTGCAGTGGTTGTAACAGCATCAAACCCTAAATAGGCAGCAAACACAGCAACAGATCCTTGGAAAATACCACTGAAACCATAATGGCCGTGACTAGTCTCGGGTGGAACGTAGGGAGAGTAGTTGGCAGGGTTGATAAATTTGATTCCAGTAAGAACAAACACGGCGCAGACGGTCAGTTTCATGAACACAAGAATGTTATTAATCCAAGTGCTCTCCTTGACTCCATGGCAAAGCAGTACTATCATGAGCAGAATAATCAACATTGCAGGAATCTAAAATCAAGCATACCAATCAGGGTTAGAAAAAGTTGCTGTAACGAGTGTACAGGAAATTGGCTATTAAACCCATAAAACATCACTTACATTGACAAAAGTCTGGCACTGGGATCCATCAAGGCACTCGACAACGTTCATGTAGAAGCCAGCACCTTTACCGGGAATTTCGTTGGCCTCGTACCAAACAACGGGTGCTTGTGCAAAACGGGGATCGAAAACCCGCTCTTTTCCAAAAAAGCCGGCAATGAAAATGTCGAGATAAACACTCCATCCAACAGCGACAAGGGCAGCACCAACCAAGTATTCTAAAATCAAGTCCCAGCCAACGATCCAGGCAAGAACTTCACCCAATGCAACATACGTGAACGAATATGCGGAACCAGATACTGGCAGAGTCGAACCAAGCTCAGCATAGCACATACAGGTTAAAGCACATACAAAGCCGGAAATGAGAAAAGAAATGGTAATGGCCGGGCCAGCATTTTGGCGTGCAGCCTTTCCAGTAAGCACAAAGATGCCAGCACCCATGATTGCTCCGACACCCAGCATAGTCAAATCAAATGCAGTTAGTGCACGTTTGTAGTCCGAGTGACCAATTTCGGCAGTAATAGTATGCAATGGCTTGCGTGCCACAATGCGTTTGAAGAATTGGCTCATGATGTGAAGGAATGTAGATCAAAGAATTGGTTAATCAAAATTCAAGATATGCGAGTGTAATTATAATGTCCTAGGTGAGTTTGAAGACTAGTCGTGTTGATGAAATGATTTTTAAAGGTATGCCTGCGAGTCTTTTGAATCCTGGTCAAACTAAGAATAGTTGACCTCCACTTTATATTCAATATTTTTAAAGCACTGAAGACTCCCTAAAATTATCCCAACTTGATCACATTACACCCCCTTTGCCACATCTGAAACAGGGCGGATCCGTGTATCGCCCTTTAATCATATTCAATAATAGCGTAAATGCGAAATTTTAAACACGTAGCTAGTAAAAAGCTTGTCGGATCCCTGATTTGCGCTGAAATGTTCAAGAGTGGGTATACTAGGATAACATGGCGGAAATAATGCATATACTTGACCAATTGAATGCTACTTGTACTAGACGAGACAGTACTGATTGAGTAGTTGTAAGTGTTGTGTCGACCACTTTAAAAAACATGCCAAAAGGTAAACTGTACACCTACGCCAAATCAGGACTACGAACACAAGGGAAGGTTTTTAGTTTACCTATCAATTAGTGCGGCTTTAGAAGCAGAGGTCGTGATAGTCACATGGTTAAAAGGGACGAAAGATTGAGGTCACCACCCTTCCAAAACACAATAATTAACCAAGCTCGTTGAACTGTCTGAATGTTATTTTATGCCCAGAGTTTTGGAACCATATTCAAGGCGTAGGTGATGGTATTACTCAATGTTTTAAATAAAAACTACATCCCATGTTGATTTATTCAACCACTAGTATTCATTTAAAAGATCGTAGCTGCTCAGTGAAAGTGTTTTGCCCATTATTGGACATACACACTTGCTTGTGGCTGTAGATAATCCATTATTTGTTTTTCAAACAATGGACACGATGTTTTTTGAAGGTCAAAACGGCCAGATTAACGCTGTTTTCAAAAAGGGTGGGCTGAAAAATGCACGGTTATCCGGAAAACATCAAGTGCATGTTTGTAAACACAAAGCCGACGCTTTCATAGATCTCTATCTAGTATCAATTTGCACCGATCGGATTAAGGCGATTAACTGCGTGAAGCGACTGACCCTTTCGCCAGCATTCAAACAGTAGTTGAGCATCAACACGCAAGATTCTAATAAAGATCAGCAAACTAGTGATGCGATATGTTATTGAATAGTTTATATCACATGGAAAAATTTAAAAAGCGCTTGATGAGGCTTGTCACTAAAAACAATGTATCGACAATAAATACAATTAATTATTGAATACTGTACAAACAAGTCGTATATTTTTAAAGAATTGACCAAGAGTAGGGCCATATGAAAACAATGGCATCCGAAATGCTGTTTCTATGCCAATTTGTTCTTGGCTATGGCTTTGTCAATGCCAAACGAGTGGTTTTAAAGCGACAAGCATGCAAGTGGTAAGATTGGCAGTGTGCATTAGCACGAGCCATCTAAAAAGCAATGCAGGTAGATCTGATGGCATTTGATAGTGCTCGGGTTCAATAGTCAACACAGAGGCATATCAATACTGCAAGTCTGATTACTATTTCAGCCGTATTCACAAGCCCAAATCGCATCATGGAAACCATCATACTGGTCAAAGTTTGGACATCCAATGAGTGAAAGTGGGGTTTTCAAATATCGACTATTTCGAGTCATGTCTCATGCGTTACACATGTGACTCAAAGCAGTCGATGTTTGAGAGCGGCAGTGTGCTTTACCGCACACTCAATCTAGATGGAACAACGGTTTAATGCAAAAACTCTATTAGAATTCAAATTTTTATACCATAATGTAAAGCAGTCGTGTTGCAGTCATACCATGTACCAGTTCACTTTTTAAACTGTTTGAAAATAAGCTAGTTTATCTTTTTGGTTGGTTGAGAAAATATCCCTTGAATTACAAACAACCGTAGTTGAATAGGATGTAGGGTTGAAAGTTGTAAAAGCAGCATCCTTAATGGGTGACATGGAAAGGGTTCTTGGTGTAATCTAGTAGTTTATAGGTTTGTCATGGCCACTATCCATTGCATTACAGAGATGCTAAATAAATAAAAAGGGCTTAATATTTGCAAAGCTTCATCGGCACTCTTAGGGCTTTTCTAAACAGCTGAAGCCTCCCTTTATTTAATGGCCCCTACTTTTGAAAAATATATCTACGTCGTTTCGCCCCACTTGTAATCCATAAAAAACAATCGTAATTCGACTTTCACTTGCCAAATCATCTTTCAAAAAGTATACTTTGTACCCATACCAACCTGATTCTAAAGCTCATTTATTAGCCTGAATTAGACAACATACTTGAGATCTTGAAATTCTATTCTCCAACTTTTGAAACCTCGACTTTATTGAATTTTTTTGAAAATGAGTTCTATTTTTAAGCGACTTTCAGCACGTAAACCTATTCACAGTGTTTCCGAGGAGGTAAATACCTCGGAATACAAACGACCACTAACGGCGTTTGATTTGACTATGCTGGGTGTCGGCGCAATCATGGGTGCAGGCATCTTTGTGCTTACCGGCAAAGCAGCTAGAGAGAATGCTGGCCCAGCAATTATCTTGTCGTTTGTTATCTCTGGTTTTGTGTGTGCGTTTGCATGTTTATGTTATGCCGAACTTGGATCGACTCTGCCAGTATCTGGTTCCGCATACTCGTTTACTTATGCCGCACTAGGAGAAGTACTGGCTTGGATTGTTGGATGGGATCTTATGTTGGAGTACCTTGTCGGTGCCGCAGCTGTTGCTGTTGGCTGGACTGGATACCTAGATATCATTCTTGGCGGATTTGCGGGTCGCGAACGCTTGTTTGATCCTCGCTTTGTTAACGCGCCGTTTGTTTGGCTCGAAGAAGGAGATGTAAGTGGCAAATCGATGGGATTCCACATGAACATGGTTCAGTGTCCAGGCGACACTGAATGCCAGGCGTTTTTTAATGTAAGTAGATTACTCAACATGGCTTTTAAGCGCATCTATCCTAATGCATACACTACCATTATGTGGTTTCGTGACCTAATGCCAAAACCTTGAATTCTTGACTAATTGTTACTTTGGTTTACAAATGCAATTGATTTCAGTTTCCTGCATTTATCATTGTCATTGTCCTGTCTGCGCTACTCTGTATGGGAATTCGTGAAAGTTCGTGGCTCAATAATACACTTGTTTTCCTGAACTTGACTGTATGCAGTGTCTTTATCTTGTCAGGAATCAAGTTTATCAACCCAGCCAACTACTCTCCATTTATACCCCCAGAGCAAGGTCACGGCCATTATGGTATGAGTGGTGTTTTCCAAGGATCAATTACAGTATTCTTTGCATATATTGGATTTGATGCTGTTACAACCACTGCACAAGAAGCTGCCAACCCACAACGCGATTTGCCCATTGGTATATGTGCTTCATTGGCAATTTGTACTGTTTTCTATGTTGCAGTGTCTGCTGTATTGACTGGCATGGTACACTACAGCACAATTGATCTGACTGCACCTGTTAGTCAAGCTCTTATTGATGTTGGCATGCCTGTGCTTGCCGTTATCATTTCTTGCGGCATTCTCAGCGGTCTCTCATCTGTGCTGTTGGTGTCTTTGATTGGTCAGCCTCGTATCTTTTACTCGATGGCGTACGACGGACTATTTCCGGCAGTATTTGCTACAATGGATCAAAAGAAGGGCATTCCATATGTTGCCACCATTGTATCTGGCATTGTCTGTGCGTTCCTTGCTGGCTTGCTTCCTGTAGATCTTCTTGGTAATCTCACATCTGTAGGCACACTTTCTGCCTTTTTCCTTGTTTCTGTGTCTACACTGGTTTTGCGTATCACCGAGCCAGATCTTCCCCGCAAATTTGAGATTCCTGGTGGATTCTGGTTTGGAGGCATTTTCATTCCCTTCCTGTCGGCCTTTTTCTCAGCTGGACTTTTCTCACAAGCTACTGTTGCATCAATTGGTCGTGTGTTCATTTGGATGGCAGTTGGGTTGGTACTGTATGCTTGCTATGGGTATCATCACTCGAAGCTTGGCCGACAGATGAGTGGTAAGATGACTCTTTCCATGGATACAAAGATTCGCGAGTTCAAGGTGTAATTTACGGCCATGTTCACGTAAAATGGACCGTTTTTCTGTATTTATCTTGCAGTCAACCTCTGTTTTTCTTCAGAATAAACAATGATTAAAAAAGTATCCGATTTCTAGTAAAACAGCAAGTATTTTACAAGAGCTCTGTTGTATCCTAGTATTAGATACATTTGCGATCTAGTTCAAGTAAATATCCGAGATTCAATTGTTTCCATGCAATCACTCAATGTTTGAGGAGAGTTGCAGGTTGAAGAGATGTGTGATCTATTGGACCTGGAATGTAAACATTCGTTCTGTATTTTTGTACAAGAATAAACACAGAGATTAGTAAACCCAAATGAGTTGATAAAACAATATTACTCGGTAATACTGGCACCAAACATAGTTGTTCACTATGTACATTGACTCTATTTAGTGATTTATTTTACGTGAAGACAGCTTGTAAGTTGAATAAACATTAGCCCACTCTTACAAGCCAATTCAATTGGTGTTTGTGAATAATGTCGTGAATGTCTCGATTGACTCGATGGCCGTGACAACCAATACATAATCGACTCAAAAATTCACAAGCGGCCTCAAGTCAAGCATTTAGATGCAGCAAGTGTCTTGCCAATACTTGGTCATGATACGCTCAAAATCACAATTATCAACTGAAAGCACGATCAGGAATATAGGTTTTGGAATGCTACAGTGCGGCATGTATAGTCATCCCTAAATGATAAATTACCAATGCTTTTCTTTTGCACTCTCCATCTCCATTATCAACGCCTAGGAATATATCGCCCAGGCACTTTTGATCAACCGCTACTTCAGATATAGAACTAGAGACTTTTAGTGGATTGTGTTGATCACACAATTCAGCAGTTTGCGTCTAATCCAAGACATAAATTTGGCTTATTTACTATTAAACATTGCAATCCTATACAATATCAGCATTAAGCAAACAAAAAGGAATATAATTTGTGGCAAACCTCGAAGCATAATATACCTATACAGACCGCTGTCAGCCAAAGGGCATCAAACCATTGCATACTCGTCAATTTGCTTGCGAGTTGCTTTTTCATGCAAGCAAAGCATTTGCAATAGCCCTAACCTTTGTCATTAATACCCCCTGTCTGAGCCTTATGGGTTAGGGTTACTTTGCCATTCCATTTTAAGCAACGGCTACGGCCTAGTTCATCCCTTGTAATATTTTTAATCTGAATAGGGTGAAGCACAAGTTTCTATGTTGCTTTAGTGTTTGTGCGTTATTTGATTTGGCAAAGCTTATTTGTCATTCTCGAGAATCCAACCCAGCCCACTTGCTTTGCATGTGATTAAAATGATCTCAAATAACTTAAATAGAGTGCAGTTTGAACGGTCCTCGTCATCTCAAAACTAACGCTCTCTTGATACTCGTCTTCAAGCTCGATCTTTTTAAATTCACCAGTTTCTGCGAATATCCCACAAGCAGGTATTTTCAGTCACTAACAAGCCGTATTCGGACAGTCTACAAAACCCTTTCTATATCTTGAGCTGTACATGTGCATCAGCCATCAAGTAAAAAATTTTATCTTTCGAATACCTATCGCTCGAATATCTGTTTTTATTCAATAATGAGCGAAATCTTTAAACGAATTAGTGCTCGAAAACCAATCTCGAGCGTAAATGAAGATGCAAACTCTTCAGAACTAAAGCGCCCTTTGGGAGCAGCGGACTTGGTCATGCTGGGTGTCGGTGGAATCATTGGCGCTGGTATTTTTGTTCTCACTGGAAAAGCTGCCCGCCAACACGCAGGACCGGGTATCATTATCTCGTTTCTTATTTCAGGACTTGTCAGTGCGCTGGCATGCTTGTGCTATGCTGAACTTGGATCGACTCTGCCAGTATCTGGTTCCGCATACTCGTTTGCCTATGCCGCACTGGGTGAAGTTCTTGCCTGGATCGTTGGCTGGGATTTGATGATTGAATATCTCGTTGGTGCTGCAGCTGTTGCTGTTGGATGGAGTGTTTATCTCGACATTTTTGTTGCCAGTCTTTTCGGAAAAGAGCGTATCTTTGATCCCCGTTTTGCACAAGCACCCATTATTTGGTATGAAGAAGGTGACATGCCTGGTAAAGGTGCTGGCTTCTACATTAACCAGGTAGAATGCCCCGACGGTTCCGAGTGCTCGGCAATTTTCAATATTCCTGGATTTGTCATTGTGCTTCTTCTCACTGGACTGCTCTGCTACGGTATGCGAGAAAGCGCATGGATCAACAACGTGCTTACTGCCGTCAACATGCTGGTCTGTGTCGTGTTTGTCCTGACTGGAATCAAGTTCATTAATCCCGCCAACTATGTTCCATTTGTTCCTCCACAAGAGGCACATGGTCGTTATGGTCTTAGTGGTGTTTTCCAAGGATCCGTTATTGTATTCTTTGCATATATCGGATTCGATGCTCTTACCACCACGTCCCAAGAATGTGCAAATCCACAGCGTGATCTGCCTATTGGTATCATTGCATCTGTCACCATTTGCACACTATCGTACGTTGCTGTTACAGCCGTTTTGACTGGAATGGTGCACTACAGCACAATTGATTTAAACGCGCCTGTCGGTCAAGCACTGTATGATGTTGGTCTTCCTGCTCTTGCTGCTGCTGTCTCTTTTGGAATCATGTGTGGTTTGACCTCGGTGCTATTGGTGGCCATGATTGGTCAGCCGCGTATCTTTTACTCGATGGCTCAAGACGGACTTGTTCCGGAAGTATTTGGCAAGGTCGACAAAAAGAACGGTACACCATATGTTGCCACCATTGTATCTGGTGTTATTGGAGCGTTCCTTGCTGGTTTGCTTCCAGTTGATTTCTTGGGCAATCTCACATCTGTAGGCACACTTTCTGCCTTTTTCCTTGTTTCTGTGTCGACACTGGTTCTGCGAATTACTGAACCAGATCTTCCCCGAAGGTTTAAGATTCCCGGTGGAAAATACGTTGGTGGTATGGTTATTCCGGGACTTTCGGCGCTTTTCTCACTTGGACTTTTTTCCCAGGCATCCACGGCTTCAATTGCTCGTGTATTCATTTGGATGGCACTTGGACTAATAGTGTATGCTTTATATGGATACAGAAGCTCAAAAGTGGGAAAACAAATATCTGGAAAAATGGCTCCAGCAAAGTCTCTTTACACTGTTTCGGAGGATTCCAAGGCCTAGGCTTTTTGAAACTTGATCTTGTTTGAAATAAAAAAAACAATTGATTTACTGATTTGATTTTTGACTGAACCGTTGATTTTGGAATATAAACATCAATAAATGGCGCTGCAGTTCATTTGTTTGCGGTGCTGTTTTATTTTGCTGCATCGTCGAGTCAAGCTTGCTAGGTATCAAAGTGTCAGAATATCACTTTCACATGGTTGTACAATTATTCTCGAGCAAGTATTAGATCTATTCAATATCAGATTAAACAAATACAGCGTTTATTATTACAAGCGCCAGATCACCAGCTCGGCTTAAAATCCCGCTCAAAAGCAAGGTTTTCAAGCCATCCATCAACTAACCACCAATTAAGCCTGCGCCAATGTGCTGCGTGGGGTATGAAGTTATGCAAGCTATATTTCAAGCAATCGTTTCTGGAGATAGGGCAACAAAATATTGAAGCAAAGCAGGGTGGTTAAAAAAGGGCACGAGTATGTTGAGGATGGAGCTAGATTGCAGTGTCTGCTGAATTAGCGCACCTGATATGATAGACCTGCAAAGATGGCTTAAATGGTTTGGAACTCGAGTCTGGTTGATTGACAGACCCAATATCTGCCAACCAAACCTCATATTTAAGTTATAGTAGCTAGAAGGTCGAGTATGGCAGAGCTAGCTTTACTTGTTTGCTGATTGCAAATATGAAATGGCTAAAAATCGACATTAGATACTATCTCCTTGCAATTGTGCTTTACCGTCCAAAACTCGTCAAGTGGTGTATCCACATAAAAGCGGCTAATCTATTCATACAAGCACTCCAAACTGCTCTGTAGCTCATCCAATCATGACATACTAGAGAATTCAAACTGGCTGATTCAACCATCTCAGTAGTAAAGCTTATTTACAATGTACTCGAAAACTATGCGATGCATGTCAGAAGCAACCCATATACAATAGCATGCTTATACAAATGTAAGCAATCGTTATAAATAGCCCATATCCTGATATGATTATTTTTCGTAAAGCCCAAATGATAAGGGCGAGGGTGCTTGTGCAGTGGCAAGAAATCATACCAAAAAACAGTGCTGGCTTAGGAGTCGCGTAAATTATGTATACATATGGCCCTATCAGATTTTAAAAGGGCTTGCTGCATTAAAAACAGTTTTTTAAAAGTGTAAATAGGATATCATAAACTATATCATAACAAGTTTTCTTAGTTCAAGTCGGCAAATTATTCGATTGAATATATGCCGCACGAGCAAAAAAACGGCTTGTCTAGTTTGAAAAATCATCTTTATTGGTTAGAATTTCAATTGCTTAACAGAATCATACTGCAAGGACGGAATAAAAAAGAACGTCCCACCAGCCCTAACAATATATTGGACAACTTATATAAGCTACCTACTTCCACAACTTTAAGTTACTATTCCCCTTCAATTAACTACGTTCCCTTTTCTTGCATTCGTCTCGAAATATCCTCTACTAACTGAATAATCCTTTCCAACATATTGAAACTTTGCTTGACCAATCCTCTGATCTACGACTCTTCACATCATGACCCAATTCTTCAGACGCCTTGTGGCGCGGAAACCTGTTCATGATATTGGCGAAGAAATTAACAAGTCCGAGTATAAACGTGCACTAACTGCGTTCGATTTGACCATGTTGGGTGTTGGTTGCATTATGGGTGCTGGCATCTTTGTGCTTACTGGTAAAGCTGCACGCCAGAATGCTGGACCAGCCATTACCATTTCTTTTCTCATTTCCGGCTTTGTGTGCTCGCTGGCATGCATGTGCTATGCCGAACTTGGTTCGACCCTGCCAGTGTCTGGCTCAGCGTATTCGTTTGCCTATGCCGCACTGGGTGAAGTTCTTGCCTGGATTATTGGTTGGGATCTTATGTTGGAGTACCTTGTCGGTTCTGCCCTTGTTGCTGTTGGATGGAGTGTTTATCTCGACATTTTTGTTGCTGGTCTCTTTGGAAAAGAGCGTATCTTTGATCCCCGCATTGCACAGGCACCGTTTGTTTGGCACGAGGCCAACGAAATTCCCGGTAAAGGTGCTGGCTTCTACATGAACGTTGTCGAGTGCCTCGATGGATCCCAGTGCCAGACTTTTGTCAATGTAAGTGATGTTTTATGGGTTTTAATAGTCAATTCTCTGTACACTCGTCACAGTAACTTTTTCTAACCCCGATTGGTATGCCTGATTTTAGATTCCCGCTGCCGTCGCCATTCTTCTTCTTACCATTCTTCTCTGCTTTGGTGTCCGTGAAAGTAGTCGAGTCAATAACATTCTTGTGTTCATGAAACTGATTGTCTGCGCTGTGTTTGTTCTTACTGGAATCAAATTTATCAACCCTGCCAACTACTCTCCCTACGTTCCACCCGAGACTAGTCACGGCCATTATGGTCTTAGTGGTATTTTCCAAGGATCCGTGTCTGTGTTTGCTGCCTATGTTGGATTTGATGCCGTTACAACCACTGCACAGGAAGCTGCCAACCCGCAACGTGATTTGCCCATTGGTATTATTGGATCTCTTACCATCTGCTCCGTTTTCTACATTGCAGTGTCTGCGGTTCTTACCGGTATGGTTCATTATTCGGAAATTGACATGGCTGCACCCGTTGGTCAGGCTCTTATTGATGTCGGTCTCCCCGTCCTTGCTGTCATTATCTCGTTTGGTGTCATTTGTGGTCTTACCTCGGTCATGCTGGTTCTTATGATTGGCCAGCCACGTATCTTTTACTCAATGTCCAAAGATGGTCTCCTTCCCGCTCTTTTCAGTAAGATGAATCCCAAGACAGGCACTCCTCTACAGGCTACCATCGTGTCTGGTACTTTCTGCGCGCTCTTGGCTGGTTTCCTCCCAGTCGATATGCTTGGCAATCTCACATCTGTGGGCACACTTTCTGCCTTTTTCATTGTTGCTGTCTCTACCTTTGTTTTGCGCATCACCGAGCCTGATCTTCCCCGCAAGTTTCAGATTCCCGGTGGAAAATACATTGGTGGTATGGTTGTCCCGCTTCTTGCTGCACTTATCTCGGCAGGTCTCTTTTCTCAAGCATCTCCAGCATCCATGCTTCGCGTGTTCATCTGGATGGGTATTGGTCTTGTTGTGTACTTTTGCTATGGATATCACCATTCTGTTCTTGGACGCCAGATTTCTGGAAAGCTTCCACGGAAACAGCCAATCCCATATCATGATGTTTTATCCAAAGTGTAGATGGTTACTTTTCATATTCAATCGATCGATTGGTTTTGCCAGTCGATGCAGAGAAAGTTTCAATCGCTGCTTCTTATTGAACAGAATTGTACAAAAGACTATATAATCGCTATTGGTTCACACCCAAAGTATGGTGAACTAAAATGTCTTTCGGTCTCATTTTCTTTGCTTGAATAAAACAAACATTCGTGCTTGATTGATAATTTCAAATGGTTGGATGATTTGACAAGATTTTGAGTGAAATATGGCTTTAAATAATCATTGATACACATTCAATTTTGCTGTTTCAAGGAATCGATCAGCGGTAGGATCGTACTATCAGAAACGACAACATTTGAAACTGCTATGCTAATCTACTCTTGGTGTTTTTGCTAATATCAAGCACATGGCTTTTAGAAATATAAAATTCATTTGTAATGTCAGATGATTAAAAAATCAGTAAATATCTAGCTTTTATTTACTAGCCCAACATGATTACAAAGCGACCGAATCCAGTGCCAATTTTTCAAGCGTGCTCACTGACCCCACGTTACACATCAAACATCAAACTCCAACTCAAAAGTCCGAGTGATAAATCAAATCGAATATTTAGTATACAAAATATTATACAATGCTTTTCTCGGAAAGCGCCTCGGTAGATTTAGTGTGAGACATTTTTCCAGACAACGACTTGCCAAGCTTCGAGTTTCTGTATCCATAACATAGGTAAATAACCAATCCAATCGCCATCCAAATGAATACTCGCGAAATTGACGATACAGCTGCTTGTGAGAAAAGTGCAATCGAGAAAAAGGCCGATAGGAAGGGAATGAAAATGCCTCCAAACCAGAATCCACCGGGAATCTCAAATTTGCGGGGAAGATCTGGCTCGGTGATACGCAGGACCAGTGTCGACACAGAAACAAGGAAAAAGGCAGAAAGTGTGCCTACAGATGTGAGATTACCGAGAAGATCTACTGGAAGCAGACCAGCTAAAAGCGCGCAGACGACACCAGATACAATGGTGGCAACATATGGTGTGCCAGTTTTGGCATGCATCCTAGAAAACACTTCGGGAAGCAGTCCATCGTACGCCATCGAGTAAAAGATACGAGGCTGACCAAGCATACTAACTAGCATGACTGAAGTAAGACCACAAATGACACCAAACGAAACAATAACAGCAAGAACGGGGAGACCGACATCGATAAGGGCCTGACCAACGGGTGCACTCAGATCAATTGTGCTGTAGTTTACCATACCGGTAAGAACTGCTGACACTGCAACATAGAAAACGGTGCAAATGGCAAGAGATCCGATAATACCAATGGGCAAATCGCGTTGTGGGTTGGCAGCTTCTTGTGCAGTGGTTGTAACAGCATCAAATCCAATATACGCAAAGAATACAGCGACAGATCCTTGGAAAATACCACTGGCACCATAGCGACCATGACCTTGCTCTGGAGGAACAAATGGAACATAGTTGGCTGGGTTGATAAACTTGATTCCAGCAAAAACAAACACAGCGCAGACAATCATCTTGACAAATACAAGAATATTGTTGATCCGAGTACTTTCACGGACACCATAGCAGAGAACAATGGTGAGAAGAAGCACAATGACAAACGCAGGGATATTAAAGTAAGGCGTACATTCGGATCCGTCGAGACAAGTGAGATGGTTCATATGAAATCCTGCACCCTTTCCCTCAACATCGCCATCTTCGTACCAAATAAACGGTGCGTTCGAGTAGCGGGGATCAAAAATGCGTTGTTTTCCCACAAGACCGGCAATGAAAATATCAAGGTAAACACCCCAACCCACAGCAACGGTAGCAGCACCAACAAGGTACTCCAACATAAGATCCCATCCAACAATCCAAGCCAGTACTTCGCCTAGTGCGGCATAAGTAAACGAGTATGCGGAACCAGATACTGGCAGCGTTGATCCGAGCTCGGCATAACATAAACATGCCAGAGAGCACACAATACCAGAGATTATAAACGAGATAACAATACCAGGACCGGCATTCTCTCTAGCAGCTTTACCAGTCAATACAAAAATACCAGCACCGATAATACCGCCGACACCCAACATAGTCAGATCAAACGCAGTCAGCGCACGTTTGTACTCGGACTTGTTAATTTCTTCACAAGTTAGCTCGACCGGCTTACGAGCAGCCAGACGTTTAAAAAAATGGCTCATTTCTGCTCAAGTACTAATTTAGGGAAAATAAGCTGTTTTCAAGATTAAATAAATCAAAGACGAAACAGGGTCGAGCACAGAATAGTCGCACTGATTGAGTGTTTAGGATCAAAAGGTCGGTGGATAGAGTATCGAGATAGTTGAGCCACAAAGCAATATTGGTAACAAGACACCTGTTCAACAGAATTTGTAAAAGGGAAAAGTAAGTTCAAGGGCAATCTACAGCTATATTTACGTAAAATAAAATACTAGAGTCTACGCATCATATGATGGACGTTGTACTTGTTGAAAAGACAATGCAGTTAATTACCAATAGGAAAATACAACGAATACTCACTGTTTTTACTCCGAAGCAAAGGTTACTACAGGATAAACACTGAAAAGTGATTCGTTTTATATGAATACGATACTTGACATACACCAATAAAAAGAGGCTTAGAACTTTGCAGCACTGCCGTGACTGGTGTATATGTGGCTATCTTATGATACGGGCTAAAATCCATGAGCGCATCGTATGCTTAACAAATCGAATACCTAACGTTAGCATTGCTTGCTACAGCTGGTAAACTGTCAGTATTTGTTTAGCGCGTTTGTTAATCACATTTGTTTAGTGGGTCGGCTAAAAGCTAATTGGGCTGTGGCCAAGACATTTGGAAAAATCAAAACAAAACAGCCGAGTCTGGCAGTGCACGCTTAGTCTATTCATGTTTGAAAAGCAAGTAAAAATACAATATAGCCACACGCTTGCCAGTAATGTATGGTAACTTTGAATCAAGCTATTTTTCAACCATAGGCTTGCATAAGATATGGATAATATTACAAGTATCAGACATTCGCCGCCGTATTCATGTAAAATAACACTAAATAAAAAAGTCGGTATAATAAATAGCCAGTCTCAAAGAATGCGATTGTGGCAGTTTACTGGACAGTAGTGTCTAAACTCGCTAAAGTTGGCCAATTCCTTGGGTTTATTTTGTATAAACTAAATGAATGCTCACATCAGTTTCAATACACTCACTTGCTCAATCTTCAACTCTCTACAAACACTATGGTGTTGAGTGATTAGCTTGGAAACAACAGCTGCATTCTTGGCATGTATGATTTGGCTTTTTGGCTTGGAACGCGGGCATATCCGAAACTTTAGAATACAACAGAGATGAGTGTAGTTTGATCGACAACACCAAAACAATCCAACCCAATCACTAGATTGTAATGGATGAATACGGTCCCAAACTTGTCGATCATACAATGTATGGCTATGTCAAAAAGAAGATGGCTGTTCAAAACTATAGTTTGAATCAGTGATGGTCGTTGTTTGGAGGTTGATCAAGGAAGCTGCGATGCTGTGATATTTTGGGATCTTCTAAACAATAACATTCAAGGACATTCCTTAATGCTCATTTGATTCTAGACAACATACCATCCACAAAAAAGTACCCACTGATTAAACATGATACATACTGATGATTATCAATACCTTTTTGTATCATCTCTCAATTCTTTTTGTCGATAGCTGCAGCTTTGCCATTCTCTTGACATGTGCAGCGTATTTTGAACCAATGTGTATTTCCAAGAAATTTGATGAATACAAAACAGTGCCTCGACAGTTTCGTAAAATCAGTGACAGCTACTATAAATTGATATATTCCAACTCGGTCATGTAAATAGTTGATGCATTACAAATAAACAACTGAATCTCAATCCTTAAAAACCCATCAAACTCCATATTTAAAAAAGCTGTCGATGTATTTATAAGCGCATTAGAAAGTTTACCAATCAAACCTGTCCATACCCACGTTTACGCAATGCCTGATTCATTAGCCACACAGGAACCTCGTACATATCAAACCAACTCACATCACGCAACTTGCCTCCACCACCACTCCAAAATCCAATACAGTTCGAAATAGGACCCATATCAAAAGGGTTTAAAATGCGTCTACGATAGGGTGGTGCATCAAGATCATCTGGATGAGTGAGATAGGCGAATCTTGCATGATTAATAACTTCGTTGGTAGTGCGTGACCATGCAATTTGTATTGATTGCTGAATAAGAAGAAAGAGAACCCAGGTTATGTGGAGAGTCGTCCAAAGTGCAATCTGAAGTGAAAAAGTATCGTACATGATAAATGTACAAACATAGTTTCCCATGTTGCATGTGCTGAGGTTTGATGGATAGCTTTCTGGGATTGTAAGCACATTAGATGAAATATCTAAATAAACACGGTATTTCAAATGAGATACGTTAGTCCTACAGATTCAATTATATATAGGTAAAAGCAGAGACTATTATACATACAGTGGAGGACTATATATACGAATATAGAACCACCGAAAACAAGAGTTATACAGAAACCCATAAAATATCGATGGTTTAGAGCTCCAATACAGTTGAACGTCCAAGGGCAATGACTAAAGTGTATATAGCATGAGAAATAATGCTACATTCATTCAACACAAAATTTAGCCCAGCAAAATAGACCACTTACTGGTCAAACTTGGCAACACAGCGATTACAGATCTTGCAGTGTTTACTGCGTAGCGGTTTTCGAACCTGACACGTTACACAGTAACTCCGATTATCCAGTTGACCATTATCTGCAAGATACATGACAGTCTAACAATAGAGAAAACATCAATAACGCATGATAACTAAACAGACAGACGATCCAAATAAGTAGTTTTCAAATATAAAGTATTACTTACTTCTCTTTTTTCTTCAGTGGATGATGCCGTTCGAATAAATCCAGGATCGCTTATGAATCCCATACATATACAATATATGTTGATGGTGTAAATGATAGCGAATAAGCAGTGATAAAAGTACACGTCTGCGGAATCTAAACATTTTCAAAAGTGTAGTATTAATGCGTTGAATTGGCTTTACAATATAACACAATCATGCCAACATATTCACTACAACTTACAAGATAAAGTCCGAATCCAAACCACAAAGACAAAAAACAAAGTGGATTGTAGCATACTTGCCATGAGTGGCATTGAAAACAAACGATTGACTTGATTATTCAATAGATAGCCAACAACCAGATATCTTTGAATAGCATAAAAGCAGATAATGAATATTGGAGTCGCAAAATACCAGGACATGGTTGCAAACAAATAGCAGGTTAAAGGAATGCCAAGAAACGGAAAGGTATACATGATCTTTTGTGTTGTAGGCTGTTTACATTGGTCAAACGTAGTATAAATTACATAGGAATGCAAATCTAGAGTTAGATGCTTGACAATATAATTCAAAATGATGTAGGTCAGCATATCAAAAATTACCGTCGAGAATGGAGTAGGCTGTTTCCGTCCTTTGGATTTCCCCGTTTCAAATAAGATATAGTCAAACTCTTCAGAATGTCCACGATCAACAGCCCAATCTCTTGCAGTTTTTCCCGACAAATCCTTGATAGTCAACGAGCATCCCTCGGTAATCAATTTTTTTGCAAAGTCAAATCGTCCAGAAATAACCTGGATTAGAAATAGTTGCAAACAAGTTGTAGTTTAAAACAGTTAGTGACCAACCTGAAACCTCATTTCAATCAATAATAGTGATGACAAAAGATCTTACAGCCCAATGAAGAGACGTATATCCAGTGGAATCAACCAGATCCAGCTGTGCTTTTGCACGAATAAGCTCTATTAAGCCTTCAATGGAATTTCCTTGGTAAGCAGCCCACATGAGCGGAGTATGTTGGAGAGAATCCAAAGCATCCACGTCAACACCAAGAGAGATCAGCAGTACAATCATCATGAGATGACCAGCGTGAACAGCCAGATGCAATGCATTATAGCCCTGTCCGTCACAAAGTTCTGGGTTTGCGCCTCGTCTATGTAAAAAAGATACTATTTGAACATGACCAGTACGAGCAGCCCAGTGAAGTGGAGTAGCGCTGAGATCGCCTGTCATCAACCAAAGTTAAAGCGCAATATTGCAAACTAGATTCAACCAGTAGTGTTTTCTAAAACCAAAAAGTCGAGCGTACCTCCAATGGCATCTACTTGAGCACCGCGATCCACAAGATATTTAGCGACAGCCAAATGATTGTTCTAAGATTACACTCGACAAGATTAGCCAATACTAAATCAATCCAATTCAGTCAATATAAATTACACTTACAATAGCAGCCCAATGCAAAGGAGTGCAATTTTCAGAGTCTCTTTCTGTAGCCGTTGCCGCTTCGCTTTCTATCAGAGTTGTCACTCGATCAAGCATTCCCATCTGACAAGCCTGAATTAACCCACAATCTAGTATGTGATTATATATGCAATCAATCAGAATAGGCAATACAGACACAATCTCATTGCAGTATCGCATTGAAGAGTTTATCTTGCACAATGATAAATATGTATACGCTCATGGGATTGTCTACCTTGTGGAAGTACAGAGCCTATAGCAGATGACGGCTGAGATGGTAACAATGGCTGATTATGGTCATTGCCAACTACATTGCTGTTGTTGTAAAGACTTGGTTCTTGATCATCGTCCATCTGACTAGATCCAAGAATGGAAACAGGCATGGATGCTGTAGACAATAGTTCGTTCTGTGCATGACTACATAGACTGTTATGAATGTGTCCATGTGAGTGAGTGTCATCCACAATCTTTCTGTGACTCTGCTGTTGGGTAGTAGCAGTTGTCTTGATGGAAGAAGCAGCAGCTTGCACATGGACCTCTGTAGTACTAGCAACAGACACTGGCAGCAAAGGAGCGCTATCCGAGTGCTTATCTATATTCATAATCCGTATATTCTCTTTGAGTAGTTGTTCCCAATAAGCTGGTTCCTATTACAGCTGTATCCACGTAAAATAACACTCGACTGTATCTTGCAGCAACTCGAATAAAAACAGTCGAGTCTTCGTTACGCCTTTATACTGCCAACTTGAATCAACACAACTTTATTGTAGATGCTCACAAATCAAACAGGATTTGAGTTGGAATTATCTTTTCATTGTACGATCACTAAATTCATGTATCGGACTCGATACAACTCAAACTTGTTTCAAAATATTATACATTCGCGCTCTCATTCAACAATCTTGATACTAACATGCCAATCTCCAAAACAGTAACAAGTTTAAAGAACACACTATTCAGTAAACTAGAACCAATCATGACTGTTGATTATACTTTTATTTAGTATTTCTTTTTACGTGAATGCGACTTGATAACAGTAAAAAAGTTGGACATTGACAAATCACAAAATATCAAATCAATATCATGCCATTCATGACTCAATACTCATATAATTAAATCGGTATTTATGATATAAGTATTATCATTCAAGTATAATTCATCTGTTATCTTCAAAGTCGTCATTTGCACTTTACGGATTTCAGAATTTTCAACAGCAAATCTGCACATTCACCAGATGACTGCAAAAACAGTTCCTGTACCAGTGAGTACTGTTGCTGCACCAGCCACTAGTCCAGAAAACGATCCATGGACTTCAGCCGACCAAGCAGAAATACTGGAATTCTCTCATCTTCCCCCACTTTCAAACGAAGAACTTCAGCTCTGGCAGCAAGTCACCTTGGAAATGACTGCTTTGCATGCTCAGCGTGCTATTAACGACGTTGCCCTTCAAAGAATGAATAAAGTTCATGGAAAGATTGCCGATAGACAAGAAGCCAAAGAAGGATTCTCTGTTAAAGCTGCTGTCAAACTCGGCATGATTTATAAGGATGCCATTGAAAAGGCTGAACAAGAGCTACGGTAATCTATCTTTGCATGCAAATCTATTGTATTCATGGCTGAAAACTCTAATAGTATTCTTATTGTGCGCTATACCGTAGAGTTGTGCAGAGAGCTTATGATCATCTTACTCGGTTGATTTCACTCCGAGAATCATCAGAATCAGGTACAAATCTAGTTGTGCTGATTTGCTCTCAATTCGTTTTTCTAATAATATGAATTGTTTTTAAAACCATGAGCCGGAATTGATTCAAAAAGAAAAAAACGCAGAGCCGAATCTAAATCAACTGTCAATGTCAAGCGCACTCGAGTGTAACGTACTTTTTCAATTGATCTAGTCACTTGTAGCTGCGTTGTCTAATTTGTAATTCACTTGTCCACATTTTGACTAGATCTGAAGTCGGATTAGATACTGTTCAACCAGACTTTGAGACCGGTGATCAGGTACTGTAATCTGGGCGGTATATATGGTCTTGTTTTGATGGAATGATGCTTGGTCAGGCATAGCTTAATCACGAATGGAATGACAAACTTACTGAATACGTACATTGCTAATCTTGACGTGCGTGTCAACAAGGTCGTGGCAAAAATTGAAGAGTGGATCTTGGCAAATATGATTGGGTATGCAGCTGATAAGGGAAAATACGAAGTAGAAGATGCCGAGGAAGATGACGAGAAGCCTGGTATCAAAAAGTAAACGTTGCGTTTTTGATTCCAATCTGCTTTCAGTGTATTCACCAAACTATTGTATACATTTGGCAGAAGGTATTTTGTGAGCTCCAAGATGCTTATTCAAATTCCCAAAGACACCACCAATATCAAGGAATTCTCTGTAAAGCAAAAAGTATTGGCTTTGTTTCCTTCAACAACGTGTTTTTATCAAGCTACAGTGGTGCTACCTCCAAGCTTGGCAAGTATACCAACTTCTAATTGCAGTTTTAAAAACCAGAAAACTAACCTGATTGTAATTCAAAATAATCTAGACTACAAGACATCAGTATGTAGTCATTTTTGAGGACGATAACAATTTTGAAAGAAATGTGGAGCCAAGAATGGTTTTGGAATACCCAAAATATATGTAATCCTCGATGCTGCAATCATCTCATGATCATTTACATGAGAATGGATGACAAGAGAAACCATTTTGAATAAATAAGATTCTCTTGTTTAATCTGCTTACATTTAATTGATAAAAATCATCTTGCATTGAATGTAGGCTTTGGTATGTCTAACATTGATCTCCCAGCAAATAAAGCAATAATAGTCCAATATTGTATTTAAAGTGTCGGAATCATCCTAGGTGTTTATTCAAGCAACAACCTTGGCTCTGCTTTTACGCTCAAGCAGTGCCTTGCGATCCTTGTCCATCTTGATTTTGGTAATGACAACATTGGATGGATGGATGGGGATAGGGATTGTGTTGCCGTTGGCCTTGTCGCGAGTGACCTTTTCAATGTAAATCACATACTTGCGACGGTAGACAGTGGTGACCTTTCCTTCACGGCCCTTGTGGGTACCACGAACGATCTGAACCTCATCCTCACGACGAATAGGAATCGAACGGACCTACAAGAAATTAATCAGTAATGTTGATTTAAATTTGAACATGAATTCACGGTCAGCTCTTCCAGATATGACAATAGCCAATCCTTTGAGTAAACCAGGTATTCACTGCTCAATATTCACAAAAAGGTAGCACATTAGACAATCAATTGATGCCATACGTTGTGCTTGGTGCGAAGCTCCTTCGATAGACCAGAGCTCATGATCACTCGACGGACACTGGAGGGTGCCGTGAAATGGGCCTTGCGAGACTTGCGTCGACTGCTGGAAACTACAATAGTCCAAACAGAGTGGTCCCATAGTTGAACAGTGGTTAGTATATACACTAAAACATTCAATTTACAAGAGTAAAAGAAACCAAGCAGAATCAAGGTTGTGAAGTGATCCATTCCATCAAGTCTCCAAACAAGCGAGACCTCCATCTATATTTAGACATGGATTTGACCGATACAAATAGTCAAATGCTACTGTAGTGACTTTTGTGATGACCGGAAACTCTGATGCAGCAAAAATCTATCATTTGCAGCACAAATGTCTTTCCATCAGTGTAGTACTGCAATCCGGACTTGTGTAAGCTAAAGACCGACTTGGCATTGCTCAGGCTTGCAGTTGAATCAATACAGTTTGGATGCATGGCTTGTATTCAAACGCTCTGGATGGATGGATGGATAGCATGCATGCATAGTAGGATGTATTATCATGCATCGACTCACCTGAAGTAGTCATTGTCCCTTGTGAGTTCGTAAGGTAAAAAAGTCGCAGTTGCAATTTTCACACAAAACTTGAACGCGTTTATGTTGCAAATCCAACTATTACGATTTCATTCAAGTCATATTCGCATGAAACACTAAACTGGCCGAATGTTTACAATTCTAACTAATTTCACAACTGTTCAACTCTTACAAGTTATTGGCATGTTTGTATTCCTACAATCCTTGTTCTCTTGATCTAGAATACAAACGTATTCGAGATTTTAGGATACTACAGACAAGTTGGAGAACAAATTCAATATATACTTTGTTGTATACAACGTTAATGAACGTAGCTTGGAACTTCCGATATTTTTGCAGCTCATATAAGCATATTCCAAATCTATGTACCAGATGCATTGAACACCAAGATATGAAGCAATCAGACCCTCACACTAGGAAATTGATTCCACAAACTCCCTTGCTGAGATCTCTTCACAATAATTGTTTAAATGAGAATTACAAATTCTAATGTTGAAATAGACTATATTTAAATGATTCAAATCACCCAGAAGGAAATAAGTAGGCGAGAATCATGGTTTGAACTTTCATCATTTATCTGATCAAGCAGCAACTTTTTCTATGGCTTCCAGCACGCCAATAGAGTTTCCTCTCACGACCTAGTTAATTCCATACATAGTATAATTGACTCAGTAAACAGTTGTCCATGCATACCAACTCCAAAAAGTAACCGAGATCTGTATGATATTTGGAGAAACACTTACAATACTGCCAAGAAAGTTCTTTTCACCATCACCAAGCTCTTCAGAAGCATCCTCCAGCACGATATTCATAAACGGATCGTACCCTACATCATTCAAATAAATGATAATACCATTGCAATTGAGTTGACTGCATGTTCCTTAATACAATACATGATTTAGTTTTGGACAAACTCATACCTCGAAGAACTCCAGTGACCTTGCGGTTACCGTTGAGCTGAACAAACAGTTTTCTGTCCATGTATCTGTCCATGGAATATACAGAAATAGTGATCCATTGTTATTATATATAAAAGGTGGTTAGATTCACATCTTAACTCATAGTCAGTCAACACATGGCTGGGCCTTTTCTATGCTACGTCATACAGATGCATGCACACTATCGAGTGCATACTTTTGCTTTGATTGGCTCAAAACCAAGAGCTGAATCGGTATATACTATAATCATGTATGTTTCCTTCCATAACTCCTGCAAACTCATTCAGAAATCATTCATACCTCTTTAGCTCAGGAGTCGGTGTCTTGCCCATTACTATTTGTCGAGTTGAAAGTCAAACTTGCAAAATTCAAGTTTTTCCCATTTCATAATATTGTCCTACAATCAAATTGATTTTGATCTCAACTTGATGATCACTCAATACATATAGATCATATTTGTCAAAAAATAAAATAGTCGCTTTTATTGGTTCAAATAACTCGAGCTTCAAGTAGAATTCAAGCGCTGGTTTTTGAAAAACTTTGCAATCTTGAACGCAATGTCCAGAGATTGAAAGTAATTGAGTCGAGGATCGCAAAATGTTTGATAGTTGGTCTGCAGATCTTCTTCTGCCAAGTTCATTGACCCACCAATTGTTTCTGTAACAGGATCACCAGTGAGCTCACAGTGAACACCGCCAAGATACGACCCACAGTTCTGATGGATGGCAAATGCCTGTGATAGTTCCTATTATTGGCATTCCAAGTCAAATGCGATTAATAAAGTCAAATAGATCAAACTATTTGGAGTCAAATAACATAGTGCAATACAAACCTCTACAATATGATCAAAACGTCGTGTCTTGATTCCAGTCGAGGTCGTTTCCGTGTTACCATGCATGGGATCGCAACACCAAACAACTTTATGGCCCGACTTTTTGACTGCCTCGATATGAAAAGGTAAAAAGTCTTTGATTTTGGATGCACCATATCGAGTGATCAGTGTCACTTTGCCAACTTCACGGCGAGGATTGAGAATGTCCAATAGAGGACCGAGTTCCTCGGGAAGCATAGTAGGTCCAACCTTGACACCAATGGGATTTTCAATACCCTTAAAGTACTCGACATGTGCACCAGACAGCTGACGAGTGCGATCACCAATCCACAGGAAATGTGTGCCAAGGTTATAGTGTAATTTGCTGGCAGAAGCCGATGTATGTTTATCATTAATCAGTGGAACGTGCTTTCGAGTAAGCTGCGACTCGTACTCTAGCAACAAACCTTCGTGCGACATGAACAAATCAACAGTTTTTGCACTTGGATCGTTGTCTGCTCCAATGGTCTGCATGAAATCAAGCGCATCCTGCAAATGACCAACAATCTCTTGATATTCCTTACGGACATCAGGGTTTCGAACATGCTCCAAACTCCAAGCCTTGTGCTGCAAATTCCAACTCTCTGGATGATGCAGATCAGCAAAATCCGAACTAAGCAGTGATCGGACGTAGTTGATCGTGGCTGCAGAGTGAAAGTATGCTCCCAAGAGTCTGTCTGGATCTGGTGAGCGATCTGACAACGGCATGCCGTTTACATTATCACCACGGAATGCCGTGTATTCGACCCCGTCAATCATCTCAGTAGGCTTTGAGCGAGGCTTTGCATACTGTCCAGCCATACGAGCAATACGAACCACTTTGGTTCTTCCACCCCAAACAAGGATCAGTGACATTTGCAAAAGTACCTTGAGTTTGTTCTGGATCGGATCCTAATAAAGCAATTTAATTTGTATACAAAGTTTGGGTTGCAACACATGCATTAGCATACATGATCAAAACCATTGATTCATAAGAAATCGCTTTAAAATAAATACATTATACCTCGGAACAATAATCAAACAGCTCCGCACAATCACCGCCTTGTAAAAGAAATCGGGTTCCCTCTGCGCATTCCTTCAGCAGTGATTTGAGTCTGTCCACCTTGTTATCATTTTTGGATCAAAGTATAATTATAGAAAGAATCCCAGGACATGAAAATTAGACAAATGTTTTGTGAATATAACATTGACATTTAGACGAGTACGGCTGTAATGTCAGTCAAAATCAAGCAGTAGATCGAATAAAATGCAAATAACGAAAATGATCAAAAATCAACCCTTTTCGAAATAAAACGGACGGACAATTGTCACGCAACAATGGTCGGTTGCACTGATGACTTTACAATGCAAAGGATTACAAAACATTCAATTAGGCTATTCACCATTGAACTGATATGAATAAAATGGGATGCATTTGGTAAATCTGAACAAGATCAATTCACATCCATGATGCGGATATTAATGCATATTCCAATAGTATAAACACCTGACAGTTGTCTGCCAGATTTTAAGTTTACCTCTCCAGGCGACACAAGAGGAGGTAGTTGACCTAGTCTGGTAAGCACCTTATTCAGGTGCGCGGGATTCTCATACAGTACATCTTGGTGTATACTTTTGCATCTCCACGAATCTTTAGTCCATTCGGACTGAGCAGCATCGCTACCAGCACAAGTTGTTGAATTCATTGATTCTTGTAATCAAATTCAATTCGCCAATCACGAACAAACTCACATAAAACACGTGATATGTCACATGACTTTATTTAGATCAATTCAAGTTGAACTCAAAACACCATCTCGACTCCCATGCAAGCACAATCCAATCAGACATCCGAGCAATCACGCTTGCAAAGTCACTTTGGTCTCCAGATCGTTATAATCTCTCATGATAATCAATACAGCATTGCTAGGAATCTGTCCCGACTCGCATATAATAAGTGTAATAAATTTGGCTGGTGTCATGTCATAAAACAAGTTCAAAAGTCGAAGTTGTTCAATATCTCGCCATCGGACGGTTGCTGGATGCAACTGTGACATTGCAGCCTTTTGGTCTGGATTGGGAATGGCAGTCGCAAGTCGATTTGATGGTGCAAGGTTAGATATATCCATTAGATCATCCGATCGACCTAGAATTTTTAATGAATAAACCCAGGTTAGATCTATAAAAAATGCGCATGTTCCAATTGATGTCAACTTACCAATCTCATTCCATACAAATGAATCCAGGCGAACAGTCTCGGAAAACTTGTATTTCTCACACAAGACAATAATAGGAATCTTGGCATTGTATGCAGTCATGGCAACGACTGATGTCCCTACACGTGCCATCACATCTCCGTTTGACAGCACACAGCTAGCACCTAAGAATACCTTTGTAACATCCTTAATGGTAAAAGGCAATGCGCTGGTAAGAGTATAGGTGCATTTGATACCCGCACGAACTAATTGTTTCAGCATTTCCTTGCCTAAACAAAAAAGGTTAATATAAACGTATCGACTGCTTTGCTGTAAATCCAAGCTATAAAATAATCTGCACCAATGGTATAATCCAAATCACCCACCTTCCAATTTTGGACGCCCATCAGCAACAACGACGCTAAACTTAATACCCTGATCATGAGCCTCGTGTAATAGTTTAAGTACAACAGATGACCTAGAAAGCATATGCAAAGAGAGTTGAGTGCAGCACTTTTATCAGACATGGCAATTCAAACCCATTTAAACTCGTGGAAATCGCGAATATCAAGTTAAAAGTAGTAGTTGTTTGAAACAAATGTAGACATTGATCTTACCGAGCATAGGTCAACACTACATCGCCATCCTTGATTTTTTTTTCATTTATAGCAATGGATACAATTGCAGTATCTGCCAATGTGATAGAAGCCTCAATGTAGGTCTCAATTGCCACATAAATAGACGCCTTGGCCTGAAATTCAAATTTGCAAGAGCCAGAAGCATCATTCACAATTAAAAGGCACGAGTTAACAAGTGACCTCATCAGTTCACAACTGATTCTCAATAAAATACATACATCCTCGTCAGGGGTGTCAATTGAAAGTCCAGAAATGACAGACTTGAGTTTACGAATGGCGCTCTTCATACTAGCACTGAGAGATCGCATATTGGATAGAAAATCTACCTGCTTGCTGATATGCTGGGTCAAGTGTCTTTGAAGGGAAGTACCAAGAGGTGTGGTATAATCCAGGATAACCTAGCAAAATAAAATGGTGTATAAGTGCATACTTTTCCACAAAGCAATCCTGGATCAATCTTAAAATAACTATACTTTTTTGAATGCGTCCAACATAGCGATGCAACGAGCATTGCCACCAGATATTGAAAATTCATGAAAGTGCAAACCCAAACTTAACACTGCTGGGTGAACGTGACCACGAGACCGATTCTCTGCAAACTCAACATTCTCATGTTCATATTGCATAAGATGAGAGAATAATGTCACTGGTTTTTGAGCGGGAACACGAACTACTGCAGATGCCTTTTGGATCTTGGATCTTGCTCTAGAATCATCAAATCTCATCTGTGCAGGTGTACGCATAGTAGGTAGCGACGGTCCAGAAGCTGATGGAGAGGTGGTGCGCATTTGATCTGCTCCTTGATTCTGGTGGTGCTGTTGATTAGAATTTGCTGGAGTATTAATGGGACGATTTTTACTGCGATCTGGTCTTCCTTGTCCAGAGGCTGCAAGCTCCTTTTTTTCGGCACGCTGACGCTCTTGTAATTCGCGGCGTTCAGCCTTGGTCATATTTTTTTGAGATTTGCGATTAGGATCCATTTTGTCTTGATGAGATTTAATAGCGACAGTCTTTGGAGTTTTTTGACCCTTTGCTGCCTTTGTAGTTTTATCATTACCCTTTTGGGGAGACAATTCAACAATGGTAGTAGATGATGTCTGATCAGTGTCCTTGTATTTGGTATGAATAGAAGATCCGCCAGACGAAATTAAACTTGCTTTTGATTTATTTTGAATCTCGGCACCAAACAATCTTTCTTCAAACGATCGTCTGTTAGGCGACCCAACTGGAAATGACATGGAAATAGAACCTCGCTTTCCAAATGAACGATTTCCTGCAGAAGTGCCCAAGTGATCTACTGTAGAGTAAGAAGTAGCTGTAAGCTGAGAGGATACAATGCTATCTGCATTGGGCAGCGATGTTTTGCGTCTAAATATATGTTGAATTCACAGTTAGACAAGACTATAGAATGATATACACTGAAAATTAACCCCAGTAAAGTTGGGAATCGAGGCTAATATGTAGATAGAACAAGACTTGATAGTGACATGAAGTGTTCCATTCCACTGTATATTTGATGGACATGCTATAGAATATCACTAGCATTGTACCTGATATCCTGCACACCACCAAACGTTTTGCTAGATCCATCACTCTCTTGCTCCTATACAGACAGAAATTTAGTAGTTAGTACACAAGACACTATCATCTCTAATTGCACACAGTATACAACAGGATTATCTTGTGACGATTCTTAAATGAAAGCGATCTGCTTTCAGGTTGGATCATCGCTAGCAACTACAATGCCATAACTCACAGTGAGGGATGGACTGAACCCGACAACAGTCTTTCTGGGATGACTGCCCAACACATTACCAATACTATTGTTTTCAATACTGCCACTCCGCTTATTATATGACATATCTTGCTAATTAACAAGGAGAATGCTCAGTGTTTAGTCGAGTTTGCTATGATTTGGTCACTGAAAAGAAGAATCCACCAAAATTGAATTCGGCCGTATTCACAAATGTGTTAAACACTCAGTTTCATGGAATGATTGGTGGCAGTCTACTGGATAGAATTGTTTTGTAAACTCATTAGTTGGCTGGTCTTTGCTCATTTTCGTATAAAAATACCAAATGAATTGCATATCCTTCACACTCAAAGTATTGGATAATCGACATGTATAGTTGCATTCCTAATGCGTGCAATCTTTGTTTTTTTGGACTAGAATGGAAACGTACACGATATTCTAGGATATAGGAGTTTGATAATAGTATAACCCAATATCTGGATTGCAATACATGAATCTGGTAGTGTACAATGCATGGCTATGACAAATAAGGAAATTCAAAATTATAGTTGGATTGTATCATATGATGGATACTGTATATCCCAAACCAAAAGACGATCACTGCAAGATAGATACAAGTGTTTCATTTTACGTGAATACAGCTGTAATTGGATTTGGCGCGTTTTAACTCGAAATTGTCAAACTTTCTAGTCCAAGACTCGCCAGCTAAACCACTTGGCATCCTATCTAAAAACGTATTAAAATGGCAGCTACCTCGTCCATATTACCCAACAGTTTAGCAGCCACAACTGTTTCCACCCTTTCTTCGCTTGAATCTACCGCTGTGAGCATCAATTCTTGGCATATTGCTACTATTGTTAATTGGGGTGATAACTAATCAAACATTGGTACACGCACAATAGTGCGATTCAACAACAATTAGTGTATTTGACATTCGTACTCTTATTCTTCTTTTGTCTTCAACAGAGCCGTCCGTTTGCACTGCCGCTATTGACGGCCTCACAAAATATGCTGACTTAGGCAAGTTGGATGCATCTAAACTGGGATAACTACAACTAAATATATGCAATAATCTAACAGCAAGCCTTATTTTGTATTTAGCTATAAAGCATAGAACACAGTTGCTCAATCTGGGTATTGTGCGGCCATTAATTGAGTTGACTCTTTCAAAAGAGTTGGACGTAAAGCAGGCAGCAGTAACGTGTCTTGCGGCTACCACTGAACTAAGTATGAATTTGGTTTCATATACCTATGCAAATATGCTATAAAAAGTTGGGTTGCTATTTATTTAACAATTTGTGCTGTTTGTATAGATGAAACGCATCAGGATATGCGTCGCAAAGATTTGATAGATGCCTTAATTTTTACCTTGTCTAAAGAAGATTCGGTTGAAGTACAGGATGAAGCAGCATTCGCACTCGCAAATCTAGCAAAAGACTGTAATTATTTTGATTGAAAGCGAATCAAACCAACTATTTATGATTGGCTTTGTTGAAACGATTATATCTGGATGAAAACTAATTGAAATATTGATAATAGTTTCCAACAAGGCAGATATTCGAAAGTCGGGTGGTATTAAAGCACTTGTAAAACTGCTAGAGTCTCAAGATCCAGATGTCAAGAAAAATGCTGCGCTTGCTTTATCTACTCTACTGGACGACTGTATGTCTTGCTTTTAGCGTAGTGGATTTTAGGTTTAAAATAATGTACATTCACTAATGTGCTTTGCTAACAGTTTTACTTTAAATCTGCTTCAAACCTTTTAAATTATATCTAGTCTCAAATCGTGCAGAGATTCGATATGTTCAAGGTCTTGGACCTTTGTTTGAACTTCTTACATCCGAGTTTCATGAAGTACAAAATAACGCTCTACAGTGCCTGATTCGCTGTGCTGAAGACTGTAAGCAATGTTGAATATTAAAAAGGCACTGCTTTTATTGTTTTAGATATTGTGTTTAACTATTACTTTTGTTTTAGTCAATAACCGTGCAGAGATTCGAAAGCTAAATGGTATTCGCAAGCTTGTGGATGTAATATCTGGAGAATATATGTTGGAAACAATCGTATTGGGGCTACAATGCCTAGTTAATTGTTTGGAAGAAGGTAAAAACAAGTACTTTGTTTTGCAGCAAATAAGAGATACAGCAAACCTCTGATACTGGCTACTATTTTTAAACCAATTTCAACCACCATTATAAATATGTATGGCCCAATCACTACAGTTGATTCTGCGTCACTAGTTGTAGATGCAAACGGGATAGCCTCTCTAGTAAAATTGATTCAAAACGACGAATCAAAAATTAAAAGATATGCAGCCATTGCACTTGCCAGAGCAGTCAAATCGGATCGAGGACAGAATGCGGCTCGCGAATCTGGCGCACTTCAAATTATTGTGTTGAATTTATCGTCAAATGATGCCTCTGTAGTCAACTCGTCTGTTATGGCACTTGCTTCTCTTGCGCTGAATGGTGGGTGGAGTCACAAATGCTGTTTTTATCGGCTGCCACCTTGAAATGTGCTAAACTGACAACTTGGTTTATTTTACGTATTGATGTTTTTCCATAGAAACCAACCAAGTAGAAATCTATAAAATGGGAGTGGGTGAATTACTTTTGAAACTGCTGAGCCATGAAGATACAGAAACCAAAAGGGAAGCAATGGCAGCGCTGGCAAATCTATCCCAATATAGTACGTTCAGCTTGCCAACTGTAATGATTTAACTGTAAAAATGGTTTTTGGTTGAAATATAAACATAATATAGAAACACTGATTTTTACTATTAAACCATTGATGTGTGACTAGATAAAATCAAACCCAGATTGCATAGCGTCGAGTCTACACAAACGATCATTAAACTCTTTGCATCCGACGACTCTCAAACTATCATTAACACATCCGAGTGTATTTTGAAACTTTCTGAAGAATGCATGTATTAATAATTACTGAAAAGCAAACTATTTATTCTACTTCAATATCTAATTAACGTATTGCGTTTACAGATGCAAATCGCTTAGAGATTATCAAACAAGGGGGTATGCAAGCCATGATCTCAGCTTTAGAACGGCCAGATAGCAAGGTTCAGGCATCTTTATGTCTTTCAATCGCCAGGTGTGCCCAAGAACGTATGTCTATGTATTGGCAAGTGTTTGCATTATGTAGTATTACAGGTTCAAGTTAACACCACACTATTGTATATAATGCCAGTTGACGGACAAATCTTTTTTTCAAAGCCACCTGGAAGCAAAGGATTATTAAAAATTATTGGTTTACTGACTGCCAAAGATACTAATGTTTGTCGCAATGCCGCATATGTCTTGTCAAGTGCTGTCATTTATGGTAAGAATCTAATATGGGCTGATTTTTTATAACAGATATTGGATTGAAAGTTTACGAATGAGTTTGGACATTGGTAGAACCTAATGCTGTCTTGGCATGCAATGCTGGAGCGTTACAGTCGCTGATTTCTCTTACCAAGGACAGATTTAAAGTGTCTTTTAAGTTTGCAACCGACGCCATGGATAAACTTTTAAATCACCGTAAGATTCTATCAAGTTTTTTAGTTTATGAAAATCAACAGACTAATTTGACAATAAAAATGCTTTATTTAGATCTGTCGGCAAAATACTGGCTACATAATCATTTGCAAGCGGAGAATGTCATTGTAGATCCTTTCTACGATGTTGGGTATGCAGGAGGTAATTTAGATACAATTACAACTTTTCCAACACTTGCAGATCTTCAATCTCGTGCAGTTGATAAAAAACGCGAAGTAATACTAGTCGACGCATCACAAGATCCTGGCCTTGTAGTCATTGCTCAATATCTTTCAGAGGCTATCCAAGAAAAATCCCTTTGCCATCAGTTGAAAATTATTAGTCACGTTGTATGCAAAGTTATGGGTTCTACGGAATCTGATCCGTCACGTATCTCTGATCACGGACACAGATTCCGTATCGCCGAATTAAAGCTCAAGTATAACTCCAATGTGATACCTATCGGTGCAATTAATTTGGGAACGTTTTATCATCGTGCTCTTTTGTTTAAAGTACTGTGTGATCGACTTGGTGTGTGCCAGAATGCGCTAGTACGTGGTGAATACGACCGTGCATGGAATGTGGTGGATTTGGACCATCAAATTCCGGCTGTTGCTACTATTCCTGCAGTAGTTCCACAGTCTTTACCGTCTACTCAATTTTCTCAGTCTACTTCCATACCTTCAACCACTCCCTTACCAAAACAATCACCAGTGGTTACAAAAGATAAATCCACTACAGCTGTAAAATCTAAGCAAGGCGATGGTAGCGGGGCTAGAGTTTCAACAACACAGCCAAGCATAGCCGTAGTATCTACTGCTTTACCAAATTTACCGACTACACCTACTCCTCAGACTGAAGTTTCCAACTCTGTCTCGAATGATTCTATTAGTGCTTCGACTATTGAAATTTCTACTGCCGCGATTGAAGCCATTCTTGGCTCCATCGTGCTACCTGATGATGACACGGATGTAAAAGTGGATGGTGTAGTAGTGATTGACTTGATCTATGAGCCTGGAAAGTTGATGAAGGCTGATGATGTGGACACACAAGCTTATCAGCGTATTTCTTGAAAAATTGCTGCCTTGCGGTTGTATTCACGTAAATGGGATACTGAGTGTCAAAAGATAATAAACAGTCTAGTTGTAGTAGAAAAGCATAGTGCATACTCGACCATTTTTATTTTGAAGCAAAATCACTGCAAGATAAATACAAGTGATCCATTTTACGTAAATACGACTGTAATAAACAAAACCATACTCGCTGTATGCATTTTTCCAATACCATTTACAAATCTCTTTTTATAAAGTTGGCCATTCAAGACATACAGTTGAATACAAATACGCTTCGCGACTTGGACAAGTTCAATAATCGATTAGAGTTGTCTTGCGAGTATTTGAATTTTACAAACGAATATAGCAACTTTATTGCCATTTCAAATGCAGATTAGTCTACAAGGCGTTGGATTATCTAACACACACGTATCTAAATGCCAATGGGCAGCACCCAGATCACAGTCTGTAATATTAAAGTCAAAGAATCCTGTTCAACGCAGTATTGCTACAAAAAATATCAAGAATGGTCAAATGGACAAGACTATCACGTCAGAAAGTCCTGTAATAGATACGACAGTGGCTGCGATGCCACTTCCAGAACTACCTGTTCAAAAAAACTCGTCTGGTTCTAATCTTTATTCAGATGAGTCGAGCAATGCGAGTGTAGAAGAGTTGTGTATAAATGACACTAGGCCGACCGAGCTGAGCGATGAAAACTCGCTCGAGTTGTACAAATTCAACCAAGCACAAATGGATAGCACTGAGCATTTTCAGCAAGTATTGGATTCAGGATCGCTTGACCACTACAAATATGTCCTTGAAATCGAAGAGCGTCGACAAGCTCTCGCACTTCGAGCCCTCGACCTCCAAACTGCACTTCAAAAAGAAATTGCTGTAGGTTCAAAGCATGTTGCACATAAGCACTATGGATGGACATCTTCAGCATATAACTTTTCGGAAGATTCTCCTTTGCTCTATCCAGCTGAATCCAACTGGGATATCCCAACACGCGACTTTGAGAACCCAGATACAATCGAACGGCTATGGCAAATGCATATGAATGTTCAGGCTCTCGACTGTAATTTGGAATCTGAAAATGTTTCAAAAAAGTTGTTTGATGATATGTTATTTGCAATGACTCGACAAGATTTAGAGGGCATTGATCCAGCAATAATCGAAACTCATTATCCATGGTTAAGCAGCAAGCAATCGCACCAGTCTGACTACTTTGATTATCCAGTGAGTTCATGTTGGTATTGATAGTCTGATCAATAAACTGTTTGAAAACATTCGCTTTGATTCTAATTTTAATATTATTATAGCTACTTATCAAGTCCAAGTCAAAAAGGAAAAGAAAACAAATAGTAAATCAGGTATCCAAGATTCCGACTCAATCAATCTCTCAAAAACGATTTCAGCAGTACTTGGCAGAGCAGGAGGCTAAAATCCAGTACAATTTAAACAACAAATTTCGAGCCAAGCCTGCACCAACATCTGTTTTGATTCCCAAGTATGCTATTTGAGGTTTATGTTTAAAGATTTGGCATTTGAAGTTTAATCCAGAATACGAAAATTGACATGATACATTTTCACAGATATCATCATCTGGCTAGTTCAAATACAACTCGGACGGTCAGGTTGAGAGAAAAACAGCACCTTGAAAAGTCTGAAAAGTCCAGCGAATGCCACAAATGCAATTTTAATTCAAGCAAAGTTTGCATCTGCAGTGTAAGTGACTGATTGCAGTAAATCATAAAACCGATCTTAAAATCTTCACGGTTGAATAACTCGAGTGTTTAATTTATAAATCAGCCAAGTGACAAGTTGATTAATGAAGCTCTGCAAAAATACCACAATTCTCAATCAAAACCAGTTTCTGTGCGCACCTCGATCGTACCAAAAGTAGTTGAAACAACTATCGAGGATGGAAAGCGTCGACGTGAACGGATCCAACAATGCGAAAAATTGGCCGGACTGACTTCTGAACACACATTTCAACCTAGTATTACAGGACATATGCCAGATTTTGAAACGATTCAAAAGAAGTTTGTAAAACGATTGAATCTACACAAAATGAGTCATTCACTTACTCAGCCAGCTCCATTTTTGGGTTTGGAACAACATGAGTTGAAACAGGCACAACGCATACGTAATCGATTGGAACGATTGGAAAAAACACAGTTTGAACTCCATGCTACAAAACCAACAGTTTTAAACAAAAAGGCATTCAAGGTAAATACACGTCTTGGTCGACTTTACTATAATGGTTTGATCTACAAATGTGTCTGAAATTACAAGTTTTAATGGAATCAAAACAGCATGTTGAAGCCAAATCCACCCATTCATTGACGCTCAAAATAAACCATTTGAGAATGCAAAATGAAGCGCAACAACTGATTGCCGAGGTTAAACGAGAAGAAGTGCAACAAAAAAAAGAAAAACATAGGGTATACTGTATTACCACGCTGCAATCTATTTCACGCTTGTGTATTGAATTGAAATACAAGATTAACTTTGAACCTCTGTTTGACTTGTAGGCATTTGCATACAAGATTCGTGCTCGACTTGATCAAACGTTACCCAACACAACACAAACACATTTCGAGATCAAACGAAAGCAATATATACAAGGTAGTTGCTGCTATTTAAAATCAAGGGATTTGGTGATATGGTTTATTATTTTGAAAATTCAAATGTTTTTATAATTTCCCATTGAATGAACTGTGTAGATCAAAAGCAAAGAAACCGAGAGTATCAGGAATCAATCGAGGAAATAGGAAAGCGAGTATCATCTCGAATGTGTTTGTTTGAAAAAGTGGCGGTAGATGCAGCCAAACGTAAAGCATTGACAGGCAAGCACTGTTAGATGACAACTATTTTTGGATGTGTTCAAGCAGTTTTAGCTGATATATGTATGTTTAATGATAGATTTTCAACGCACCATCAAAGCATTGGAAATAGACCAGCCAGATATTCTGTTGAAACAGTGATTGAAATAAATTGACCCGAGTTTTGATGATTAATGCCTTTATATTATGTGTTGGTGTAGTCGAGCTGGCTTGTCACCAATTGCAAAAGTTTATTCGAGTGAAATCTGTCGTTTTCAAACTAAAAACTCGAGCTAGTAATATAACTAAACAAATCATCCAGTATACATGGCAAGAGAAAAGATATCAGGAGGACGAGATACGTCACCGCCTTCAACTTCACCAGGAGCTGTAACAGGCACATCATCACCTGGCCAGTCTTCTGCAGTTACAACTCGAGACCGTGAACGCGAGGTCACTCAAGACAAGTTACTAGATCCAAGGTCTGTCAAACCCAGCATTGCATTCATATATTGTACAAAACAGCATATATAAATAATATCAGCATGCCTATGGTTTAATTTAAAACTTATTAATTGTTCAAATAATCATACCATATGCATAACTCTGACCCAGATTAGGACTGACTTCATCCATCACTTCAGCGCAGATAAGTAATAACCCAAATAACCTCAACTTTTCTTCAAACGGATCCGGAAACAACCAGCAACTACAAGTAATTCGGTTTAAAACTGGATTAAGAAATACCGTTTGGGACACGATGCGTGACCGAGGATGGAAAGAAACCGATAGGTACACCTGAAATTCTCATTTATCTATTGAAATTGCAGACTATATGTAAAAATATCTCAAAAGTCTATACTAATCTATGATTGTGTGCCAAACATCATGGTCGTTTGATGGAGTTTACAGTGAGTTGGACTGGGATTTCTTTTGGGCAGATGTGCATTGGGTACATGAAACGTTTGATCATATCTATCTCCACGAAAACCAAAAGATAAACCACTTTCGCAATCACTACGAGGTATATACTCTTTTTTGACTCGATATCGAATCTGCCTAAACTAAAGTATTTCTTTAAACGTGTAGCTCACCCGCAAAGATCTTTTGGTCAAAAATGTCAAACGCATGATTAAAACTATTGAAAAAGAGTATGGAAAAGCCGAGTCACTTAAATTCGAATTCATATCCACATCATATGTGCTGCCGCAAGAACACGCCTTATTTCAGGAAGAGTTTAAAAGAAACAGTGGTGGGGTTTGGATTATGAAACCAGTAGGAAAAGCTCAGGGCAAAGGTATTTTTTTGATTAATAAGCTGAGTCAGATTTCTGGATGGAAAAAAGATCCACGATTGAAAGGTGCTAGTAGTGGGGGTAATGGTGAAGATGGTGAAGGACCTGAAGCGTACATTGTCCAACGGTATATCGAAAACCCATACTTGATTGGAGGTATGTGCGTTTAAATTCAACTTGCTATATCTTGTAAAGCCTATTTATCATTTACTCGATTGAATGTAAAATCTAGGTAAAAAGTTTGACATTCGTGCATATGTGCTAGTGCTATCATACTATCCATTAGTGGTATATATCCACCGTAACGGATTCTGTCGATTCTCCAATACACAATTTTCAATGCAGGCTAAAGACATATCCAACATGTGTAAGCTAATTGTGATTTATATCAGTATATAGCTCAAATTTAAATATACTGCTCATCATTCAAATGTCTAAACTCAAATATGCAGATATTCACGCAACAAATGTTGCAATTCAAAAACAGTCGCCAAATTACGACGGAGATAAGGGGTGCAAGTGGCTTTTGCGCAATCTCAAAATGTTTATGATTACCAAACATGGTAATGCTGCAGTGGACGAACTGTTTACTGAGATGGAAGCATTGATTGTGCGCAGTTTAATGAGCGTACAAAAGGTTATGATCAATGATAAGCATTGCTTTGAGCTGTAAGTAGCAAAATGTCATATTGCTGCAATATTTATATGCATTATAGCGTCCTAACTGATTTTGTTCAAATAGATACGGATACGACATTCTTATCGACAGTAGCCTCAAGCCGTTAGTGAATGGCCTGTGCATATGTGTTACACTAAAGTTTCATTTTATTTATACCAGTTTTTTGTCACTATTGAAATGTTTAGGTGGCTATTGGAAGTGAATGCATCCCCGTCCCTTACTGCCGAAACGCAGTTTGACTATGATCTAAAGTGTGCGATGTTGAACGATTGTTTTAATGTAGTCGATCTCGAAAAACGGTAACGATTAAACTCGGTTCCTCAGATATTTTTAAATTTGATTTCCATTCCAGTTGTTTTAGTGTACTCATGTATGTTTTTGCAACTACAGATTTGATAAAGACAAAAAGTTGAGAACACGAGTCGGTGGATTTGATCTCGTATATAATGATGGGCCAGTCAAGCATGAGCGTGCTAGCAACTATTCGTCATACATTGGCAAGTATTATTGACAAAGCATGCCAAGTTTATCACCACACAATCAAAACCTTTTGCTTATAAGCTATCTGCATTAATTTAGGTTGCCATCATTCTATACCAAAAGCTCCTAGAACAAAAAAGCGCTTCATTCAACAAGGACCGGCCTAAATCTTTTATTGAATGAAACGTATTACTCATTACTGGGTTGACACTAATAAGCAATGTAAATTCTTTACAAAAGGCAGCATCTACCATTCAAAAAATTGGAATATGGAGTCTTTTATTTTAGTTTATTGGAATCTCTTCCATCTACACAAATCACCGACAGTAGAACGAAAGGCATTCCATCAACAAAGAAATTTAAACGCTAATCACACGAGAGAGTTTCTGAATGCGTGTAAGCAAGAGATCGCCTTGCTTGATCGAATTTTGATATTGAGCATTCTTGGCATCAGGACGATTGGTTTCAATGATGCCGCCAACTTTGTCAATCACAGCATGCAAACGACCCGCAGAGATAAATTTGGAGAGATCGCTAATATGGCAGGGAAAAACGAGTATGCAGTTTAGCATAAAAATTAGTAAACAGATCCCAGTTTAGCAAGAAATTGGTATAACATCAGTCCGTGAATGTATTTTAGCAAATTTACCTATCGACCCACTCCTCGCTCACACCAAACAGGTTAGCCATTGATTCAATAGTCAAACTGCGATACGATTCTAGCAATTGGCCATATACACGAATCCGCATCTCGCGAACATAAAACTTGTAATGAGCATTCAAGTAGTGATCATACTTGATGGTATCTTCGACCAATGCCAATGTCTTGAAAAATAAAGCATATTTGCATCCGTAATAGGATGACATGTAGTCGGAAGAATAAGGAATCTCGTGGATCACCTCGAGAATCTCTGGTGCATTAACCACCTTGGATTTAAATTCAGGACGTTGAAGGGTCAGTGCTGCAGTAAGAATAGTGTAGCGCACAAACTCTTTATACTCCATGAGTTCTGTCGAGGTAAACGTGGCAAGTGAATCGAGAAGCATATTGACTGCACCCTTGAAGTCACGAACGGAAATAAGATAAATGCCCTGGTATACCTTGAGGCGGTTTCGTCTGTCCCAATCTCCACCTTCTTCAATAAGACTGGTAATAGAATTGGTAAAGTCAATGTTTAACATTTCAATCATAATATGGATAAAAGTATACAATACAGTCGGATCATCAAACAAACACACCTTTTAACCTTTTCAATACTTTTACTGATCAATTCACTATCTCTAAAAAAGAATCCAACTCGGACAACAGCAAAACTGAGATCGATACGATGCCCAAGAGGACCAGTTTTTTCAATAGCAATCCTGAATGCTTCCAAAGCAGCTTCCTGAATTGTAATCATCAACATGTAAATACACATTCGAGTGACAAAACGAGCCACGTATAAACTCAACACACCTTGTCACCAATCTTGGATAAGTAATGGGCCTTGGCAGAAAGCGAATCACTAAGTTCAGTTTCGCCAAGATTTTCCTCAGCATCCTTGATCTTATCATCGAGTTTCTTGAGTTCTTCGGTGTTGTTAGATTTGAGCAAAGTCAATAAAGTGGTATCCTTTTTTAGCTTGAGGTCCTCAACAACATGCTTGTAGAACGGTGCCATATCTAGTAGATTGAAAGAGTTGGCAAGATATGAGTCCATATAATCGAATTATTGGTGGCAAGATCTCAAACTATCCAATGCTGATTTACGCAAAAACAAGGTGATACTGACCGTTGGCCTTGATGCCTTCTAGTAGTTTAGCAGTAGCATCAGCACGAGATGCAGCAGGACCATGAAGAGCCAAGAAATACAGCTGGGTGAGACCAAGGTCTGGAATCTATTGTTTTTAAAAACAGACAGACCGAATTAGCTGGACCAAAAGACAGATAATAGCTATGATGACTACAAGAAAACTGAGAAAGTTCAAGTCGGGAGTTGGTATCGTTTATTCCAAACTCGACCAACTCAAAACGGGACTAGCTTGAAGCCAGGGTTGGATTATAAAACATCTGTGCAGTCCAATGAATAGAGTGTAACATCAAGGCTTTCAAGCCTGTACATCCATGCCAGAAACAGCAGTAAAGAGCATCGACCCTACCTTGGGAATGCTATCTGCCATGGTCAAGATGGGCTAACTGCAAGAACTCGGACAGTGCAATAACCGACCCTCACGTGCATGAGCTCACCAAGCATGCCAACTTTTACATTCGTTTTCACATAAAATGAAACACTTTTGTAGTGATTGTCTTGCAATCATGACTAAATACTTGTTATTGAAAACTGATTGTTTCTTGTACAAGTTTTGTATTCTAAAAACTCTTATTTTCTAGTTCAAATATCTGAAATTCAATTGTTTCCATGCAATCAATCAATGTTTGAGGAAAGTTGCAGGTTGAAGAGATGTGGAATCTAAACATTCGTTTTGTATTTTTGTACAAGAATAAGCAGAGATTAGTAAACCAAATGAATTCATAAAACAATATTACTCGGTAAGATTGGTCGTTTATCGTGTATTTCGATTCTAGTATTCCATTTTACGTGAATACAACTACAATATGAAAACCATGAATCTATTACTAGTATAGTTATATATTATGTATAAGCTAAAGTGTGCTAATCAGAATCAATTCCAGCTACTCGACTATTTCTTGAACCTCCAATCGATGCAGCAATTACTTGGCACTGTTTTTGCTTCGCGTAGATCTCGCTGCCAATCTGCCCGTCTCGCCCAGCCCACCTTCTTCATAAGTGTTCCAAACAACTTCATCCAGCGGAATATCATCAATCGCCTCTGTGGTTTTTACAGCTGCATAGCCAGGCATGCGAATAATTCCCTTGCGCCAGAGAATATAGACACTACATGCTCCAACCACCGCAAGTGTAAGGAGAAATAGATACCATATAATGTCCATGGTTGGATCTTGACCATTTTGTGGTATAATTGGGCTTGTCTCAGTGCTGCTGTCCTGGCCGACTTCGTGAGTGGTTGGGAACGGTTGTCCTGTCATGGTAGAGTTGCATTAGCATATTATGTTTTGGCGTGTAATGAACAAGGAATGTGGCGGACATACAAATAGATTTAAAATATACACTATCTTACCCGGTGGATTACCCGGTGGTGGACTTATAGGTGGAATACCCGGTGGTGGACTTGTAGGTGGAATAGCTGCTTCGCTACCTTGTCTATCAATCCCTTCTCCCCAAAACGATATCTGCCATCCATTCCAATATCCTCCCGACAAAACATTCTTATCATCAATCACTACTAATCGCCATTGTCCAACAATGGCTTCGTCCCAATGCATAACGGTCATCATTGTCCAGTTTTTGAAACCATCGGCATTATCATCAAAAGCGCGACCCTCAATCAGCCGAGATCGTATATTCATCGGAGATTCAAGGTGAATGGTAATGTCGCCTCTACGCGAGTGCTTGATATCAACTGTAACTGTAATGTGTTCAAGACGCAAAAGGCGAGCTTCCTGTACCATTAAAGCAGTGATGTTGATAGTATTCCTCGCACCCATTGGATTGTAAGGCGGAATCACCATATTTACTTGTTGATATGGTGTTGAGAGGTTCACCTGTGGATTTAGATTAACAAAGTGCTTTGCTGCTTCAACAATGGTATATGCATCAATCGTGCCGTAACCATATTTGTGGTTATAAAGCCTTCCAGCTGCCGTATTAAGCCAGTCACTATCCTGAAGATTAACTGGTATAGCTGTTTCCAAAGTAAGTCGTTGTACATCCCTCCAAGTCAAGTCCGGTCTGATCAATAGATGTATGGTAATATCAAATGCATACTGTAAGTTTGAATAGTTAGATGGTTTGAAAGTCAACAACTCATCGTTATGCAACGCACCTGATGGAAAGAACTAGAGAATAGATACCAGCAGCCAATGGAGCTGCTGCAGACGTTCCTCCGTGACGATCAGTACACCCAGTCTTCCAATCTGTCGTGATAATGCCAGAAAACCCACCCTGTCCACTCCACATGGAAATCATATTTGCAGGACACTGCTCTGAAAATGATGGATGCCCTTCGTATCTATCAATTGCAGCAACCGTGATTGTGTAAATACTGTTTGTGTATCCATCAAAATTGCTATACAAAATAGACGATCATGAATCACAAGTATTGACCAATAGCAGAAATTTCAGCAAGTCTGATATGTTTTACAAAGGACAACCATGCATCTGCATTACCAGTTGTCGCCACGAGCACCGCCATTTCCAGCAGCAAATACAAACAGGGAACCCAGCCCATTGCGTCCATTGTCTATACCATTTTTGACTGCACGAGTGACAATCTGGGGTGGAGCCTCCATGGTTTTACCATCATCTCTTGGACCCCAACTGCACGAGTAAATCTGAGTGGTATTAAAAGCATAGTTGATTGCTGCTGCCTCATCCGTGTTTGTCAGTCTACCAGAAAGAACACGTAATCCTAAAAATAAGAATATAAAATTGAGTCAAGTGAATAATACTACTAGTAAAGAACAGATTGGAATTCAAGTGATAGTTGTATATCAATGAATTAAAGCATGCCGGATAGATGTACACATTTACCCGAGACTTTGGAACTCCATGCAACACCTATGCCACAGACGTTGTTTTTTACAGCAGCAACTTCACCAGCACAGCGAGTGCCATGGTTATCATCCATCAAAGTAGGCATAGGATCCAACTTATGAAAATTGAAATCATACGATCCCTCTGGTGCCTATAAATAGTTTTGAATGAATCAGATTTAAAATTATGCTAGACTGCAAGAGATTCAAGATCTTGGCACTTGCATAATTGTCTTTTAAATCGGGATTTTCATAGTCTAAACCGTCATCAATGAATCCAATAGTGATTCCCTTTCCAGATATTCCTACAATAGAGTTGATGTTAAGCAATGTTAAATTTGACTTGCAGTCATGTAGTGAAAGCAACGCCAGACACACCTTCTATCCAGACCCCAGTAATATTCATGTCATGACCTGGTTCATCTGGATTAAACTTTAAAAATAAAATTATCAATACAATGCAAGATCAATCATGTGTAAGTGACCATAACTGCAAATCATGATAATAAAAAACAGCTCACCAAATGCCATTGGTCTTGAAATCGAGGATCTTCTATACCAACCAGTTTTCGAACGTCACCAATACGCACAGACGGATCTTTGACAGCTCTACGCATCTTGGTGGTTTGATATTTAGTGACATCAGTAGATGGTAGTTGAGGGAAAACAGGCGAAGTAAGGAACAGTGGTAACGGACTACTTGGCTGCAAATATCCTCTCTTGAACAGCCTTTGCTGTGGCTCTTGCAGCTCATGCCATAGAACAGAAGAGTGGTCTTTGCATTTCTGAGAAATATGGTTGTGGTGAATGTGTGTATTCTTTTCCACTACAGAATCATCCGCCATGACCACCTCTTGGTCTACTTGACGACTCTTTGGCATGGCATATATGAAGTGGTCGCGCAGTTGCCCAACCTGATGCGTGTATAGCAACTGCATGTCATGAGCAATTGCTTTTGCCAACAACTCTCGCTGGTCTGCATCATCGGGCCATTCTGTTGTGTCCAGTTGTACGGCAACATAATGAAATGACTGATGGTCATTAGGTGGAGCATGAGGAGCAGTATCAACCACTGCATATGTCAATGAAACCTTGATTGCAATGACTAATAAGCCCACCAGTACGTGTAGGAACATCAGCCGTGAATGCATTCAGGTACACTGGGTTTGATGACAGGAATGAGATGAACAAGAAATAGCTGATAAGCACAGTTGTTGGTTTGCACTCAAGGTTCAAGAAACCTGTCAGATTTACTAGCAGCTGCTTTGACTCGTGTTTGTGCTTCAATCTAACCGACAAATTCAAGACTTGAATCCAACACTTACTATTTAATCTAGAATTGAATTTACTTTTATTAAAACACGGCAAGCAGTGCAAATGCACTATACAGCAATGCCACTGGGTACGCTACCAACAGTCGCTGTTCCTTCATTGATAATACTGTCACAAACATGCCTGATGAAGAGTTTGTGCACCAAACTACCGTCACTGCACTCAATATCACTCCAGTAATATCCCTAGCAATCATGTTACAACAAAACCAATTGTTAGATCTTTTGAAACAGATCGCAGTCCATCACTTTTTACTCAACTGCATCTTAAACACTATTGTTAAAGAGCTAAGAAGCACCATTGGCAAGAGTGCGTATCCAAGAACACTTGCAGTGCGATACCCATCGATCCCTGTATCACTCATTAGATTCAGAATCGAGTACATGGACAACCAACCCAAAGTTGCTACTCCATAAATGTATCCAAAATGAGCTTTGCCAGACTATCAAAGCATAGTTAGACCAGTGTTGAATTAATGCAATTTACGTGCAAGTTTATCAGTTAAAACAGACTTACTAGGAAAAGAAACCCTCCAAACAGAAAACAAAATAGAATTGGACCTGCCAGATCAGTATCGTCCATGATATTTCTGTCTATTTGTTTGAATGGGTTCATCACGGTCAATCCCTGGTTGTATATAATCGTATTTAACCAGGAATAATAGAAATCAGCATCAATTGATCAACCATTAGATCTACTAGTATCGACATATTTACCTTGGACTTGATGTGATTAAAATTAATATCAAGTTCTGTTGTATAAATATTAGTGGGATTCATGAATAGTTATGTGGCCAATCATGAATTGAATGCTCATTCTTGTTGGACCATTCAAGCAAAAGGTTTCAGTCTTGATATGGCAATCTCAATGCATAGCAAGACCTACCTTGTAGAAGAGGCGGTTCATCCGGAAACCCTCCAGTAGAAAAGGCAGACCGGATTGTCTGCCAAGTGACTCCACCCGACATGTCGGCTCTAATACTGGCTTGAGAGGCCGAATACATCGATTCGCTGTAGAATCCTCCTTGACCACCAGTGCCCTGAGCTCCATTGTTGCTGTAGCCTTGGAAGCCACCATCTCCATAATTGAATTGCTGGAAAGAAAGCTCTTCCTGGGTGTTTCCAGCATAGTATTGGTTGTTACCAGTTCCTGTGGTGCTGCCTGGAAATAAAACGTTGTGTGTAGCCATTGGAAGTAGCCAGTAGTCAAGATGATTTACAACTGTATTCACGTAAAATGGAACTTTATCTTGAAGCGATTGCTTTAGAGTCGATAGTGGTTGAATATTCGTTATGCTTTCCTATTAGAACTAAACAGTCTCAATTCTTGTTTTAACCCTGTCCTTTATGTCATTTGATATAACCGTGCATTGTATAATCACCAAGTGTGAACCCAGATATTAGGTTCAACTGATGTCACTACAACCATATTGTATCCTAAAATCTCATACGTTCGCGTCCTAGTCCGAGAACACACATTGCATATTTCAGGAATGCAACCGTTGTTTCCATGTCGATCATCCAATGCTTACTTGTGGTGTAAAGGACATGTAACTTATTTGCTGCTTTGGACATTCATTTGGTTTATACAAGGATGAATATGAAGAAAGATCAGTAAGCTCTATCAGGGAGTTCAAACACAATGTTGTTCGGTAAACAAACTTGATGGAGATTGGCATCGGAGTAGTACACATGCTTGAATTTACTATCAAAAGCTTCTGGATTGCAAACCAATACATCCATAGTGCCTTATTTCACTACAAAGCTATATGATGTCAGTCCGCTTGTAAGCATCCGTTAAACCTTGACTACCTAATTCTTCAGAATTCTTGAATATCTCAGATTTATTCAGTAAATCATCCTGCTGCAAAATCCCAATTTGCGGCTTACGCTGGTGTGTCCTGGCAACAAGGCGGAGTTTTCATCCATTATACTGAGTCGGACTTTGAAAATTACTACAGCCGGTCATACTCCATATTTGTCATATATACTATGCCCAATAAATGTCTTTGCTGGTCTGATTGAACCCTACCAAAGTTGAATTTACTTTACTGCATTTTGATACGATGGCATTCTCAAAACTGACCAACATGGAAAACCGAGCTAATATCTACAAGGCATTCGTTAATTTTTGGACATTGAGCCGGTTTATATATAAGCATTACCAAAACCCCCAATTGAATCTTGACTATCATGTATTTACTGACATATTTAAAACAAATCATCAACCCTTGTTGAGATTCAAGAGCTTCAGACAGCGTAATCTGAGTCCAGAACCATCGAGTCAAAAACATGAAAACTCCACTCGCAATCATTATATTGGTGCACCTTTGTATCACAAAGCTGATACATTATCACTTTTTCAATCGCTGTACCTATTACTCATGACTATTATTTGGGGATTTGCTTCATTCAATATGGTTCAAGCAAATACTACTTCATTGTACAAATCCAACACTATATCCCCTCAACTGTCGGATATTGTGTGGGGAAACATTGGTACGAAAATGACGCTTCTCGGTAATTTCACCCGACTGACGACAACTCTTACTGGGCTATCCCCGATCGACTTTACTCTGTCGAACAAGCAGCTTGTTTTATCCACCATTCCATCGTCAATGCTTGCACCACCCTCTCAACTTACGCCATCAGGATTAAAGGCAGGTGCTATAGCATCTTACTCTTCAGACGACCGTATTGCATCCGTATGTCGTTCGGACACGCTATTATTTATGGGAGGAAAGATGACAACTTTATCAAATCACCCAACCGTGTCCAATGTATTTGCCTTGAATCTGACTAGCTCGGCCCAGATCATTGACCTAAATAAAGGTTTATCAACGCCTGTCTCTGCTTTAGCATGTATCGGAAATCACTCCGTGTGGGCTGTATCAAGCACTGCAACAAATGCATCCACAACAATATCTAATTCAACCACCACTGATTTGCTTTCTGGATATATTGCAATCTGGTCGCGCCAGGATTCAGCTTGGACGACTCCGACTGGCAAAGGGCTTGATGGCCCTGTAAATGACATCAAGGTTGATTCTAAAGGGGTTGTATACTTGGCTGGTAAATTCTCAAGTACTGCTGATGGAAGTAAAAGCACTTCACCCACGAACCAAATCGTTTCCATTACTTCTGGAAATGCAAGTATTGAATCGATCAAGCTGAAATACAGTTGCTTATTAAATATGCTTGCTAATTGTTTTTTGTTTTGGATTGGTTTTAGGTGATTGCTCCTGGGGCTGTTGATGCCGGACTGCTTTCGTGCCCAAGCAAAAAGAATGGCTGGGTGATGCCATCCACTACTGGTATCATTGAATTTCAATTAGGCACATCTGTCATCATCACTGCAATAGCCATCCAAAACCTTGTAGGCACAACCGATGGTGTCAAGACATTTAGCGTGATTTCTCCTGCAGTATCGCCAGGAGCGCCTTACAAGTTGGCCATGGCAGATACAAGCGGTGTTCTTGGTGCCATATGCACTGTTTGCACGTTGCCTCGAGATGAAAACATGCATGTATTTTACATTATTGATCCGGAAAAAACTGCTGCATCCAATGACGTTCAAATCATTGTTATAAGTTCTTATGGATTATCTACCAGCGGACTTGCAACTATCCAATTCTATCAACGAGGTGACTGCTTGTATGACTATATTTCGAATGGCTATGAATATGTTGATTTTTTTTACTAATATTGAGAAATCGGTGTGTAGATATTGTTGTGTGGGCCAACCCAATGTTTAATGCTCCAAGCTGTTCATTTACTTCAAATAAACCAATAGAATTGTCAGCAAATTTGGTTGGCCCATGGACTATTCTTCATGCAGCACAACCCATGGCTCAAATCACTATTACAGGTGCATCCCAAGCTGCATCGTCATATGCAACATTCAAGCCCAACATCATTGATCAAGGAATGTACACCATTACCGCGTTTATTCCTGCGTGTGCTCTCAACACCACTTTGGTTTCGTCAGTTCCAATGGCCTCTATTCCCCAATCGCTATCATCCGATTTGTGCACATCGCGTGGAAATGTCACTGTTGCAGTGGTTTCTCCCAATAATGCTGGCACACCTCAAACCGTAGTCTTGAGTCTACAAACGCCGGCAGAAACGCAAACAGTATTGGGTACGTTTCTCTTGTCACCTGGATCTTTTTTTAACATCTCCTGTGCAACATCTACAGGAACGAGTGTGGCTATTGAGGGGTTTACTGTTGTAAAGACTCCAAGCGTGACTGGGTTAAAGAATCTTGCTTCTTTTGCTACGAACGACCCAAAAAGTGTTTTTACTCCATTTGCAGGTACATTGGAATTGTAGAATATATGGTTTGTATTATTTTCATGTATGTGCGTATTCAACACACTTCCCGTGTATTATATACAATCATTTAAAAGCCGATGCGATTCCAGATAACGCAGTCGTTAAATCACTAGCGGTAGATTCGAAAGATGTAGTGTATGTTGCTGGTCAGTTATACATTGCTCCCAACATGGCCAATATTGTTAAATATACACCTGGAGTCAATGCATCTGGTGTCAGAGGATGGTCGGCTCTTTCTGGCGGTGGTCTCAATGCAGGAGTTTCTGCATTAGCTAGCTATCAATGTAAGTGCAAACAGTCAAAACTTTTGTTTTAAACTTGTAATTTGCGTATTCAACTATTATGTTTAACCTGACAACTTTTTGCAAAATGACAGCGCTTTTGTTTGTTGGAGGAGATTTTACCGGGACTCAAAATGGATTGGTGATGCTTTCTCGTGTAGCAATCTATAATTCTGACAAGGATACATGGTTACCAATGAGTGGAGGTATCAATGCTGCACCAACATCAATTTCTGTTGATTCTCAAACTCGCACAGTTCGTATTCTTGGTCCCTATACACTCCAGTACACGTCGCAAACCGATACTGTTGGGGTTGCAGTGCCAGGAATGCTAGTATGGTCCATCGACACCAATTCATTCATCTCGCCTCCGGAAAGCATTTCTGGCATACTCGATGTTCCGCCAATGTTTTCACGTTCTGGAAACGAACAGGAAACCAATATGATTGCTGCTGGCATTATTACCGATTTTGCTGGGATTGCCAAAAGTTCATATGGCGTGGGTGTAGCTGAACTTGGTGTAAATGGAGTGAATGGACTGGTTTCTATTCCGGATAAAGCCAGGCTCACCTCTGTTGCCTCGGATACAAAACATGGAGTAATCTACATGGCCGGAACGTCTCTTGCAGGGGTTTCCAGCATATCTTCAATGCAGGCTGATGGCAGTAAATTTTATTATCTTGGAGTTAATATCACCGCCGGTGAAGGTACGTATTCATATATGGATAGTTTAATCGACATGTATGTTTAGCTTATTAGTTTTATTCAACACTTTCAATCATTTCTGCATAAAATTTAGTTCGTGATATGGTGTACTTTGATCAAAGCGATATGGTAGTACTATGTGGATCGTTTAAATCCGTTACCATTCGGAATGTATCAACCCCTGTTTCCGGCTTGGTTGCTTTTAACCCAACAACACTTGAGATCAGCAAATCCATTACATTTGGTTAGTTCAAGATACTGGTAATTGAATGTACATAAATGTTTAACACGTATTTCCAACCGTTGGCTTTTTTGCGATACTTGAATAGCTGACTCCAAAACTGCAAATCAGACTACTGTGAATGTAAGACGTATCAAAGTAATAGATACCAATCGGTTTGTTGTATTGGGGGATATAGATTTGCCTAGTTTGGGCTGTATTGGTGCATGCATTTGGGATGCATCAATTCAAACATGGTCGAATATTCTGAGCGGAGTGCGTGGAACATATCAAGCTGTTGATGTATCAACCAACGTGAGTGACCATCAATTTTTGTCAATCTATGCGCTTTAAAGAATAATATGATGGAGAGATTTTACGTTGCAACACTAATAATCTTTACACTTGTAATGTTGTTAATGAATGGTTTAGGGAGTCGTTTACTTTGGTGGGAAATTCACTGTAAACAATACAATTCTTGCATCGGCAACACCTACAACAACAGTATCAATATTAACGTTGTCACCTGGCGAGTCATTACCAAAAGTCCAATACAGCACTGCACTGTCGCCGATTGATCTAAATGGAAACGTCACGTCTCTAGGACTGTCACTTAACGGTGTAGTATATATAGCTATAGTTGATCGTAGCGGTATCACAAATTTGACTCGAGTGAATAATGGTCAGATTTTTACGTATCAACTGAATCAGCAAAGTCTAGTCACGGAAATATCACCCATGGGCTGGAATACCAGTAGCGGGGTATACGTTGATGGCATGCTTCTTACAGGACGAATTATCACTTCAGAAAGTGTAGATGGATCCCCAGCATCAACCAAACCATTTGTGGCAGCACTTTACGATCCAACACGCAATATCCTTACACCGCTTATTTCTGCCATTCCATCTACAAGTGTAGTTTCCACTGTCAGAGTTCAGACGCCAATAAAAAGCATACCGCCCAGCTCTAGAGATCAAAACAATGACTCTGCTCGTTTAATCCCTATCTGGGCATTAGTGTTGATCGTTATAGCGGCTTTGATTGCTTGTGCGCTGTTATTCTGGATGATTTACATCTGCGTCAGAAACAATCGGAATCGAAAAACGGCTGAACTGTCTATAAAGCCAGCTGATAAATCTCAAATTGAAACTGATCAACAGTCCAATATACAACGAGAAATTCTGCCAGCGCGATGGAGTCCAGGACAGGAAACGATTTACACAGTGCCCAATGGTCTTGTAGACAAACAGGACAGCAATGACACCATTTCGTTTTCGCCAAAAGAAATCGAGTCTTCCTATGGCGATCAGTTTGAGATTTTTTGTGAAAATCAGAGCAAACATTATCCACCCAGTAGTTCGATCGGTTCACTTCCTCATCCATCCAATGAAGGCTGGTGCAATGTATTGCCTCCAGATGCACGATCCATGGGGAAAACTTTTCCAGTCAAACAGAATGCCAAAAAAGGAGAAACTGAGCCAGTAGTAAGTGAAGATGTATTTTTTGATTGTCCCGATTTGACACGTTCGACCATATCCAGCGATCGGGCGTATAAAAGCGAAACACCTTTAGCGATACAAACCAACGGCCCTTATCGACCACCACTTCCACCTCATTTGAAATGCATACCTCAACGTCGATCAGGATCCTTGCACTCTTATATGGCCGAGCATGGATTTTTGCTATCCCCTGCTGCTGAAGAAGAACACGGTGACTTGCTGCCACTGTCGATGCAGGCCAATGCACGTTCCATACAACAACCACCCTCGTTCAAAATAGAGCGTGTTACAAGCATATCAACGTTTGAAGATCCATCATCCATGTCCATTTCGATTCTCGATCCAGTTCCCTCTAATATTGACAATGTCGCAGTAGGCGATGCTTATCAAAATGATCGACCGCTGAGAAGAAGAAGCAATACCAACTCGATTGCGAATGACTATTTTGATGGCGATGCAGAACTTTTGAATATGTCATCGCATTCGATCAAGCCAACAAGACCTGGATCATGGCTGGTTCAATCGCATCAGCTTGCTATAGCGCAAGACTCGTATCATGCTCAAGATAGCACTGAATTGAGTATGTTGTTGGGTGTGTTGCTGGCTGAAATGAGGTTAAATCGCTCACATTGATATATATTTTTAGATTTACATACTGGGGATAAAATCGAAGTTTTAGATTGCACTGATCCATTTTGGTGGACAGGACGACTTGGAAAACGTCGTGACCAGATTGGACTTTTTCCAGCATCGTTGACTTCCAAAGACATCCATTAAACATTGGGAATAATGGCAAGACCGAATTTGTCCAGCTACAATTGTTAATCAAGCGTCTACGCACAATTAGCACATTGTTTTATCCATCGCTCAATAAAATAAGGTTAAGAAAAGCAGTGCATACTAATCATCAATACCACCAACACCCAAATTTAAAATAGAAACACATTTTAGAACTTGCTAAAATTTCATTGCACACTAGTATGAATATTTCAGCTGTATCAATAAAACTCTTAAAATTCCGCATTCAAAAAGCAACTTCAATACGGCAATCTGATGATGCGGGCAATCTCTTCATTCAGTTTACTTGAGAGGAATGAAACGAGAGCTGTGAGTAGCACCAATACCGGGACGACCGTGCTTGACAGGCTTATAAGAAATGGAGAACTCGGCAAGGTAGTGACCAACCATCTCAGGCTTAAGCTCAACCTGGTTAAAGGTCTTTCCGTTGTAGATACCGACGATAGAGCCAATCATCTCGGGAACAACAATCATGTTGCGAAGATGAGTCTTGACAGCGGCAGGTTTCTCGTTGGGTGGAGCATCTTTCTTGGCCTTGCGAAGCTTCTTAATGAGACCCATAGGCTTACGCTTGAGTCCACGCTGGAACCTCCTGCGAGCACGAGCGTGCACAAGCTCCATGAGCTAATAAAAATTCAACCATGAATTCAAATATTTTTAGATGATATTAGCATTAGTTGTTACAACCGTATCCACGTAAAATGGAACACAATAAGTGTCTAATAGACTGTTTCCACCAAATTTACTGGACAGTAATGTTTTGAACTTTGTGCTCATGTTTGTATAAAAACACCAAATGAATGCTCAAAGCTACAAATACATCACACATCCTTCTATACAAGTAAATATTGGATGATTGACATGGAAACAACAATCACATTCCTGAAACGTGCAATCTTTGTTTTTTCAAACTAGAACACGAACATATCCGGTATTTTAGGATATAAACCGAGTTGGTACAGAGTTGTATTGACAGTATTGAAACAGTCAATCCCAGTATCTGGATTGCAATGTACAAATCTGGCTTCAAACTTGGTAATTGTACAATGCAGGACTATATCAAAAAAAGCAGGCTCAAAACTATAGCTGGATTGTGTGCATCATATAATGAATACTGAAACAAGAATAGATGTCTATTCAAGTCAGTTTGTAGTAGGAAAGTGCAGTGGTATTAACCATTGTCTACTCCAACACAGATAGTGGCTGCAAGATAATACAAAAGTGCTCCATTTTACATGAATACTGCTGTAATAGATACAAGTATAACGAAATGTGTACCTGCTCAGAGCTCAAATCAAGGAGCTGCTCGAGATCAACACCACGGTAAGAGAACTTGCGGAAAGAGCGCTTCTTACGGTCCTCAGCGGCCTGAGTGTCAAATGTGTCTGCCTAATGAATCCAAAATCAATACAAAGTAGTTGTTAGTTTATGTTTCAATGATTACTGATATGATCGGATGGACAGTGAATCTATGATTCAGCATGACCATGTACACCACTAGTAAATATCCATTCATCCATATGATGCTATCAGCTGATAGATCCATCTCAAGTAGTTGCAGTGTGTATCACTCCAGAACATATACTCTGGCAGTATCATTACTGCAGCACAATATTCAAGATGACTGGCTGTAGCTGAGCATGACAGGTTTTCTAGTTGGTCGTGATTAGTTCATGCATGCATAGGCCTGATAACGCATGCACTGCACAATGGATGGATGGATATACTAGTGGATCTTAAGGCAGATGAACGGCAGCAACTGACCATGATGATGTAGTGATGAGAAAAGCGAGTCGGTGTTCTTGCATCAATCCAATCATCAAAACACGTGACCTGAAATCTTGCTTGATTTCGTTTACAACTCGAGACAAGGGAATGAAAACGCAGAAAAAACTATTAAGCTTTCTATGCTCAGTAAAAACAATTTTTTCATTCAACAATAACGGTTTATGGAATTGCAACATAAATATACTCTGGACTGCGGCGCATCCATAAAGCAATTCCTAACATTGCAATCAAGACAATATCCAGCACCCACGATGCTGTAGTGAAGCTATGTGAAACCCCATAATCTCCACCTATAAAAAAGATTGAATCGTCGCGCCGTTTGAACATGATGACGTTGACCAAAATCTGGCATGTAGCTAATGATATGAAACAAATCTAAGTATATCAAAATATCGAGCTACACAAGCAGGACGTGATTGCTTACCGTGAACGCCTGTACACCAGATTGTAGCTCCAACGGTTGCTGCTCTGGTGGTATAGTTGATCATAGCAAGCCACGACATCCATGCTAGACCCCCAAACGTAAGTGCTCCAATCTATTGTCAACAAAGTATGCTTAAATATTGTTATGGCGCATAAATAGTTGCCTTGACACAAAAAATACCTCGAGATATCTAGCAGTAAGAAAACTTTGACAAAGTGACATGTCATCATCGGCATGCTTTGGAAGTGAGATGTGGCAGTCCTTTGTTGGAAACTAGCAACATTCGATTTAAAAATATTAGTATCAGTAAAAGTTAGAATCCTTGACATTAGTTGTTACAACCGTATCCACGTAAAATGGAACACAATAAGTGTCTAATAGACTGTTTCCACCAAATTTACTGGACAGTAATGTTTTGAACTTTGTGCTCATGTTTGTATAAAAACACCAAATGAATGCTCAAAGCTACAAATACATCACACATCCTTCTATACAAGTAAATATTGGATGATTGACATGGAAACAACAATCACATTCCTGAAACGTGCAATCTTTGTTTTTTCAAACTAGAACACGAACATATCCGGTATTTTAGGATATAAACCGAGTTGGTACAGAGTTGTATTGACAGTATTGAAACAGTCAATCCCAGTATCTGGATTGCAATGTACAAATCTGGCTTCAAACTTGGTAATTGTACAATGCAGGACTATATCAAAAAAAGCAGGCTCAAAACTATAGCTGGATTGTGTGCATCATATAATGAATACTGAAACAAGAATAGATGTCTATTCAAGTCAGTTTGTAGTAGGAAAGTGCAGTAGGTATTTAACCATTGTCTACTCCAACACAGATAGTGGCTGCAAGATAATACAAAAGTGCTCCATTTTACATGAATACTGCTGTAAAATATTAAAACATACTTCTGTGCATGTGGTCGATGTTCCAGTCGTGAGACCTGAATACAGTTGCATATGAATAGGGTTAGTGTGATACAATTATACATGGTAGACGACAAGGTTTGTATGTAATGCATATTGCCATATCATGAAAGTACAGCTGAAAATCAAGCTTAAAAGAGAGTTGTATATGTGAATCATAGCAAAGAGTTATAGCTCCAATGTTATATTACACCAAATGCATACAATTCTGGAATAGTCCAAAAGACATGGACAAGGAGCCAAAGACTGGTATTTGATTGACTCGCAGAAAGTCGGGAGTCACAGTTGCATAGATGGAAAATGCAAGTGAAATGGTGAACAATGCAAAGAATGCTGCATATGTTGAAGACAGATTCTGGAATGGAGCAGGCATAAGTGGCAGTATGGTTTGAGCAATAGTTCCTAAAGCTGTTATTCACGTAAAATGAAATACTAAAATAAGTGTCAAATTACATAAATAAGTCTTATGAAATGATTGTTCAGTTCCCACCAAATTTGCCGAAAAATATTGAACTCGCTAGTTGGCTGTCTTTGTGTTTATTTTGTATAAAAACAACCAAATACTCAAAGCTACAAATGCGTCACACATCCTTACACTACAAGTAAACATTGCATGACTGGCATGTACAATTACATTCCTAAAACATGCAATCATTGTTTTCTTGGACTGGAGCGCGAGCATATGTTTGAGAGTTTTAGGATACAAAAAGTAGAATTGTATTGATAGCAGTCGAATCTGATGTTTGGATTGCAATGCATGAATCTGGTGATTGTACAATGTACGACTATGATACAGTCAAACTATAGTTTTGAACTGAAATTGTTTTTATTTGAAATTACAGCGTCAGTAGTATGTAAAGGGCACTGAATGATGCCAGTTTTGTTGGCTGATACTGATAGCTTGATGAAAATGTGTCAAAACATGACTTTTATGACAACACTGTACAAGTTTAAATCAAAGACTATTGGTGAATGTTGTCCAAGTCTGATGATATTACCCATTGACGGATGATCGATGAATATCTTGTATCAAACGACCATGCAAAATCAAGCACATCTCACAAGCAAATGGTTACAAAGTTGAATGTTTGGGGATGCGAATTTCAACTTTCGGAAACACTGAAATGGACAGCATCATCAAATGTAACAATAACTACCAAATGATTTCAAACAGATCGTTTACATCCAAAGACACTGTCATACTTGTCACCCAATACCTCACAATACCTCACAGTACATCCATGGACCAGTTCTTGACAGCATTCAATGTTGAAATGCAAATGAATGCATTTACCCAGAGTAGCCCAGAATATATACAAGTATGTCGACGAATGTCCAGATTTGGGACCATATACTGTGAATGTGATTGAGCACGTCAAACATTGACATATTCCATCCAGGAAATGGTTCGGTAATGATATAAAGTGCAAAGCCGTACCAACATTGGTTTACAATGAGATCGTCAACAACACCAATATATTCGATATACTGAATGACTACAACAACTTGAACGTAAACCCACGACAGAAGCAACCAAAATGCGTTGCTATTTGATCCAATACTTGAATCTGGATATCCATAAACATGACATTCCAATTACAGGATGAGCATTGACATACCACTGACAGATGAATAATAAATACTGTGAATGTCAACTATTCAAACGCAATGATGTGTTGTGTCATACATACATATACAATGTCGTTGGGCCATCAAGCATCGTATTGCATCATTATCATGGACAGGACAGGACAAGAACAAGGCGAGATAAGCTCTGTCGACAAATTCTGTGATATGATGCTAATGCCTTGTATATATGTCATTGGTCAAGACATGCTATGCGGTAACCATCAGGTCATGGAGCTGTACCGTAACATCATCAAACATGTCATGGCAGAATCACTATTTGGTGTTATTGAATGTGACATTACCGTGCCGAATCAACTCTGGAATGTCTTTGCCGAGATGCCGCCAATATTCAACAATGTGGGACTTGTGTTCAACGATATATGCGCTGAACCACAAGATTGGGTAAACCCAAACTACAAGTGTAACAAACTAATTGGCAGTTTCTTTGGAAATAAAGTGTTATTCCATACAGAGTTGCTAAAATGGTACGTGAATAAATGTTTGGATGTTTCCAGTGTAGCTTGTACTGTAAAATACAAGTGTAACACACTGTTCAATGCATTCATGGATCATGTTTCGAATGACATGCGAGCTGGAGATACCAATCAAGCCTACACACTACATGAGAATGATGTAATTGATTGACAATTCATCATACGGGAAATGTATTGCAAACTTCCTGAAACACAAAACAGTCAAGATGGTGAATGTAGACAACTATATCAAGAATGTTGGACAAACCAATTATACTGTGCATCAAGATATTAATAAAGGTGATGAAATCCGTTTTAAAAAGACATTGTTCAAACAAAGCTGTCCAGTTCAGATCGGCTTTGCCGTGTATCAGTTGGCAAGGTTGTGAATGCTTCAGTTTTACCATGACTTTGTCAACTATTGCATTGATCAAAGCGACCATCAATACTGTATCATGGACACTGATTGTGCGTATTTTGGTATATCCAGCGGCAAGTTGGAACATGTCATTAAACCACATCTGATGGATGAATTCCAAAAAACAAACATCCATGGCTGAAATACAAATGATACGGTATCATGGCATTAGTAAGCAAGATGCACTATTGTATGGGTGAAAAAACAAGGTTAGTACCAAAAGAATCAACAAGAAACGATAATCGTGAAACAGAAATACTTGAATGCTCTACGAAGCAACAACAGCCAAGAGTGTCAGCAATGAATTCAGAGTCAATGACAATCAAATCAATCCTTGCACTTTGACCAACAGCGGAATGCAGTATTCAATCATAAGCGGACAAGAGTCGGATTTAAAACATTCCTACCCGAATTCTATAATATTTAAATGTTGGATGAATATGATGAAATAAATGAATTAGCACAACTGTATTGCAACCCAAATACTGGATTATCATCTGCCCACAAATTGCACTCGACATTTGACAAACAAATACCATTAAAAAATAAGCTTTTATTAATGAACAGGTGAGCCATCAAATAACAAGGCATATCAATCACTCTATATCATACAAGCTGATGATCGTGTATTCAAGCAACAGTGACAAATCAGTTTGATAGGGGTTTACAAATACTCACATTGGAATGCTGGCTATATACACTTAGATATACTTGTTTTGCGCTGTTGATGTGTTTAGTAGAAAGGCTTTCGTGTCTGTTGAAGTGAAAGTCCGATACAACAGATGCCATGGCTAACATATTGGATAGAAATCAACCAATGCTAATCCAAAGCGACAGCAGAACAGAGTTCTTGAACATGACATTTCAAAAGTGATTAAAATCAGTGAATGTCAGACACATTACTGTTGACGTCAGTGACCATAAAAGGCTAGGTATTGTACAGAGATTCAACAGGACTATTGATCAATTGATCAGCATATATCAGGAAAGCAGAAACACACATATATACATTGTCGTTCTGAATGATTTGGTCTATAATTACAATCACGCTGTCAATAGAGTTACAAATGACACCTGAAAACATAACTCTGTAAAATCCAAGCTCTGTATACTGTAGAGCATCTGGATTCAGTGATTATCTTGGAATTGGTGACAAGGTCAGAATCTTGAAAGTGAAGGCTTTTCAAAAGGGATATGTGCCAACATTTATCAAATCTGATTATCAAATATATGCGAGAGATGGATACTCCTATCTACTACAAAACAATAAGGCAGTTCAGCTCGAGCAACGGTACAACATTTATGAATTACAAAATATTACTTGATTTTCCAGGTGCATTTGATACACCAGTATGAGAACGACCATTGATCCAAACGGAGCGTCGTAACAAGCGTGAAATTACCGAGTTAGTGGAATATACTCTTGAACCGCTACATGAAAAGACTAATGTATTTACATGAAATTATTGTGTTGGGTAATACTATACAATGAATTTCGAAATCAATACCACAATGAATATCTTGAACGCATACGGAATTGGAATCATTGCAACCCAAATGAAAATGAGCAATTGTGACAATGACATCGAGATTATTATCAGAAAACCAAGGATAAAGACCAGAAAACATACAGATAGTACTATTCATTGAATTCCGATCTTGAAAAGGAGAAGGAGAGTAAAAAAAGGGTAAAGAAAGCAAAAACACAATTCCAGAACAATAAATAGAAACAATCACAAGTGCTTTATTCAAGCAGATATAAAGATACATTGATTAAACATGGAAAAGAGACTTGTTCATTCAGAGTAGATTAACAAGTGATTTCCACAACAATGGACATGATTGACATGATACCGAGTTGTCCCACCACAGTGTAAAAAGACTGCACTATCAGTTCCACGATCATTGGTAGCAACATCATCATCACTGGAATCTGAATGTGTCGTCAATTGATGAGACATTGTTGGTTGACAAACTGTCTCACTGCAATGGAAAGAGACATTTGAGTTGCTTTCATTATTGCTTGAATTCAAAGGTGTCAACATCAACTGTTGGTATTCACACTCACTACAATGACAACTATTGCTGTAACAGAAACCAGTCTCTTGTAATGAATACACAATTTTATTGAACATTTTCAATGATCAAGGTAGCACTCGATTCCATCCATTTTTCGATGCTCTTACTCCGGTAATCTACAGGAGTACAGCCATCGTCATCATATGGACAATACTCATCATCAGATTCTACACCACCAGCCATACGCCAAATAAGACATGCTGTCTTGTGGAACTTTAGTGCGTTCCTGTTTGGTAGTCGAGTTGGATTGTTGTGAATGAAATACAATGCCATTTCATCGTTGGATTCAACTGCTTGTCGATTGTCAGTCCATCTCTCTTGCATATAGGACCGAATCAACTTGAGCACTCTAACAGTTCGTTCCCAATTCTTGTGTTTGTCACTTGTTGAGTCATTCGTCTCATTGATCACTTTGATCACCAGTTTGTCATCCACTACATCGACATATCGCCTTAGTTTACCGAATTGGCTATGGCACTTGATACACAACAACAGTCCGTTCTGTATTTGATGTTTCTGTGTCAAGCCGGCTCGTTGCAGGATGGATGGTTCGTTGTATGCCATTCCAATGTTCTTTCGTGATATGATGTGTGCTCCTTCAGATTCTTCATTGTCCCAGCAAAACAAGCAGACTCTGTCTCTCTTTTCAACTGCCTTGTTCAAGTCCTTGTGCTGTAGCTCACTCACTTTTGCAACATAGTCCAGATCATCAGCAGAGTTGTTTCTTGATGTTGGGTTTGATGAAACTGGAGTGTGACAGCTGGATGAATCGTTGTAGTCTTTGTGGAATGGCAGTATGTAATACCCAAACATCTTGTCAATGAATGTACAATGATGTTCTGGGTCTGCCAACTGGATCTTGGTTGAGAATTCCTGCTGCTCTGCAAATTGGTTGGCAGTCAGCAAGTTGTGCAGTCGAGTGATGTGTGAGGTTTCTCCCTCTTGGATGATTCCCAAAAACAAACCTCGTTTGTTGTCATCCTGCCATTCAGACTTGACTCTCTGTGTTGGTATGGCTTGAGTGCTGATTTGGTAATATTCATTCAACAGTTGTGTTGTTGCTGTCTTTGTTGTTTCAATATTCATTTGATGTTTTTTGACAAAAGAATGAAACTCGAACCAACCAAAATAATTGCAGTCAACAATCAAATTGGACAATATTCACCAATAATCTTTTAAACTCGTACAGTTTGTACAGTGTTGTCATAAAAGTCATAGTTTTGACACATTTTCATCAAGTTACCAGCGAGTATCAGTGAGTATCAACCAACAAAATTGGTCTCGTTGATTGATACACTATTAATACAATTCCAAAGGAGTGACTGCAGGACCGAGTTTCATTTCATGCGAATATGGCTGTAATCTGAAATGCAATAATCAACTGATCGTGTTCGTTCATTCAATCAACTCTGTAAGCATCTGGCTAAACTTTTTAATCGAGAGCTGCTGATTCAACACCAAATGAGTACAAGCCTTGACGGCAAGAATAATAGCATCATCACGACCAAAACTGCTGTCGATGCATCTATTTCAACTAAATCCAAAGATTCATCATCAAGATCTACAATACTTTATGCATTCAACTCAAAACTGAATCCACCAACACACATCCCGCTTTCATTCACTGGAACATCCACTTCAGTAGATACGTTTGAAAAAATTGGTCGGGTAGGCCAAGGTACTTATGGTATTGTTTACAAGGCTCGAAATCGATCTACCAAAGCTATTACTGCATTGAAGCGAGTGAAAATGGATCAGGAGCAAGAAGGAGGCATGCCGCTGAGCTCACTGAGAGAAATATCATTACTGAAATCCCTAAACCACATCAATGTGGTTAAAGTTCTCGATGTAGCCGTTGGAGAAAGATTGGAAGATTTGTTTTTGGTCATGGAGTATTGTGAACAGGTAGTGCTACGGATTGGATATTTATGTATGGAGATCACAATGGACCAGGCTGGGAATCTCCGAGATTAACCTTTTTGGGAAACCTTTGACAATCGACAGGACATGGCGAACATCATGGACTCGGTAACTCAACGGGGAAGAAAAACAGTATACCAACCAGCCGAAGGTATAGTCAATATATGATGCTATGTTGGAGCCAGATCTCAGTTTTTTGAACTAATTTTGGAAATCGTTGTGGATGGAACAATACATAGTCAAATGTCTTATTCTACAGCTACTTTGTGGGGTCGGTAAAGTAGAGTCTGATGTCAATACTGTTTTGTTTGATGGTTTCCTAGCAAGTTGCTCAATTTACTAACATGATATTTTTGATTTGATATTTCATTAGAGTATCTTCATCGAAATTTTATCATCCATAGGTAATCGACTATGCAACTTTTGAATATATAGAAAGTGTTTTTCAATTGCCGACATCACCTTAATCTCATGAATATGCAACTATACTATTTAGAGATCTCAAACCATCTAATCTTTTATTGACTTCAGAGGGCACTCTTAAGATTGGTAAATGTTTATAAAAGCATTTGAATGTTTATAGGAACCTCTTGAATAACATGGCTTTTATATCATGGTTAAATTTAGCTGATTTTGGACTTGCAAGAACATTTAGTGAACCTATTGAACCCATGACACCACGAGTCGTTACACTCTGGTATAGATCGCCGGAACTTCTTCTAGGAACAAGCCACTATACTCAATCAGTAGATATGTGGTCGGTAGGGTGTATTTTTGGAGAGTTTCTCAAGTCAGAACCTATTCTTCCAGGTCACGTTGAACGAGAACAGCTGGAAATGATTTGTAATCTCCTCGGATCACCAACAAAGCATATCTGGCCTGAACTTCCAACCATGCCTTTTTACAAATCATTCAAGTTTCCCGAGGTAAAGTATGATGGAGTACGCACTGCGTTTCGAGGTATCCGAGAAGGTGCCTTGAGGTTGTTGAAAGATCTACTGGTGTGGAGACCAAAGAGTCGGATCTGTGCGAGTGATGCGCTACAACACGAATACTTTGATGAAGTACCAAAAGCCTGTTTACCCCTGTTTCTTCCCACTTTCCCCGAGTTTCGACAAGAGGATTCCAATTCTCATCATAGTAGTCATTACGCAAATGCTTCCAAGACTAATGGACTTTCACAAATAAGCGTGTCACAATCTGCCCAACGATTAGGGGGTCTAGAGGCTAGGTATGGTGGTAGCAATGTATTAGAATCTGCCACATCTTTAGTTCAGCCTACACTTCGTTTAAAGCGACGTCGATTTGATCAAGAATCAGACACACTATTAGATATAGGTGTGCCTGTATTTCAACCCTACTCCAAAGATTAAAGTAATTGATGTCTAATTTCTATTTGGCTGTGAATTTGAAGATTAGATTGTAAATACTATTGTCTTGATATAGTGTGTTTATTAGCGTTGTTTTTCAGCAGTGCGAACAGATATAGCCTTGAATTGACGCACCAGATTAGTAAAAATATCTTCTGGAGTGGTACAGTGACGCAACTCAATTGTCTCGCTTGATTTTGGTGAGACATGATCTGACGTATTGTTAGCTTTTTCTAAAAAAGAAGTAGTATAAGTGAAGTTGAGAGAGCAGCTTGCATCTGGAGATTCAATTGTATGAAATTTAAGATGTGGATTGGCCTTGTAGATACGAGGAAGTTCATTCACGTAAAACAATCTGTATTGAAGAAAAAAAGAGTCAGTCTCTGAAAGAAAGTATAGATCAAATCAAAAGCAGTCAGTACAAAACAAATGCATACGATAGAGCTGGTTTGGCAGGACAGCTATCGGAGCCAAAAGATACAGTGAGAGATGTAATTGGAGCAACCAATTTTTCAGATGCAGCCCGACCTCTTGATAGATTAAGTTCAAGAGATCGAACAGAAAATGATTTGAAAACAATGTTCGAAGAAGCAACAGCGGCAGAAGCAGCAGTGGTGACGGACATGAACTAATCTTGGTTTGTAGTTGCGATGGCAGCAAAGAGCAGAAAATACAATTCAGAGCACAACCACCAAATTACTTGACACGTGTCTATTTTATTGGGACAAAAAGGTAAAAATGGGGTCTGCAATCCTTTTTAGCGTGTTGCGAATGGCAGACAAATTCAGACTTGCCAACAATATTATTACAGAAACGATTGTTGCTGCAATGACTACTCGAAGAAGTGTTAGACAAATGGCCTGTACTGCCAATTCTTTACAAGCCCCCTTTTTGGCCAGTGAAAATCATTCTAAAATGGTTAATGGCACTCCTGACACTCTTTCAGAACAGTCCATCACTCAGCACGACTCTGTGCTAGACAATGTGCTTGAAACTGGATCTGCCGATGGCCCTGATGATAGATCCGATATCTCCATATCTCGCACTAGTAGTGGCAGTAATGTCAGTCACTCTTCTAAAACCAATCGAAATAAAAGACTTGTGCCTTTTATAATCTCAAAGAGATCGGCTCAACCTCGTGCTGCTAAAACCAATGCGTCCAAGTCTGCTGTTGATAGTACTGCTGCTGCCGCTCATGGAAACGAACCTCTCAATATCTGCGATATGTGGCAGACTGCATTTATTCATATGTTTTTAGTCTCCTTTTCTCCCTATTTTATCAACTTGCGACCGCCTGCTAATTCTTCTAATACCAACGGCAACTCATCATATAACAACAGTCGTGAAGAATATAGAGTCAATCTGGCAAATAATATGGCTTCTTTTGTCAAATCTTTGCCACAGTTGAACCCAGTAGATCTCGAAAGAGAGTTGAGCTTGGACCATTCGTCCGAACTGGTCGAATCTATTTTGATTGCATTCTGTGTCAATCTAAGCAATCTCGACTCTCGCACTCATGCCCACATTCTGTAAGTAATTCTTAAACATCTATTAGCCAAAATATACAATCATTATCCGTGAATACTAATCATTCATTACACATTGATTAGGGTTGCATGGCCTCGAGTTGTCAACCGTCTTATTCTCAGTCATATTGCTGCAGGAGATGATCATTTCAGCACCTCTCCGATTGTGCTTCCCGTTGCAAACAAGCTTAGATCTACAGATCAACGCACTGTTTTCACCAATGACCAAACTAGTAATCTAAACCCAAGCGGAAACTCCGCTGCTACCCTGACAAGCAATCAAACATCCGTTTCTAAACCAACCGTTGAAACACCTATAGAACAATCTTTAAAGTCAGATGTTGCATTGAACGGTGAACCAAACGATAGCGCATCTGATAATGATGTTGAAAATTCAAATCCTCTCAAATCCACCATTTCTTCTGAAGTCATGCAAGAGCGAAACACAGAAGCTCGTATGAATTTCTTTAAATTAGATCCATCAATTAAAGTCAAAATTATATACGCTTTGGCTGACTGGCAACTATGCGAATGCGAGCCTATTCATGAAGCCATTGAACAAGCGTTTAAAGAGCGTGCCAGTGCTAAAGAAAGACTCTTTCGCGCAGCCGCAAGATTCAATATCAAGGAGCGGAATTTCTCTATCCGACCCGAGACTGCAGAGCATTTAGCTGCAACCGAAAACAACTTGTTGATGATTCAATCGATTGGGATCGATAGATTTAAACGCAAGGTCTATCATATTGGAGACTATCCACGTATCTATTCCATGGATATGCATGCTAATAAGTGGAGCTCAATATGCTCTACTTTGAATGATCTCATACACTATGCTGAAGGATTAAGTACTACCGGACCTGAAAAGGAATTAAAAGAATGTTTGGTAGGAACATTGATTCCACGGCTAACTGTTTTGGAGCAGAGGCGAGAAAAGCGTCGGATCCGTCAGGAAAAAATGCGACAGTTTATGGAACGACCCATCATTCCAAGAGAACTGCGGCGTACACGTACGTCAGTATCGTATGCAGAAATCAACAGCGACGATGATGCAAGTAAATGTGAAAGTCCCACATCTAGTTTGCAAAGTGGGCGATCTTCCAAGCGTAGAATGAATGCTTCTGATGACGTTTCTGAAACATACTTTGAAGGCACTGATACTATGGGTGATTCGAATCAGGATATCAACGTTGAAGTAGATGATGACATGGTAAGTTTTCTGTCTTTACTCGAATACCACATTTGATTTACTCCCAATTCCTTTCTTGGTTTAATATTTTTCAAATCTTGATGGAGATAACATTTCAATTTTTGTGAGTTCAGAACCCTCGATCGTTTAAAGACCAAGCAAACACAAGCACCGAATCAGTGAGCATGTCTTTTGGTTTATCCCCACTTACAGGGAACCTGTTTTTTGGAAAACCTACAAACAATATAGGCTATACAAGTTTGGATTCATTTTGAGATGAACTAATGAATTAAAAAAGGTGTATTTATATTCAATATATAAATTGTATCACTTGTTTACTTTGAAATTTTTATAGAACCTCGTTTTATTACTGCTCAAATCAATACGTTAAACAAGCTATTTTGGAATCTCTAAATACTCGGTAGATTGTTTTTGGATCAATGCAACATTTTTCAAACATTGATCTTTGTTGCATTGGCAGGTATGATTTTAAAAGTGCTGAAATGAAACCAGAAGGCTCCATGATTGGTTGCTTACAGTCTTACGTAAAATGGAACAACAGTTGGATTTATCAAAAGATCGATGCCAAATTTACAGAACAGTATTATGCAGTTTGAACTCTTTGACAAATCCATTGATTAAGCATGGTCTACCAACTGCTCAACAACAACGTCGTGAGGTAGAGCTTCATGCTGATTCCTAGATATATTCTACAATTAAAACGCAATTTGCATCAATATTTTATTAAAGTGGACACATTACGAAGAGCAAATCCAATCACCACACAAGACCATCGTAGCAACACCAGATCCCACTACAAACACAAACAGAAGCACGTCATCGTAAAACGATCTCCAAATGATCATTGCTTCTGAAACCGCACTAGAAAATGATTCAAGTACGGGCGTATTTGCTCTGAAAACTTGGCGAAGAATCAACGTGACTTCGGTTGGAAATGCACCTGGCCTGCTATTCGGCAGAGTGAATGCCTAGTTATTTAAAGATTGGTTGAGGATGCAGTTTTTAAAGCAATAGAGCCAACACAACAGTTGGATAAAGTATGTGCCATCATATCTAGCTTACAAGTTGGTAAATAAATCGCAATAAATTTAGCCCCATTTCAATGGTAAGAAACATGATCCAGACTGACTATTAAACCAAATATTTGATAAGTAGCGTAAAAAGGAAATGCATATTCGGCAAACCCATAATACTAGTAAAAAACTTACCATTCTGTGATTACCAATAGCATTGCTGAGCAAATTATTTAAACGAGTATTCAAATCGATGACTTGACTAAACGATAGTTTGGCAATAGTTTGACATGCATTGGCAGTGAGATCGCGATTGACAATATGGTCTTCCTCGGTAGAAACACCTTCAGATTCAGTAATTCCGTATAATGCAAATAGAGCCAGTATTACAATACAAACCGTGTGAAGCCATGGCCAAATGCTTTTGATAGCTGGTGCGTTAGTGACGGCTCCTTGCTGAGTATGTTCTTGATTCAATCCAAAAGAGTTGGTTTGCACTGATTGAAAATCAAAAGACGGCACAGAGTGGGTTCCGGTAGAGACAGACCCTGATAACAACTGTTGAAGCACATCATCAGGAGATATATCTTGGTTTGTGCTGCGATTGTAGAGTGTTCCCAAACCTGCATTCGGGGGTGCAGTGGAAAGTAAGCGAGTGGATGTTATAGCTGGCGATTCTTTAGGAAGTCGATCTGCCTTGAACTCGATTGAATCCAGAGCAGTCTTTTCTGAGTCATTTGAGTTTATATTGGTAGCAGCATCGGTGGTACTATCATTGGTCACTCCTTTAAATGTCTGAGTTATGCGACCCAGGCGAGAGCTGCTACCAGCCAAGATTTTGTTGCGCCTAGCCTCTCGTCTTAGATTTAACTTTTCTTCAGCAGTAAGAAGGGTTTTTGTGCTATCACTCTGTGTATTAGAAGAATTATCATCTACTGCTTCTTCTGCGGTTTTTGACAATGGCTGATCTGTCATCTGGGTCAAACTGCCGCAAAGTTGATTGACAAGCAAAATTCATCAACCCATCAATCGCCCTCAGGAAAATGCTGCTAAAGGTTGACTGCAAATTATCATATTCATGTAAAACGAATCATTTTATCTTGCAATGATTGCTTGAGAATTACAATCAAATTATAGGTTTGAACTGGAATGATCCCTTTCTCCACTTTTAGCTGTCATACATTGTACGATCGGCAACTTCGGCACATGCTCATGCACATGCTCATGCATTGCAGTCCATATGATGGGCGACCACACTGATACTGTCAATCAATTGTAGACTCATTTTTACTGTATTCTAAATACATACATTCGCGTTCTGATTCAAGAAAACACAAACCACATGCCACAAAAATGCAACTATTTTCATGTCAGTCATCAATGTGTACTTGCAGTGTTTGGTCTGTAAACATGCATAGTTGTGGATTGACCAATGTCACAATGCCAAAATGACTAGAGCTACAGTGTGATCATTTGCTCAGTTTTTATACAAGGATCAGCATAGAAAACAAAACCAATCATTCTGTCAAGGAGTTGTCAACACAATACTGTCCAGTAAACTGACATCATCATTTGATGAGACTGACTGTTATGTAGTTATTTAGTGATTTATTTTGCGTGAATAGGGCTGAAAATGTTTGACCAGAATGTTGCAACAGATTGTGTGTGTTTACAAAAACTGCCGACTCATCACCATATATGATTGATATTCCATTGGATACTGGCTCTGATGGTACTGTATCCATTTCGAACCCAGTGGACATGGTCAGACAGCTTATCTCGCACTTGGGACAGGCTCAACAGCAATGCAATCAGTACTTGACCCATATACTTACTCAAATACCTGATGAGCCATTTAGTACTGGCCAGAAACAATGTGGTTCCATGCATGGTGATGACTCGGACGACTATCAAGAAAGCGATACCAATGAGGATCAAGTGGATCAATACACAGATGATCCGATCCCAACATCTGTTACAAAGAAACAGAAATCAATGTAGTGTTTGGCTGCATATTGTATTTCCAAATAAATTACTCGTTTGTATGATTGCCAAATTTTATTTTAAACTGATTCAATTAATATTATTTTAAGATGAGTGCAAGTTTAATAAATAGAAAGTGGGTGTGTTGCGTATAGCAAGTAGAAGGTAAATGCATGACTGGCTGGCTGATCGCTCTGGTTGAAGGTGATTGTTGTTCAATTACCATTCTCCTTTTTGCGCTGCTTCTCATCCTTGTACATTATTATGCTGTCTTCTATCCCCACTGTGTTTCCTCTCTTCCTTCCTACGCTTCCTCTCTTCCTTCCTACGCCTCTTCTCTTCCTTTTTTTGCCTTTTTCGATCTTCTTTCGATGGTCCAGATCCAGACTGGCCTCCCATCGGATTTTGATTAGGATGTTGTCCGCCCATACTTGGAATCACAGCACCAAATGGATTACCACCTTGCAAGCCTGAAAGATTGCCATTTGGATCGACTGGCATCGCGTTTACCATTATGCATAGCGAGCTTGCTGTTAAAAAAAAAGCAGATGACTTCATGATAGACTGCTAGTAAGTT